AGATATTTATCTTTATTAGAGTCTTACTAAGGTAACTAGGAGATTATAAAAAAGAAAATCTTAACTTTTTTAAATATAGGTTTCTATAAGTAACTTCTAGTAGAAACTACTTATTTTTTAAATAAGTTAAGTCTTTAAATAGAGTAGTAGAGTCTAGAGTATTAGAAGTAGAGCTAAAGTTAATTATATATATAGTAGTATAAGGCTTTTTCAGATAGTTATAAACTATATAGTTACTACTATTATATAGGTACTTATTATTATTAAAATGCTACTACTTTATCTCTAGTGTAATTAGACCCTACTAGATATAACTAACTATAAGATCTATTAAATTACTATAGTTATAAGCTATAGAAGCGGATTATAGTATAGTTAATATAGAATAGAAAGCTAGTAAGAAAGTAGTTATAGTAGTTATTATATAAAAGGTACTAGTAGTAGAGAATAGAGCTAGAAAGATACACTTCTAGAAGAATAATATATTAGTTACTATACTAGTAGTAGCGCGTAAGCGCCTATTAATATATTAATAGATATAGAAGTACTTAAGATAGCTTATTTTCTTAGTATTTTAGCTTATAAGAGCGCTTTAGATTTTATTTAATAGACTTATAAAAAGTATAGACTTCTTACTATTATTAATATACTTAGTATTATAAATATAGTATTAGAAATTAGTAGTAGAGGTAATAAAATCGCGATTCTTCTAGTAGATTTTAGTAATTTTAGCTTAGGTAGTTCCCTTAGTATTTAGATCGCTAAAGGAATAGTTAAAGGTACTTAATTATTTTCTTAACTATTCTAAACTTAAGTATACTATTTATATAAATATATAGGGGAAAAAAGCGCTTAAGTAGTACTCTTAAAATACCTATATAAGTATAAGATTTAGGTAGTTTTAGTAGAGTATTAGTTAGTATTAATATAGAGCTTTATATAAATATTTATAATAAAGAAATAGAGGGTAGTATAGTTAGAATTAAAGAATAGTTCTAGATTAAAAAGCTTTTCTAACTTTTTAGTTAAGTTAGTACTTAGTTAAGTAGCTTAGACTATAAGTTAAGTAATATATTTAGTCGCTTTAGCGTATATAATAATATAGTATTATACTATTATTAAAAGATTCTTAAGTTATTTCTTAAATGTACCACTATAGGTGCGTATTTTACTAAACTAATTTAAGAGGTTAGTAAGAAATTAGTACTAGATATTAGAGTTTTTTAGAACTTCTATAATAAGCACTACAGGTAAGTTAATAGGTATAGAAGCTTATAGAGTATTAGAAGTATTACCTATAGATATAGATACTTTAGCGGAGGTAGAAAAATATATAGTAGGCTATAGCTAGACTATAAAGAGAGATATTTAGTAGGTATAATATAATATTATAATATAGGAAGGCTTAATACTAGAACTAAATTTATTAGAGTAATATATAAGATATTATAGGAGGTTAGAAGGTATAGAAAGGAAAATAGAAAGAAAACTCTATAAGTAGATTACGTAACACAGTTACGTAACTTTAGAATAACTAAAAATCTAAATACTAAGAAATACTAAGTTCAAACCGTAACACTATAAGCTCTATACATAATAGTAGGTGTAGACTTAGCTTCTTATACTAGTTTTAGGCTAAGATTATAATTATTAATAACTACTAGCCTCTTTATAAGTATCTATATAATAGATAAATCTTTTTAATAGGTATATAGAGCTATAGATATAGTAACTACAATATTATAACCTATAATCTCTACCTTTTAATTCGCTTTAATATATATATTAATATAGAGTTCTATATAGGCTATAGTACTATTAAGTACGTATTTAAATATATTTTTAAAGGCTCTAACCGTACTATAATCTCGCTATAAACGTAGTAGCTATAAGTAAAGTAGTAGTCTAGTATAGTACCTCGCGTAGTAAATAAAATCTAGAAGTATATTAATACTTAGTATGTTACTATATATAAGACCCTTTAGTATATATATAAGTTTTGTATGTATAGCTACTTAATTCTAATACTATAGCTTGCGCTCTATCTTAAGGGTAAGTAGCCTATTTACTTCTTAGCTAACTAGAATATTAAGGCTTATTATACTTATAATATAACTTATAAGACTATACTTACTAAGTTCTTTATAGTAAATATAAGAGATTGCACTAATATTAGGGAAAAATTTCGGTGCTAAGAGCTACTCGGAGCGCTTAGAGCCTACTTGGAGCGCTTAGAGTCTCTAAGTAACTCTAGCCGCTCGCAAGCCGCTTGCAAGTATATTAAAATACTTAATGTACTCTAGATATTTAAGTTATCTAAACTATCTAAACTATCTAAAATATTTAAAAATATCTAAAATATCTAAAGATAGGGCTTAGTAGGCTTAGTATACTAAGCTTTACTTAGTTAGTATCTAAAAAAAATTAGAAAAAGGTTTAAGTCCAATTCAAGTAGTAGAATAAGAGAAGTATATAATAGTACTAGTTTAGAAGGTAAGCTTTTGAAAAAAATAGTTATTATCCGCTTACTTTTCAAATTTATTAATATTTTAGCTCTTTTTACTAGAGAGTAGAATTTAAGTAAGATTGGAAACTCTAAGATTTTCTACTTACTAAGTAGTGCTAACTGGTTTTAACGCTCTATGCATTTTTATTATTTTAGATATTTTAGATAATTTGGATAGTTTAGATAATTTAGATATTCTAGATATCTAAAGCGCTTAGAACGATTTAGTAAGGTACTCTAAGCGCGCTTAGAGTGTTTACACAAGCGCTTCGAGCGCTCTAAGTACACTCTAAGCGCCTTAGATATCTTAGACTAATACTAATTTTATAAGCGCCTAAATTTTTCCTAATAAAGTAGCACTATTAAGACTTTTCTATATACTATATATAGAGTAAGTATTATAAGTAATAGGCTTTTTACTATAAAAGCTTTGCGATTAGCTATATTATATAGCTTCCTACTATAAAGAATAAGGTATACTATCTATATCTACTACTAGTAAATATTACTAGCTAGCGTTTCTTTAAGAATATATATATACTTAAGAACTAGGTCTATTTAACCTTCTAAGCTATCTATTATACTTATAGGCTACTATAGAATAATAGAGAGACTTATAGACGCTAGTAAAGGCTATAGGATTCTAGCTAGAATAGTAGCTATATAAGCTCTTTATAACTATACTAGTAAGCTATAAGCCTATAGATTCTAGAGCGCTATAGAATTACTTCTATAATTATCTTATAAATAACTACTACTACTAGCTATAAACTATATATAGCGTTCTAGAATAGGCTTAGAAGTAGACTAAGAACTTTATACTTTACTTACTTTACTTAAGCCTCGCTTGCTACTACTAGATACTTAAGAGCTATAGCCTCTTATAACTCTAGCGCAGCTAGTCTAAGAACTTTATAAACTACTATAATTATTTTCTATACAAGTAGCTTATATTTAATATAGAGAAGATATAGGCTAGCCTTACTACTAGCCTTTCACTCTTAAATACTAAGTAGTACTTTATATTTAATACGTTTAATTAGATAGTTGAGTCTAATTAGAATAGCTTCTTCTTTATTAATAGCTCTAGTAGTATTAGTAAAACCTTTCTATAGAATACTATACTAGCCTACTAGCAGCTATAGAATAGAGTAATACTTATAGTTATAATATCTAGTATTACCATGATCTTACTTACTAGAAGTACTACTATACACTCCTGCTTTAAGATTCTAATTAATATTAATAAGTATATAATCCATAATATATCTAGGCGATTCTATCTTATAGAGCTACTATAGAAGATATATCTAATCTTCTAGAATAAAGTAGTAATATACTACTACTATATAGTAAAAGTACTCTTATAGACTTTATAGAACCTCCGTAATAAGAATAATAATTAGTAATAGCTTTTCTTTAGTAGCGCTATAGTATACTTCTGTAGGGACTTCTACTAGATTCTATTTATAATTAAGTAAAGAACCTATAGCTAGATTATTAGCGTAATACTTAAGCATTCTATCTTATAGCACTATATATACCTTTTACTTTATATAGAATTTATATCTATAGCGCCTAAAACTTACCTCTAGTAAGTACTAGGAGACTATAATATTTATAAAGCAACCACTCTATTTTAGTAAGTATATTAATCTAAATAAGAGAGTCTATTAGAATATATAGAACTAGGTAATTAGTAATAGTATAAAGACGCTTACTACTACTATCTTTTCTAGCTTTAGACGCTAGCGGTTATATATAGACTAGCTATAAGACTCCGTAATTCTTATACTAAAAAACAATATAGTAGATAGTATTAACTAGCTACTACTTAATGCGATACTAGGTGTGGAGATAATATTACACTTAGCTAACTACTATAAGAATAGTATAGAAGCTATAGCTCTTTCTAAAGAGTTCTTGCACTCTATTAATATCTCGCAGCTGCCTCCGCACGTGCTCCGCCTTAAGCTTGGCTACCTAGTGATACTACTCCGTAACCTCGATCTAGATAACGGCCTCTACAACAGCACGCGGTTAGTGGTTCTTTCTGCGTCCCGCACCTTGCTACGCTACCCGATCTTAGAGACGCGGAAGCATAGCGCGATCGTGCAGCCACAATTGTCCGCACTGCTGAGCCACAACACCTCGCCGCGTCGGAACCTCAACTGACTGCACGTGTCAACTGGGACCCTTCGAGAATTCTATCTCGACATCGCTCCTTGATGCATTGGCGCTTCTATCAAGGCGCCGCCTGTGATGATATTCCTTCTAATGACTATCGGGTCTAGCCTCTTAGCCACCTCTCAGCTAGATGGACCCGGTGAGATGGAGTATGCAATGCTTTTGTTCAGCTCTAGCCGCCGACGTTCGGGCTGTGGTGCCGGAGCTGAGAACATCCACCGTCAGCCAGTCCTCACTTCGAGGAGCTGTGTAACTCCTCCCAACGACGATTAATCGATGCGACAATTATCAGATGTAAATTTCGCCAATGCCTACTGTCAAATACACTCCGCTCCCAGCAGACGGCGCCAGCATCCGGCTGCTGCGGCTGCAACCAAACTCAGCTAATGACGCCAAAGTTCAATGCACATTATTCCATGCCAGCCTGGCAGATGCGCAGAAAGCACAGTATGAAGCGCTCTCCTACACCTGGGGCGATGCCACTCAAACAATCGACATTGAACTCAATGGTACCATCTTTCCCGCAACCGTCAATCTCGACGCAGCCTTGCGAGCACTCCGCAAGCCTGATGAGCCGCGAACACTATGGGTGGACGCCGTGTGTATCAATCAATCCGATCTTCAAGAGCAGGGAAGTCAAGTCAAGATGATGTGGGAGATCTACAGGAATGCCGAACGTGTCCTGGTTTGGCTTGGACGTGAAGAGGGAGACAGTGCCATAGCAATGGCTGACATGGCTGGGCAAACGACACAGAAGAGAATCAGAACGTTGATGACAACCAAGCGGGAGAGGCCTGCTCACTACAAAGGCGTTAAATGGTGCGATTGTAACGCTGGTAGGTGGGAAGTTGATCCTCCTCGCGTCGGCGTTCAGAATATTCTTGGGAGGCAATGGTTTACGCGGGTCTGGGTATGCTTTGCAATTCTCGGCACAAGATCCACAGTTACTGACTCGATCTAGGTTCTGCAAGAAGTTGCGGCAGCAAAAGAAGTTCTTGTTGTTTGTGGGAGCCATATAATCCCCGCCGAGGACTTCTACCAAGAGATCACTGGAATATCAAGGCACTATATGAGCTTCCAGAAGACGATCCGCAACATTCGACCGGCCATTGAGTTTCTGGACTCCAGGGTCACAACTATCGAGAAACAATCAATTCCACTTCTCGAACTCATCGAGACTTTCAGGTCCTGGAATGCCACAAAGGCCGTCGATAAGGTTTACGCTTTGCTCAATTTCTCCTCTGACGCCTACAACGAACCGACACTGCAGCCAGATTACACCATTTCCGAACACTTACTCGCCAGCAGACTCGTGCAGTTTGCCTTTCCTGGATGCACAATGGAGCCACACGGGGACCCACAGTCCAATGCAGTCACATTTGAGGTTGAGGGCCTTGTGTTGGGCACAATCAACGGAAAGTGGAGCGGCAAAGACAACATGAGATCCTGGACCTTCCAAACAATGAACTATTCCAAGCAGTCACAACCACCACCGGATCTGACATTCAACGCCCGAGTATTGGAGCTCTTCGAACATCAATGGCAGATTGACATCCTCAGCGAGCGCCGGCTGGACCTTGACTACTACGTCTGTCTACTCCGTGGAGCGTCGAGGCCCACAGTCTTGCGCTACAAGGATGGGCAATTCACTGTCGCCATGATGGCTACTCCGCCGCCCACTCCATGGTCAAACGAAGTGCGTGTTGATCAAGGCTCCTATAAGCATGCTGTACGAGATCCAGCTGTCCTCACGGAGAAGAGACCTCCGCTTCCTGTGCTCCGCATGACATGGTCCGATGTCGTGGACGCTTTATCGAAAGAAAGCGAAGGCACCATGAAGTTCAAGTTGACGTGGGATCCCTTCCGCCAATTAACCTCTGATGAGGTGAAACGATACATATCGACTCCGAACGATAAGCGGATTCAATTGGAAGCTCGACATGAGTCGTTCAGGGACATGGCCGTACTGAAAAGAGAAGCGGGAGAACTGGAAGAGATCGTCACCTGCAAGACTCTCTCGATGCTGAACATCATGTTCCAGCAGGACGAAGAGAAGATCAAGAACGGAACATCCAAGTGGACAATTACACTTCACGATGCTGCAAAGGCGGGATTGCTCGGCACTTTGAGAATTTTGCTTGATGCTGGCGCAGAAGTCGACAAAGTGGACGACGATGGCTTGACGGCGCTCCATTTGGCGGCCAGAAATGGCCACACTAGGATTGTGGAAGCTCTTTTGAAAGGCAAAGCCACACCCAACGCCTTCCACGATGTGGTGTGGACTCCGTTACATCTCGCAGTCAGAAACAATCACGACAATATCTGTGAATTGCTACTTGACTACGGTGCGAGCCCGAATGCAGAAGGAGACAATATGCCACCACCACTATTCAACGCCGTAGTCTTCGGCCAGTCTTCCATCGTTAACGCTCTCCTCAAAGCCGGCGCTAATGCGAACATTGTACAACGGGTCGCTCACCTCCAAGATGTGACGGCACTCCACCTAGCTGCAGAGTTGGGCCACACAGACATTGTCAAACTCCTGCTTGTTGCGGGCGCAAGGACCGACGTTGTTACTTCATCAGACCTGCTCCCTCTTCATCAAGCTGCAATGAATGGGCATACGGACGCGGTGTTATTGCTTTTGGATGCTGGGTCGGATATTGATGCGCTGAATAGTCAGGGTGTGACACCTTTGGATTTTGCCGTCTATCGGGGCCATGAGCGGACCGCCGAGGAGATACGACTTCGCGGAGGAGTACATAAATTTCTTTGAAGCAATGCTATGGGGTTGGGAAGTTAGTTCTGTCGACGTACAACACAGCGTTTAACTGAGCTCAAACCGTGCTAGTCCATCTCCAATAAGCAATCAACTGCCCTTATCCAGCCCAATCCACAGCGGTATGTCAGTGAATGGAACAACTTGTTACCAGAATGCAAGCTGTAAGCGCTCATGGATAGTTACGGCTTTTGGGATTCACACTGGTGTTTAGACCACGGAGGATTTGATTGTAATATGTGTACAACAAAGTCTTTGTTATTTATTAGCGGTGAGATAGCCGAGCGGGCGTGACTGCGAATCCCACTCTCATCACTACTTTTTTTCTTTCACTACTCGCATCAACAATGTTTTTTCCTTCTTCCATAACGTTCAAGCGCCATCTGCCATCGTTCTCTCTATAATCTCCTACATAGCTTAAATCTTTGCAGCGTCTGGGTTCAACTTGAAGCGGCCTTATCATTTGTGATGGTCGAGGATACCAGCAATCTGGGCCAAGTCGATGTCCTCTTTCTCTCCCAAACCTCTTTTAAACACCACGGAGCGGTTACTATCTACCGCTTTTATTGACCTCACTAAGGTGCGCAATTACATCTACAAACTCCTCCTCCCCTTCGCCGAACCCATCGAGCTCGGCTTCCACGGACTGCTGAGTGAATCTCCAAGCCTCTCACATTCCTACTTGTGGCAAACAGGCAAGTTCACCGGGAGGCCGCCAGAGTACTTTACTCAATAAACAACGTCAGCATATCCCGCATAGGAGCTGGAATAACCGTCGAGGCGCCCAATGATAGTCTCGAGCGCTTCCTGCTCACAATGGGTGCCACAAATGCTTCACTACTCCACCATTTTCACGTTGGCTACCCACGATTTGATAAAAGCACTCGCACTAGTGACGGAGATACGTGCGCCCTTGACGTTCCCAAAGATACATGTCCGAGCCCTGTTACTCTGCATATGGATCTCCGCTTGTCGACTCCTAGTAATGCGAATTCCTAATGCTCGCTTCCGCTACCGGAAGTGACGCCGGCTTGGGGCCTTGTGAAAGGCCAACTTGGGAACATGTCGTGGCTAGACAAGGTTATTCTGCTAGCAAGTAGTAAAGACGGGATTAGCAGGGCTAGGAGGCAGCGAGGTGGGGCGGCCATCGGGCGAGAGTACCGCACCTAGCTATCGAGGTTAACAAGTGTAGGTAGTCAGGTTGTAAGTGAAAAAAATGCTACTACCAAGAATCCCGCTTTTCAATCACCTCTATTACCACCGACACTCTTTAGCTCCACTACACCCCCTACGCATCAAATTATGCCTGGTTTAAGCTCCGAACACTCCGAAAGCTCTAAATAGCCTTTAACACCTTAACAAGAGGTTTCTTAGCCTTGAAAGCACTACATAACCGATATAAGAACTACTATACAAGCGATCTGCGAGTTCAATAACTAGTATTATATAGCCGACCGGTGAACCGTTTCCGACCATCCGACGGTTTGTTGGACACGCTGCCTAGAATAAGTATGTTAACGGCACGCTCGTGGTACCTGCGGTATATCCCCATCAGTGGTGGGAGCTAAGATGCATCAGTTGCGCGACATACCCGTGCCGGCGAAGACAAGATTTCCAATCTCGACATATTTTTCGAGATCTGTAAGCTGGATCTCAGTGTTACCAGAATCCGCTAACAAGACCTTCGTTAAGAGATCGTTCTTCTCAGATGCTCGAAGATTACGCGAGATATATTCATTAAAGACATTCTTGACAAACTGCATGAGTGCACATTTAGTTAGAACCCAAAGTCGCAGCAGCAAGAGAGTCTCTGGGAAGGACTCACTCTCACAAGTCCTTGCCTAGCACGGAAGAAGTGTTGAACTGCCGGGATTGGAACGCGAGACAATGCACTATAGAGCCACGGGACAGATGCGTTAAGGCTAGAGAGCAGGAAATGCTTGTCGACATCTTTTAGGTATGGAGGGAGTTCATCACGGTTAAGTGCACCGAAGGATTTGTCCAGAGAAATCTCGCCTAGAGTGCCGTCGTTAGTGGGATGCTGCATAGTTAATACTTACGCATAGAAGGTTCCTTGTACCGACAACGTCGAGAGAAACCTCCCGGAACCCCGTTAGCACATCAAATGGTTGACCAGCCGATGCCTCAATCCTCGCTCTAAGCTTTTGAATTTAGAGCACAATAATGGGCTCGGTATCATTCAAGTTGGATTGCGAAGAAGCGTGGCTGAGGAGTTTCCCTTTCTGACGGTGCTGAGCTGGGGGGCGACGAAGACGGACTCTGCACCTTCACGTGGTGTCGCCTGGGAACCTTCTATCTAGAAGAGCCAGCGCAGAGACGCAATACCCGGTTTAATTGAGCTAGATACCTAGTAATAAGCTAGATAGCGTGTGTGGTAGTATAAGATAATACCATAAAGCTTCTCTTCTACCTTATAGTATACGGTAGCAATAACTTAGGGGTTTAAGCCACTTAGTACCTATAAGAAGAAGAGAATAATAGGTTTAAAACCTATACACGTTTAGCTATCTTATATACCTTTATAGTACTAAATTCGTGCCCTTTCTAAGTAGGACACCCTACTTCTATTCCACTATTTTTAGGTATAATCTATAGTATATATAGCTCTAAAGCGTAGTTACTTAGATTATACGCTTATAATCCTCTACCTACTATATTATAAATATTTAGAGAGATACCCACTAGAGTAGGTATTATTTAGTATTTACTAGAGTGGATATTAATTAGTATCTACCTAAGTGGATATGAATTGATATTTACCTAAGTGGATATGAATATCTACCTGAGTGGATATCTCTCTAAGTAAATACAACCGGCGGCATGCCGTGTCAAAAAGGATAGAACCGCGTCAATTGACTTTACTACTACTACTACTACTACTAGTGCTGAGCTGGGTCTCTCAAGCTGAAGATTTCGACGCGTGGAACACTGAATGTTTATATACTGGGGCCTTGATGAAAGTAGTACGCTGGCCGTATAGCTCCCTTACACTTTCAATATTGGCTAAAGAGACCAATCCTCGACCTACACTATAATAAATATTTAGAGAGATACCCACTAGAGTAGGTATTATTTAGTATTTACTAGAGTGGATATTAATTAGTATCTACCTAAGTGGATATGAATTGATATTTACCTAAGTGGATATGAATATCTACCTGAGTGGATATCTCTCTAAGTAAATACAACCGGCGGCATGCCGTGTCAAAAAGGATAGAACCGCGTCAATTGACTTTACTACTACTACTACTACTACTAGTGCTGAGCTGGGTCTCTCAAGCTGAAGATTTCGACGCGTGGAACACTGAATGTTTATATACTGGGGCCTTGATGAAAGTAGTACGCTGGCCGTATAGCTCCCTTACACTTTCAATATTGGCTAAAGAGACCTCATTCGGTCCGATACTAACAGTTGATCCGTACTTCTGATGGAGCCGGTGTATTGTCTCTACACGGTGTCCAGCGAGATCAATTAGAATCAGCTATTCTGAAGTCAACCGAGCTAGGAGAGGTCCTGGAAGGTGGCGGAGAGGAGACAAGAAGCAGTTTTTGATGACCTGGTGAACCACTACTAACATATAGTATGCTTCGAAGCTTGGCCGGGACCAAATCACGTGTAGAGGCTTGGCTTGTAAGGATTACGGGTATCCGCTACAAGCCTCTTTTAAGCGCTAAGAAGATATACTAATTCCTATCTCTGCCACCGACCTTGGACGACGTTGCGAAAAGATTCACGATACTATGTCCAAGTCCGCAAGCAACCCTAAGAGACGGAAAATCGCATCTAGCGGCTCGACTGAAGACAAGCCTAGCGGTGGCTCCTTGGACGTGAACAACTGCAAGCCTAGTCAAGATAAATCGCCGGCCCCTCAATTTTGCGACAGATGTAAAGCGGTTATTATCAACATAGAGAAACACGGTCTTGGCACGAAAGTTCTCGAAAATGGAGACTTTGTGGTTGACGTACCAATGGGGAACTCCTTTTTTTATTCGCTTGATCTTGATTTTGAGCTTGAAGATACCTACCCGGATTTCCCACAGCTTACAGCCTCTATGGCTGAAGGGTGCAGATTCTGTGGTTTCTTAAAACAGGAAATTATCGATCAGGCATCAACAGAAATCGCCCGCTTGCCGGAGGCTGCAGATGGACAACAAATCAAAGTAGAGATCCACCACATGAAATATGAGTTTGCCAAACAATCGACTCATCTCTACGGTATCGACAGGCTGGTCTCAACTGCTCTGATGACCAATAGCAGGGGCTGCACTCTCACGCACGAACTTTGTTTCGACATCATGATCGAAAATGGTAATGAGTATACCTGCTCCCGCTTTCATTTAGCTGCATCAAAGGAACTAATTTAGCCTAGAAACACAAGTGGCACGCTTCTTCGGGTTATATCGCCGAGCCATCGGAGCAAATACACTGAGTCCGCGGACCATGCAATTGTGTAGGGATTGGGTTAGAAGCTGTCAGAAACACGCCGCTTGCAAATCTCCCACAACGTTGTTCATGCCAACTCGGCTAATCGACGTTGGAGGTGCTTCATCTCCGGATCTACCTCGCTTGGTTTCTATCAATAACAACGCCTCAGGTGCAGCCTATTGCACGAATTCTGACAAACGCGAGCCGCCGCTCCCCAAAGAAATGACTCGATATCTGGCCTTCAGCTATTGCTGGGGCTCCCTTAACACCTGCTTCATCAGAACTACCAAAGATAACGTCCATCAACGGAAGTCTGGTATATCTCTTGACACTTTGCCCCAAAGCTTTCGGGATCTGTTTGTTGTGGCACGGGAGCTTGGTATAAGACTGGTTTGGATAGATCTACTATGCATCATACAGGATGATCCTGAGGATTTAGCTAGGGAGATAGAGAAGATGGACGAGGTATACGGCCAAGCCTACCTCACAGTAGCGTCAACCCTCGATACCTCTTCCCCTAACGGCATGTTTCATAAACGGTCCTGCAACAGGCCTCTATTCGAGGTTCCCTTTGCCATTTCTACGGGGCGCTCCATCGCCGGGTCGTATCTTCTCAGTCGCAGCATACCCCCCGAGTCGAGGCCTTCTTTCATGGTGGAGATTGAGATATCCAACTACAATCGGCGAGGATGGACTTTCCAGGAGCGTTTTCTCTCGCGGAAGATCTTATATTTCTGTGAAACAATGCTCTATTACGAATGCCAAGCGTGCGAACAGTCCGAAGACTCTACGGTGTTGTCTGAAAGGTCTCTTTGGCCGGCATGGTGTCAAAGTGCAACCCTTAAGTCATCTGGCTTGAGCTATCTCTATGCCTTCTGGTATAAGCTCGTAGAGGCATACTCCAGGCGTCATTTAACATATAAAAGTGACAAATTGCCCGCTATAGCAGGACTAGCAGCCTCTATGTCGCACGCACTACAGGTATCAGGGAATCAAAATACGTACTTAGCCGGTATCTGGAAACAGGATCTCATCAAAAGCCTTCTATGGTCTCGTAACGCATACGACGGCTGCAGCTTGTCGAGGACATTAGATTACCGTGCGCCAAGCTGGTGCTGGAGCGCCTTTGATGGAGCTGGGGGAATCAAGTATTCTCAGGAACTCGTGGGCCGAAGAATGGAAAGCCAATGCAGCATTGTCAACGTCGCTGTGCAAAACAGGGACACGCAACCTTTCGGACACGCCACTGGAGGCTATTTGCAAATCACTGGCTGCCTACAGCATATTGACTCGATACGGCTCGTGGAAGCGCACGAACTCACCCAGTTGTGGGCCGAACAGCATTATGAGTTCTTGCAAGATGATCGAGTTGTCGCGACTGGTATGCTTGACTGCTCAAACACATGCAATTGTACCGACTGTAGGCAGCGCAGATCATCTAGAGAATACCACAAACCACAAGCGGAGCACGAGATTTGGGTCCTCCTGCTAGGAGCTGCCCACGTTGATCCGAAGGCCACCGATGTGGAAGGCTTTGATGAAGATACTAATAGAGAAAACACTGACGATAGCTCCGACAGGGGGTGTACCGACGAAGATACTGAGGAGGCTACCGACGGAGATACTGAGGAGGCTACCGACGAAGATACCGACGAGGCTACCGACGATGAGGCTGCTTACGATGAGGCTGCTTACGGTGAGGCTATTGACTACGAGGCCCTCAACGACAACTGCTCATCAGATTCTATGCTGCTTGTCTCTTCAGATCCGTGGATTGTCGGACTTGTTCTTACGCCTGCAGAGCGGCCTGGAGCAGAGGCCATATACCGTCGCGTGGGTATGTTTTGCATAGAGGTATATCCTGACGGATTAATGGCCGGTGATCCCACTATCTTTAATAATCACGAAGAGTGGACAGTCACTATAGTATAGTCTATCTGCCTGTACGATTATAGTGGTGCAAGATAATTATCACGTGGCAGGGTATATAGAACGCGTGTAGAGACTCTTTAGTTCGTGCGAATAGGCGTTGATCGATATCTCAGCCATCCACTGCTCTTGGATACGTTGTCAAAGCCATTCTTGTAAGGCTGAATATGAGTTGATAGCTTGCAGACCGCTTTACGTTCTATGCCACTGACCAAAGAGTGCTTGGACAAGGGTTGTGGTCCTGAAGCGAGTAGAAAATCTTTGCTGTCTGGCCATTAAATACGCAACTGGGTTGGGTCTGAACAACACATAGGACTATCTGGACCAGATATGTCTCGGTGCAGGATGAAAGCTCGGAGGTTTCTTACGTGAGGTTCGCCTTCTGGGTCGAAGATCTTTGAAACATGGAGGCTAGGGGTGGTGATTCGAGGTCTTAGAAGCCATGACGAAAGGCGTGGTTTCCAGGCCAAATCGCCAAGATTTCCTGACTGCCCAGTCAACGGCTGTTTACCACACCTCCCTTTCAAACACCAACTTAGGCAAGCTCGTTCTGCCTACTACAAGTTCTCCTACCACTGTCAAAGCACTCAACCACGCGTAAACATACAGTATCTTGCACAATCGTTCGATACAACGCACAAGATTCAGAATTTACACAGCACGGTTTCAGCAATGTCTTCAAACGCCCTATCAGCTCATGATACGAGCACCCAGTCTGCTCCGAAGTCAGAGGACCAGAAGCCAATGTCTATGGAATACCACCGTCAGGTTCTTGAGTCCCGCCTGAAGGACGGACAGTAAGAGCTACAGCTATATGCAACGCTAAGTCCTTGGGCATCTGCTGATTGAATGCGCAGGAACCAGCAAACTTACGTCTCTCCTTCCGACAACATAATGTCTCCGGCCACACAGAAGCTCAACGCCTTCAAGAGCAAGCAAGTCGGCATAATGAAGAGGTGTGTTCCTTGGCGAGTCCGGTAGCATCGAACACGCGTTGACAAGCACCAACAGCAAGTCGAAACCACAGTCACTCTTTGCGAAGACAACATCGAGGAACGCGGACACCGCGAAAGAAGGCGCCATGTTCGCCGACATACCCAAGAACAATTAAGAAAGTCGAGTTCATGGGAAGCATAGAGTATAGATTGCGCTGGTAGCCTGCACAGAAGGAATTGGTGTTGCATTTCGTTTGGTTCAGTGGCTGGGCAGGCTCGGTATGGGTTTACATGGGGCGATTGGGGTCATTGCATGGAAGATCGGCGTCCCGGGCTCATGATGCATGACAAGCTTGCATGCTACGCTTATGAGAGGGATGAAGAATCACTTCGGATCTGGAATCGAGGTTTACGTGACTAGCTGTGCTTTCTGTTCTTCGATATACCCCTGATCCGTTGCCGAAGCCACAACAACCTCGAATACATTGCCCGCTTTCCGCAACGCGAAACCCTATACCCACTCATGATAACTCCCGACCCTAATCAGCAGTCGCTCCAAGATGAGATAATTGCCCTTGAACGGCGCCTCCTAGAGGCCAAGTCTCGGCTGAATGTAAATGGCGTGGATCGGCCGCTCTCACTCACCGAGAGTAGCAATGGAGGTACGCTGCTCTCCACGACAACTACAACCAGATCGCTAGAACCTTCCCCCAGCACTTCACACGCTTCTCCTCCTCGCCGATTCCGCCCTTCCGCTGGGTTCATTTGCCTTCAGCAGCGGACTCGAATCGTATCTAGCGCACCACCGCCCATCTCCGCCTTCCGCATCCCAGGTCCCTTCCTTCCACAGATTTCTCCACCTCTCACTGTCCTCGCTCGCCAGCACCGCCCTCCCATACACACTAGCGGCCTACCGACACCCGGAACTCATAAATGATCTGGACAACGACTTTGATGCAAGCACACCTTGCACCGTAGCCCGCCGCGCCAGCGTCGCCCAAGGAAGAGCCCTGCTGTCCGTCTGGGACCGCAGCTTCAAGTCACACTATGCGTCCTCCGCACTGTCGAACAATTCCAACGTAGAGATCGACGCCTCGATCGCCTTCCAAGACCTGCTGCGCAACCCACCCCCTGGCCCACCCGAGTCCCAGCCAAACGCGCACCTCGCGCCGCTCTGGGGCCTCCTGACACGCATCCTCGGCCTCCCGCTCCACGAGTCGGCGTACCTATTCTTGTTCTCGCACGTCCGCACCGTTACGAGTGCCGCTGTTCGCGCGAGCGTGCTGGGACCGTACCAGGCGCAGGCGGTGTTAGCGAGCGGGGAGCTGAGGGAGAAGATTCAGGCGCTTGTGGGGGAGATGTGGGATGTGAAGGTGGAAGATGCCGGGCTGAGCGTCCCGGTTATGGATCTTTGGGTTGGGAGGCATGAGATGCTCTATAGTCGGATCTTTAACTCGTAAATGTGGGCGGCATACAGGGGGAGTCAGTCTGCAAATGGTCTCCAGCGGTGGTGAGAGCTGTCAGGCAAGGTACTAGGGCTGCCTCAGAAGGATGCATATTGCTGTTTAAGATCCAAGACAGTTACTTGCTGAAAGACTGTGTTAACCCTATCACAAGCGCCCTTCCCTCTTTTCCCGTTACCTTTCTTTCATTCGAACACGACATTCCAGATTCGCTTTGAGTATTGATCGTACACCTCAAGCCATCAAGATCCTCACTCACGCTTAGGGGGCTTTGGTGAGAGATTCGTTCTCCTTCAAAAAAGGACTATCCGATATATCCGGGGCAGTGTCAACTACAATGCATATAGGGAGAGCCGTCGACAAAAGAGAGTTTCCAGCTAAGGGCTCCAGAGAGAGAAAGCTCGCAACGTGGAATAATAGGATCTTGGAGAATTGATGACCCTCAATGTGCCCCTTGGGATGACTTTCTCGCCTCCTTTTTTTCTTCTTTTTCTTTTGCACGCTAGGCAGCCATAAAGACTCCCAATACCTACCTCGTGTCTCTGGATCAGATTTGTTGCACCTCGATTCGGCTGTGAAGACTGAACAACGCTTATTCCGGAAATAAGTTCAGCGGAGCGCTTGGCGTGGGGCACTCCACAACCCCGCAAAAGGCGACTTCCTTGAGGTTGACCATCAGCCACCAATGACTCGTCACGATGAAAGACTTCACTTGACAGGAGCTGACTGTCGCTCATGCGCACCCAAACATGGTTCACAAGCCACTGACATCCGCGATAGCGCGGCAGGTGCTCTCACTGGCCAAGGGGCCCTCATCCGATCCCTTCGGATGAGGGTCACAGTACCTTGCAGCGTACCTGCCTGCGCATAAATATGCTTTGACCGGACCAGTGCAACTTCATCAAGCTCCAGGACTGGCATTTCTTTAATCAGAGTACATCAAACATTGCTCTACAGCTCCTAGATTCTCTCGAGAGATTAGCAGCATCGTATCGTGACCTGAGGGTACTGAGATGGAGTCCAACGAACGTGGCTTCTCTACCGGGGCGGCCATTAGAGCCTATCTCCCAGCTTTCCTCATAGTCGCCGTAATTCTTCATCTACTCCGTAATAAGTATCGCCCAGTATTACGAGACATCCCAGGCCCTACTATTGCGGCATATACGAAACTCTGGCGACTCTACGATGTCCGTCAAGGCCAAGCACACCGCACAGCCATTGAGCTGCACCGCAAATACGGTCCACTGGTGCGGATTGGGCCCAATCACGTATCTGTCGCGGATTCCAAAGAGATAGCGAACATCTACGGTTTAAAAACAGGGTTCACCAAGGTATGGCAGCTCCCCAGATGTAGGTGGCTGTTACTGAAAGTGTGTGGACCGGATTCTACCCGATCCAATGCATTAGCTGGCAGAAGAAGCCGCAGATGAACTTGTTTTCGACCCGCGATGAGCAGTATCATCGGGAGCAGAAGCGGCCGATCGCCAGTGCGTACAGCATGACATCCTTGCTTGCGAAAGAGGATGCTGTAGATTCGTGTTCCTTGCTGTTCATGCATAAGCTCGGCGAGTTCGCGACGCAGAAGAAACCAGTCGATCTTGGAGCTTGGCTGCAGTACTACGCTTTCGACGTAGTGGGCGAGTTCTCGTTTGCACAGAAGCTTGGGTTCCTGGAGCAAGGAGCGGACGTGGATGATATGATGAAGAGTATAGAGGGCATGCTGGTAAAGCTAAATCTAACTCTGGCACTTGTTCTCGCATCATACTGAACTGTGTCAGGTCTACGCCAGCCAATGTGGCCAAGTCCCAGAGATGCACCCAGTGCTCCTCGGCAACCCGCTCTTCCCGATCCTCTTGCCGGCGATGGAGACATGGAACCAAGTCCTAAATTTCACCCTCAAGGCCGTCAACTCCGTAAACAAGAAAGGCAAACTCGACCGGGACGGCGAGCTCGACGCCGCAGCCCTCGAAGCACAAGGCGACATGCTCTCGCGCTGGTCCTTCATCAAGCTCTCGGATCCAACCAAAATGAGCACCCGCGACATAATCGTGCACCTCTCGACCAACGTCTTCGCCGGTTCCGACACCACAGCAATAGCACTGCGGGCAATCATCTACTTCCTGATCCGCAACCCCTCCACCATGCGCAAGCTCGTCTCTCAAATCGACGAAGCCGACAAAGCAGGCAAGCTAAGCCACCCCATCAGCTACAAAGAAGCCACGACGCACCTGCCCTACCTGGACGCCGTGATCAAGGAAGCCATGCGGCTGCACCCGAGCGTCGGCCTGCTCCTCGAGCGGCACGTCCCGCCCGGCGGGGCCCAGATCTGCGGGCGCCATATCCCCGGTGGCACGATCGTAGGTATCAACGCATGGGTGCTGCAGCATGACCCCGCTGTCTTCGAGGACCCGGAGGAGTTTAGGCCGGAGCGTTGGATTGAAGCGTCGAAGGAGAAGCTGAGGGAGATGGAGCAGAGTTTCTTTGCGTTTGGGGCGGGGACGAGGACGTGTATTGGGAAGAATATTAGTCTGATGGAGATGAGTAAGGTGGTGCCGCAGTTGCTGCGGGAGTTTGAGGTCAGGCTGACGGAGCCGGAGAAGGAGTGGAGAGTCAAGAACGTGTGGTTTGTACAGCAGGAGGGGCTGATTTGTGATCTCATAAAGAGGCGGTGAGAGCGCAATGAGTAGTTCTGAATCTATATTCCTAGACTTCTCCCTGCACTGACTCAACTTTTATATCTTACAGCGCGCCTCCAAGTATCGTAACAAGCCACATCGCAATCCTCACATGCAGCCCCACCCTTCTATCCACCTTCGCATAATCATCCCTCTCCATCACCGTCGCGTACTCCTGCAACCACTTCTCCTCATCCCCCAGCCTCCGCATCAACTCCTGATCCCTCGTAACAATCAACGCATTCGCCTCCAAATCCAACGAATAGCTCCTCTTCGTATAATTCGAGCTCCCCACCAGAGTGATACTCGGCGCCTCCTCGCCCGGCAGCGTGACCCATAGGCCCTTCGCATGATACGTCCAGCCACCAGGCTCATTGACGGTGCCGCGCCGCCACTCTTTCAGCGTGATCTGCTGGCTCAGCCCAACGCGCGACACGGCATCCAGGAAGCGTCGCGATAGCAGCGTGTATGCGGCTGGAAGCATGCCGGACACGCCTTTGCTGCCATAGAAGCCGTTTGCCCACGGCGAGGCGGCGATGACGGTGCCGCGCGCTGGATTGGTGGCGAGTAGGAGGCTGCGGACCTCGGGGGTCATGTTGAAGTAGCCGGCTGTGAAAGTCCAGCTGGAGCGGGCGAGGGCCGGTTTGGTCAGCGCGGTGAGGACGGTGCGGAGGGCGGGTAGCTCGGTCGAAGTGTCGGGTTTGAGCAGGGGCGTGAACTGGAAAAGGGGGTAGACGAGCGTCTTTGAGGTTGTGGGTGCCGGAATGACTTGGGTGCTTGGACGTATCAGCGGGTCGAGTATAGTTGCTGCCTGTTTGATGAAGCCCTTAGGGTCTGTGAGAGGCGGGGGTCCTGGATTTGTCGAGGGCCACTCCATCGTGTATCCAGAGGCTTCATCTGGGTTGGGCTGGATCCGGTAGCTGATGCTGCTGACAGCGTCGTGGATGCGTTTGAAATAGTCAGTGATCTCTTTAGACGAAAACCCGTGGTATCTATCTTGACGGTTTGTGAAGTAGTCGTTGGAAAGATTGGCCCTACCACTCTCGTCAATACAAGCTGCAGCCATGTGGTGGAAACTTAGAATAGCTCGTACCCTGACATAACTAGTTCATCGTCTACGCCATAGAGCTTCATATGCTGCAAACCCCAGCCCTCATTGATGCGCGGGGGTATGACCTTCTTACGAATGCCAGTCAGGTTCGGTGTATGGAACATGCGAACCTCGACTCGGTCAAGGCCGAACTCCGCTACGAGTGGAGCTAGCAACGAAGCACACGAAGCTTTCGGCGTCCCTCTTGTGCCTCGAAGGGCATCTGTGAGGATGGAGACTCTCAGTTCAGGATTGCTTTTCAATGCATCGCGAATGACTAATATCTTCCAAGGTTAGCTAAGAAGTGTCAATGCTTGCTCTACAACATACCAGTTCATCCTCAGTCTGCCCAATATACAGAGTAGACAGGTAGATCCTTCGTTTCGCCTTAGAGATTTTGACCTACTTATTCCGGGGTCAGAAAAGATCCAAGGGATGCACACGTCTCTGGGACCTTTAGGTTAATGAGAACAGAAATCGGATACCGACGCTATGAGACTGAATAGTATGACTTTAACGGGGAGTGTGGGAGGCCGATATACTGACCTTAAGAGTCTCATAAAATTCACTAGGAGTCTGTAGAATTTGTATCTGCCCAGGCTGAACCTCAAATCGTGGTGATATTCTGTCCAGCTCGCTGGTAAGGCCTCCCAGCATCGATACGGGTGACGGAGGGGTTTGAGCGGGTGCCGAAGCGCTCGAGGTTGAGTATCTCCTTCCAACGGGGCGAATGGGTGCCGTCCGGCGGGACACCAGATGACTTCTACCTCTTGTGCATCTTGCGATGCTCCGAACTATCATCCTCCACTTAATCTACCGGCTCTAGAAACCACGACTGATGACCTCAGGAGATATGCACACTGAGGAGAGCTTTGGATGTTGCTGGCTGGCGCTACCTGTTCTTGCTGTAAGATAACCTGACAAACCTGGATTTCGTCCCGCACTTAGCCTTTTCGGTCCACAACCCGGACCGCATCATTGAGACTACCACCTCCGCTGTCCGACTCCCAGCAGGAAGCTCACCCAGCACAATGTCTACAATACTAAGAACGCTGCGCAACTTGCGCCAGATTGGCTTCAAGGTAAGTACTCCGTAATGCTGTTACAGGACTGTCCACTAACTACTGTTGCACAGCAATATGGCCACCAGATGCAGGTACGCCTCCACCTACCGATAGCTGCAGCAAAGGAGTAGCACGGCTCACGACAAGCTCTCGCGAAACAGTATATGGGTTAGCAAAGTCTCAGCTCCACAACGGGGTTTATGAAGCTCATCCGCGCAACAGGCGATACGAAAGCCGGCACGTTCATCGCAAAGGACCGCTACGGCAACAGCTACTACGAGAACCTCGCGGACGAACTACCATGTCAGTCGAAGCCCGTGTGTTGCCGAGGCCGCAATTGACCCAATGGCGCAGTGAGAACGCGATGGGTGGACTACAAAGACAAGGAGTTTGATCCGTATGTGGCCGACAGCCGTCAGTGTGGTGCGGGTTGCTGATGCGTTCTGTAAAGGTCACAGATAGAGCCAGGCTGGTACGCTGCAGCATGTGGGCCGGATCCTTTGTAAGAGTCTTACTCATCGCCTCTTAGGCATGCCTGGATGTCGTATTTGGTGGACAAGCCGCCAACCCAAGACCCGATTCTCCAACGGCAAGTACGAGAGTGGGAGCCAAAGGAACATAGGCCATGTCTTACATGGAGTCGATCAGCATACAAGCCGTTCAGCACGTAAGCCTTATTTTACTGGGGAGTCGGACACTTTAGGAGAGCCGGCTGACTGTGCTGCCAGAACCAAGAACAAGTTCGCTACCTGGACGCCTGTTGCAAAGGCACGCGCGTAGATACACGACCTTCCATTCAAGCTTGTCTAGCCTTCTGTATATAGCTCATAGTCAGTTTCTGGGACAGGTTTCCGAACCCAACCAAACGGAGCATATGATTTTGCATCAGACAAGCCCACGGTGGGCGAAGAATGCACCCCCGAATGTTGCTGCACTCATCCATAGCTGACACCGCTGCTGCAGAGCCCTCGCAGGCTGAAAAGTCAACCTTTACTGGTTTTAGCCCGCCTTGTTTAATGTGGGTGCCTGTGATCAGAACTTCTGCCTCGCATAGTTTAGAATCTGAGCTGAGTGGTCCCATATATCAAATGGACCATAGAGTAATCCTTGTCCGAGGAGCATTTGGTGCCACCTACTGGGACCCCGAACAAATATCTGCAAAGCCTCTGCTCTATGACGCGATCTGTGCTGTAAAAATTGCCAGACAGTGAATGATCGTAGCACATCACCTTTCGTCTGCTCGAGTCCGGTCTTCTGCTGCTGATGGCTGTGCTGTGCAACGACCCCTCCAGTTCTCCAGATCTCAAGCTCTTGGCATGCAACCTGTCAAAAAACGTCAGGACGTCACGCCAAGCCCTCAAATCTTCAACGGGGGATCTCGAGCACCGCGCTGCAATTGCTTTCTGCAGGAACTCTACGGTCCTTACCACACGCATCCGCTCCTTCACCTGTAGACGGACTGCTTGCGGAATGTGTAAAAGTCTTCGCACTGAAGAATCGGCGAGGATACTGCGTTGAGCAGACGGCGGCGATGTTTGCTCAGTGCCACGGGCCAGTCTGGCAGAAAGACGACTTCTCCAACTGCTTTGAGCGAGAGTAGGCTTCAAATTATACGGTTCTGAGAGATATGACCATAGCTAATGGTGCTTTACAGCTTTCTACAAACCCTATTTCCGCTCCTGGTGTGCGCCGTATCGCTGATCTACCTCTCCATCCAAGTATACCGGGAGGCGAAACAGTCGAAACACTACCAAGCGTACAAGGCACTGAACAGTGTGCATCACGTATGTTCTGTACATATCCCAGCGGATCAACAAAATGGCAGTGCATCCTACCACGACGACACAGGTAGCGACGATGAGTTTGAGCGTAATGAGCACCTCGCACTACACCCAGCCCGCAGTCGAACGAACGAGTCTATGATCCAGGTTGACAAACCACGAGGCGAAGTCTTTTTGGTCGTGGTGGAAGAGCTAGCTGTCTTGGGCGAACTTGCAATCCATGTTGCTGTGTTAATAACCGGAGCATGGGGTCACAAGGGAACGGCGGCAGCGGTTGCAGGTGTGGTAGTCTGGACATATGTCGCTACTCTTGCTTCGGCACGTCTACTACTTTCGAGCTCGAGTCGTTTCACATTTCCGCGGCTCTGGTACCACACAGCCTTCATATACGCCTTTCTGTGGGTCTTCACGGTTTTACTTTTTCGCTCAGCAATAATACATCCTCGATCAAGGCTTGCACAAGTCCTGATGATTTCTGACTTCACGCTGGTCACCCTTCTGGGTTTAATAGCGTCCACTTCACGGAAAGGCAACAAAACTGTAGAGCTAGAGTACGAGGATAACCTGGAAACATCAAAAGAGCAGACTGCAAGCGTATTATCTCTGGCTATCTTTGGGTGGGTTGATGCAATTGTCTGGAAAGGATACAAGAAGACGTATGAGCTATCTGATGTATGGAACCTTGCGCCGAAGGATAAGGCGGCCGCAATTCTCTCAGACTACCGACAGCTTAAAAAGACGAACACCCTTGCGTATCACTTACTAAAGTACTTCCGAAGAGGTCTTCTCATTCAAGCTGCGTGGGCTGCGTGCAGCGGTTTCCTGACTTTCGCGCCCACGCTCTTACTCAAAGCCATCCTTGAGTATGTGGAGAACCCCGATTACACGCCGCGGAACGCCGCCTGGTTTTTTGTTATCCTCCTTTTTGTGTCCGGATGTGCATCTGCCCTGGCAGACGGCCAAGCGCTGTGGATCGGACGAAAGATTTGTATTCGGCTTCGAGCTGTGATCGTTGGAGAGATTTACTCAAAGGCTCTGAAGCGCAGAGCAGCGGCAGGTGCCGACAAAGTACTTGGAGAGAAAAAAGAAAAGCTAGACGAGCCAAAAAGGAACCTGATGAAAAGGGCAATGTCTTTCCGCCGCAAGAAGAAAACTGAGAACGGCAAGACGGACGGTAGCGCGCCACCAGATGATTCCAGCTCTCAAGTTACCTCGGGAACTATAATCAACCTCATGGCTGTCGACTCTTTCAAGGTTGCGGAAATCAGCGCTTATCTCCACTTCTTGTGGGCGAGCGCACCCGTGCAGGTCATCGTCGCCGTTATCCTCCTTTACAGGATACTAGGCTACAGCTCGATTGCTGGAATCGGTATGATGGCTTTCCTTCTGCCGATAAACCTTCTCATCTCCAAACGCTTCGCGGCCATTCAGAAGAAGATCCTCGCGGCGACCGATGCACGGATACACACGACGAATGAAGTCCTGAACAACATCCGAATCATTAAGTACTTCGCGTGGGAGCAGCGCTTTATGGGTCTCGTCAGTGAGAAGCGCTCAACCGAGCTGAAGCATCTCCGTATGAGATACACATGGTGGGCGATTGCTGCAACCATCTGGTCAGGAACACCAATTCTAATCACCTTCCTGTCATTCTTCATCTATACCGTGGTAGAGAAGAAAGCTCTCGTTCCGTCCATTGCGTTCACCGCGTTGTCGCTTTTTCAGATATTGAGGATACCTCTAGACCAAATCGCCGATATGGTTGCGCATGTCCAGGAATCCAAGGTGTCTGTGGATCGTATCGAGGAGTATTTGAGCGAGCCTGAAACCGAGAAGTACAAGCAGCTGAAGAACGAATCAGTGGATGAGGACGGCAATCCTATCATTGGATTTGAGCATGCCACCTTCTCCTGGGGCGGCAGGGATCTCGAAGATAAGGACGCCGCAGACGCCTTCAAGCTGATGGATCTCGACGTGAAGTTTCACAGTGATCAAATGAACGTTATCGTCGGGCCAACGGGGTGTGGAAAGACGTCGATGCTCATGGCTCTGCTCGGCGAGATGACCAAGCTTGAAGGCAACGTCTATTTACCAGGCGCGCGCAGTCGAGAAGATCTGAAGCCCGACCCAGACACCGGTCTGACAAACAGCGTGGCCTACTGCGCTCAGCAAGCATGGCTCGTCAACGACACCATCAAAGAGAATATCCTGTTCGCCAGCCCCTGGGATGCGAAGAGATACAAAGATGTCATCGTCGCATGCTCTCTTCAGAGGGACCTCGAAATTCTGGACGATGGAGACGAGACACTTGTGGGTGAGAAAGGTGTTACCCTTTCTGGCGGCCAAAAACAACGCATTTCTCTCGCACGCGCACTGTACAGCAGAGCTCGCCACGTACTGCTCGACGATGTGCTGAGCGCCGTTGACTCTCACACAGCGAAATGGATATTCGACCAGGCCTTACTCGGCTCGCTGATGTATAACAGAACATGCATCCTCGTTACTCACAACACCGCACTGTGTCTACCGCACTCGGATTTCGCAGTTGTTCTTGACAACGGTAAAGTTGTCGCTCAAGGATCGCCAACCGAAGTCATAGACTCCGGCAAATTGGGCGAAGACCTCTCTAAATCCAGACCGACGTCTAAAGCACCGTCTAGAGTACCGTCTAGGGTGCCATCGGATGTCGGCGGCGAAGAGTGCTTTGGGGAGACGACCCGGCGCGATTCTGTTAATGGCCACATCAATGGCCACATCAACGACGCTAACGGCTCCTTGGATGCGTCGAAGAAGCCTAAGGGAAAAGATGCGCAAACAGAGACCAAAGCCGAAGGAAGCGTTAATCTTAGGATCATCTTTCTGTATCTTCGGGCTATGGGACCCTGGTATTACTGGCTTGTTGCTGGTTCTGCGTTCATAGCCCAGCAGATTGCGTCTGTGGTGACCAACGTCTGGATACGTGAGTGGGCGAACTCCTACACGACAAAGGGAATCAGCGTCCTTGACGCTCATGCGAAGTCGCCCCTTACCCACATAGGCACACTTAGCGGTCTGGGGTCATGCCTCACTAGTGGTACATGTGTATGGAACTTGCCACTGTCTTCAAACCACCAATCTCCACACAACCAGCTGGATATCTACCAGCTCTCGCTTGCGTCAGACAGCAACGACGTCGACTCCGGCTACTACTTGGGCGTGTATGCGGCCCTCGGCCTCGCCTTCATGTTCATCACTTTATTTAGGGAGGGAATCCTGTTCGGAGGTTCGCTAGCAGCATCCCGACGGGTCCATCAACGTCTCATGGAGTCAGTAACTCATGCAAAATTCCGATTTTTCGACTCAACGCCTCTCGGCCAGCTCATGAATAGGTTCTCAAAGGACATTGAGTCTGTCGACCAGGAGATTGCTCCAGTAGCAGTTGGTGTTGTGCACTGCTTTGCTTCCATTGTCACAATCATCGTCTTAATCTCGGTCATCACGCCCGGCTTCCTCGTTGCATGCGTGTTTATCAGCATCCTCTATTTCCTTATTGGCATGTTCTATATCAACTCTTCTAGAGATCTCAAGCGACTGGAATCGGTCCAGCGAAGCCCGTTGTACCAACAATTCGGGGAGACCCTATCGGGTATGACAACTATACGTGCATATGGAGATGAGCGCCGATTCATCCGGGAGAACCTGACGAAGGTCAACACACACAGCCGGCCGTTTATCTACCTTTGGGCGGCAAACAGATGGCTCGCTGTCCGGGTCGATATCGTTGGTGCTCTTGTCGCCTTCTTTGCCGGAGTCTTCGTCGTGCTCAGCGTGGGTCGCATCGATGCGGGCGCTGCAGGTCTTGCCATGACCTACGCCGTTACCTTCACGGAGAACGTTCTGTGGTTCGTGCGGCTCTATGCTTCCAATGAGCAGAATATGAACTCAGTCGAGCGCATCAAAGAGTATCTGGATGTGGAGCAGGAAGCCGCGCCGATAGTACCGGAGAACAGGCCACCAGGCAACTGGCCAAGCAAGGGATCAGTGGAGTTCATCGGCTACAGTACCCGATACCGTAAGGACTTTGACTTCGTCCTGAGGCACCTTACTTTCAAGATTCGTCCTGGTGAGAAAGTCGGTATCGTGGGGCGAACAGGTGCCGGCAAGAGTTCACTGGCCTTGGCACTGTTTAGAGCTCTGGAGGCGGAGGAGGGCAAAATCCTGATTGATGACATTGATATCGGATTGATCGGGCTGCAGGATCTGCGGGAGAACATTGTCATGGTACCGCAAGGTAAAAACTATCCAAGTTTGATAGTGTGTACTCTACTGACCCGCAGCAGATCCAACCCTTTTCACTGGCACAATCCGCAGCAATCTCGATCCCTTCGGCCTCTTTACCGACGAAGAAATCTTCACCGCCCTCCGCCGCGTTCAGCTCATCGGCGCACCAAGCTCATCACAAGTGACCTCAGCAGCACCCACACGGCCCAGCACCCCCGGACCAGCGCTGACAGTCACCGACACCCAACCCTCGAACCTCGACGGCGTACCCGGAATGCCGACAACCGACCTTCTCGCCGCCGGTACTGAGAACAAGAACATTTTCCGCACGCTCACATCCCCCGTCTCCGAGTCCGGCTCCAACCTCTCCCAAGGCCAACGCCAGCTCCTCTGCCTCGCCCGCGCGCTCCTCAAGAACCCGAAGGTGCTCCTCATGGATGAGGCCACGGCCTCGATCGACTACGCCACCGATGCCAAGATCCAGGAGACGATCCGCGAGATACGGAACACGACTATCACGATTGCGCACAGGCTCCAGACTATCATCGATTATGATAAGGTGCTTGTGCTGGACAAGGGCGAGGTGGTTGAGTTTGGAGATCCGTGGGAGCTGGTTAAGAAGGAGGAGGGTACATTTAGGGGAATGTGCGATATGAGCGGGGAGTTGGAGAGTTTGGAGAGGGAGGCGAAGAAGGCGTGGGAGGGGAGGAGGTTGGTGGATGATAGCTAGGTTGGTTGTGTTGTGACATTTGCTATGGCATAGGCAGTACAAAACATGGGGCTAGAGATTCGCGCACGTCACTAATGCGTAGAAATGACGTTCAGCAGCATGAGAAGTTATAAACGGAGTCTATCATTGGGGCCAATTTGGGCTGTGTAGATATCTGGCGCATGGTTAGGCATTATCTTCCACATTGTACATAGCAATGCATACTGTCCGCAGCTGTAATCCACTCTAGTACCTTTAGGAGGCAAAGACTCAGACGATAGTACAGAATTTCATAACTTCGCAGTCTGATTAACTTTCTCGTTGGCCTGCCTCGCTGCCTTCTTAGCCGCCTCCTGCTCCTCATCCCAGGGGATCCGCACAGCTAGATGCTTCGCCTGCGACGGCACATTGACTTTGTGATGCTCACAAGTGCAGTAAATAACCTTCCCGTCTACCGACGTCATCTCGGCCCGTATCATGGCCATCGTCTTCCCGGCCTGCATGACGGCCGAATTGATACGTACGGTCGTGCCTATGGGGACGGCTTTGAGGTAAGAGATGCTGAGCGTGCGGGTTACACCACCCATGAATCTGGGGTGAGCTTTGAGCGAGGGTCTTGGATTAAGAGGGGAGGGGAGGGGGATTGGGGGGCTTACTCCCAAAAACCGGGGTGGGCGAGGGGGCAGAGGGCTGTGGTTGTGCACATATCTGAGGGGATTTAGCAAGGTGGTATGGGGGGGAAGAGAAGTAAAGGATGGGATTCATACCGAATATTACGCCTGCGGCGCCGCCGTGCATCACGTCTAGGGAGGAACTAAGCATTTCCCTTTACGCAATATTGCCGCTTGATTAGCGAGAGAAGGTTATACCATTAAGGTTAGAGAAGCTCGATGTTATGAGCAGCTCATACAAGACCGAGCCCTCTGGCCCAGCATCTATCAATTTGACACTCTTCATCACTTCATGGTCGAAGTCCTGAGCGCTGTTGCGTCAGCTATACGCGATCACGGGCAGAGGAGCCCTATCGTCAAGCCACGAACCACATGACCCGAGGGGCGAGTTGCTGCTATGCGATGGTATCTATAGTGTTTGTTAGCTTCTGCTTTGTGCTGTATGTTGCTTGCCAACATGCGAACTATCATAAGGCAATATTTGTATCTGATGGCTGACGGGTGCCTTGCCTTTCGAACATAGCCCTAACGGCCGCCATAGCCTTTTTGCGTGCATCTTGGTCTGTCATCGTAGAGTGTTCAGGTGTAACATTACAATAGAATTTATATCTGGCACCTGAGGATCTTAATTCTACGTCTACAATGCATAGGCCGCAAAAGGCGATGCGGAGCTCGTTCGGGAAATTCAATTGCCTCGGCCTTTTCTTCGGCGCCGAATTTAGAAAATGACTTGCATCTTGCATGACGCAGCGGGAGTTGCGCAGGGACCGGGTTTGTGGCAGATCGAGGCTTACGCCCGGAAAGTCCACCTCACACGGACTCGACCATGTAGTCAGCGATTACGTCCACCACGGCTGGCCGCAGCAGTGGGGTGAGCGTCTATTTCTGTTCGTCTCCTCTCGTCTCGCACTGTATAATTGCCTTGTCTGATCCTCCTTCCCGCTCGCTGGTCGATTTGCTCTCCATCCACCACAATGGCTTCCTCGACAATATCCCCCGCGAATCGCAACAGGGTCCTCAGGGTCTTGTTCATATCTCTGCTGCTGGACTTAGTAGTACCCCCTCCTGCCCGTGCATGCCAATCCGCTAACCACCCCAGATTTCCTTCACCTTCATCCTCCCCCTCTTCCCCCAGCTCCTCGAATTCTACCGCAACCTCGACTCCGGCACCTCCAACACGCTCCTGAACAAGATCCTGCTCGGCCTCAATGCTTACAAGAACGCCTTCGCCCGCCCCATCAGCTCGCGCTACGACATCGTCCTGCTAGGCGGCGCCCTCGGCTCCCTCTTCTCGCTCCTCCAAGCCATCGCCTCGCCCATCATCGGCACGCTGTCCGACAAATATGGCCGCCGACGGGCTTTGCTGTGGTCCATGGTGGGGAATATTCTCTCCGTCACGCTGTGGGTCGCCGCGACGGATTTCCGCACCTTCCTCGCCAGCCGCGTGGTCGGCGGGCTGAGCGAAGGAAACGTGCAGCTGGCCCTGGCAATCGCGACGGATATCAGCGATGAGAAGCAGCGCGGGGCTACCATGGCGCTTGTGGGTGTGTGCTTCAGCATCGCATTCACGTTCGGGCCGGCTCTGGGCGCGTATCTTTCTACCATCACGAGCGTGGCGGCGAACCCGTTCGCGACGGCCGCGGGGTTCAGCCTCGTGCTTATAGTGACGGAGACGGTATATCTGTATTTCTGCCTCCCGGAGACACTACCTGCTGCTGCCGCCGCTGCTGCCAACATCCCCACTGTTGCGAAGAGGAGCGACGGCGGGGAAAAGGTAAGGGTGAGGAGAACGAACAGCCATACTCTCCTCAACTTCACGCACTTCACCTTCGTCCTCTTCTTCAGCGGCATGGAGTTCTCGCTGCCCTTCATGACGTACGACCTCTTCTCCTACAGCTCTAAGCATACCGGCCGTCTCCTTGGCTTCATCGGACTCGTGGCGTCGATTCTGCAGGGCAGCGTCACGCGGCGTCTGCACCCCCTACGTGTCGTTCAATTGGGGGTCCTCAGCTGTACGGCAGCCTTCTTTGCGCTGGCGCGGCTGGATAGCGAGAGGGGTCTTTATGGAGCCGCGGCGCTGTTGGCGGTTACGAGCGCGACGGTGGTGACGGGGTTAAACAGCCTGAGCAGCTTTGAGGCGGAGGCGGGAGAGAGGGGAGAGAAGTTGGGGAATCATAGGAGTTTTGGTACGATATTGTGCCCTTGTGGATATTCAACAGCCGAATCGCTGACATCGATGCAGGCCAAACGGGACGCGCGCTCGGCCCCCTGCTCTTCTGCTCGCTGTATTGGTGGGCGGGTAGGGAGGTCGCATATCTGGTGGGAGGCACGGGGATGGTAGGGGTTTGCGCGCTGGTTTTGGGTGCGCTGAAGGCGCCGCTGGGAACGGAGATCAAGAAGGGGAAGCGCAATGGGGAGGAAACGAATGAGACAGTCACGGCTGAGAAGCCGGTGATAAAAGTTCAATAGAGTACATAAGACATGATTGACGAACAATTTTCGATACAGAGTACAAGGGATTTGTTGTACAGGTCCTGTTCTCTGCTCTGCCAGCTATGCAATCGTACACGTTCCGAACGTTGCCACAACGACCCAGTCCTAACCCAACCAAAAACGCCGTAGATGCCGCAACGCGCTGAGAGAACGAGACAAGATCAACGTCTCCCCTATGTCGGCGGCGGTTTCGCAGCCCCACCGCCTCCCCTCTTCTTGCCAAACTTCTTCGACTCGGCGGCCGTCCGCTTCTTCTTGGGCGCACCCTTGCCGCGCATTTTGGCCCTGCGTGTCGGAGAGGGTCAGCACTTATTCCCGTCGCTTGTATACCATAAAATAGAACCACAAGCTCCGTGACCCCGTCCCTCCACCTCCCCCATCCTCTCTCCCTCCAAGGCCCCAAAGCCAGGTCCCACCCCGCTGCATAACACAAACAAAATATCCACATACACCTTGATTTTATTCAACCGATCCTCCTCCGCATCATTGACAACCTCAAACGTCGGATACAGATTCTGCAGGTCCTTGAGTGTCGCGACTTTGCGCGGGTAGTACGCAGCGAGCGTCGGGCCTCGGAGGCGCTGTCGGAGCACTTTGTTGCCTAGGCGTAGGCGCTCGGGGTTGAAGGTTGTGCTGAAGATGCGGCATTGGGCCTAAGGCGGAAGGGTTAGCCATTGAGTATTATGGGGGTTGGGTAGGGTGGTGGGGGCGGCGTGAAGTGTATAGCGGTGGGACGGCGCGAAGGGGGGAGGCGATGGTACCTTCATGAGGTCTAATATCCGCGACCGAGGGACCGACATTGTTGCTGTGCTGCCTGATTCTATGATCGTAGGCCGGAGGTTCAATGAAGATATTCGGCGAGCTCTGGCATCGCCGAGGATTCTCCGGAGCACTGAAGCCTCGGGGAGCCCCGCCGATTTTATATTCCACCACTAGCCATGACCGCAGAAATGAGTGGAAAGAGGAGCCACGAAGCGCCGGACGGCCAGGAACAAGCATGGAACTCACAGAAGAAGAAGAAGCAGAAGCAATCACAATTCCACAGCCCTCGCAGCACCAATCCAGACTATCACTCTCCGGACTCTCGCCCATCGCAACAAGGCCACCCCCCACGCGCCTCAGAAGCCTCAGTCCGGCGCCCCAGTGACCAGAGCAATGGCTGCGGCCCGGAGATGCCGCCTCCTCCCCTCCCTCTCCACGCTCAAGACCCACTCACCCTCCTCCGCAGCCTGCTCGACCAGCTCACAGATCTCAACACGCCCCTCGAACCGCAAGCGCTCGAGCACGCCCGAAACCTGCACAAGACGCTGTACCACAACCCTCGACAAACCGCCACCGTCGCCGAGCTAAATGCCCGCCGCCCTCCCAGCGCGTCCTACATCCCCATCCCCTCCACGCAGCGCCCCTTTCCCCGCGGTCCCTCCACGCACACCTCTCTCCCCCCACTCCCAGAAGTGCAGGACGCAGAACTGGCCACCGCAGCCTTCACCCACAGCTCCATCTCCCCCTCCGCCAGCACCAACTACGAGCGCCTTGAGTTCCTCGGCGACGCCTACATCGAGATCATCGCCACGCGCCTCATCTACGCCGCCTTCCCCACCCTCCCCACCGGCTCGGCCGCCCAGCTGCGCGAGTCCCTCGTCAACAACGCCACGCTCGCTTCATTCAGCCGAGGCTACGGTTTTGGCGAGAGAGTCAAAGTTGCTGGGGGCGAGAGGGAGGCGCATAAGGTGTGGATCAAGATCCTCGCGGACGTCTTTGAGGCGTATGTCGCTGCCGTCATTCTCTCTCGGCCGGCGGATGGGTTCAGCGTGGCCGAGGAGTGGTTGATGCAGCTGTGGGCGCCACGAGTGAGGGAGTTTGAGGCCAAGAAGGTGGGTGGAGGGAGCGTGGATACGGAGCCTAGGCAGCGGCTAGCGAATATACTACTATTCCCTCAGCTGGGGGTTAAGTTGGAGTACAAAGAGACGAGGCCTGGTCAGAAGATCAGCAGGAATGGGACCCAGTTGTTTTCGGTGGGGGTGTATTTGACGGGCTGGGGTTATGAGAGGTACTTGTTGGGCGTGGGAGAGGGCACGAAGAAAGGTATTGCGGAGGCAGAGGCGGCGCGAGATGCGTTTGTGAGAAGTGGGGAGATCATTGAGGAGGCGGGGAAGATAAAGTTAGAGGAGGTGAAGAAGAAGAAGGCTAGGGAGCTGGAGAAAGAGATGCAGGAGAACGGTGCAGGGAGGGAGAGGCTAGGGGAGACTATGCGAGAAGAAAATGATGAGATGGGCGGCGTGAACGCTGGGTGAGACTCTGATGTGGTTCACATGCTATGTTGGCCCTGGTTACCTCGAGCGTTTAGATTGGCGGCCTGGGAGTTCTATCCTCTTCACCGAAGATGCTAGGAGGCCAGCTTGGATAGCTGCAGCGACCTTTGGTACCAGGAGATTCCAGGACCCAACATCAGTCTACATATCCCACCAGTGCCATGTTGATACCGCAATAGGTGGAAGGCGCCCGCTTTGGGAAGTTGACCACGCGCCCATCCATCTAAGGCCTGTTGGCGTAAATCCAGCAGTCAAAGCAAGCGGAATTGGCTGGCTGGATCCTAATCCCCCGTAATTCCAAGCTCTCACTATCCGACAATCCTGTAGCTGGAGCCGGTGCAATGACCCCTATTAAATGCTACGCCGTCGCATCGACCTTCGGTGGGAAGCACTTCGCAACCCATGTAAATATTTGTTGCAGATGATGAGGACGGTGAGGACGATTTCGAGGTTCCGACACCCACTTTAGGCCACGGCACGATAGAAGCTGAAGGAGATGACGAGGATGGCTGAGGGTAACGATGGATAACGGTACATGGGAATATTGAGCGCTTCGTTGAGCGTCTCGATTGCCGGCTATGCCTAGCACTTGAGCGATACCGGCGTAACTACCGGTTACAGTGAAGTGATAAAGGTCTTATGGAGTCGTCGTGTATGCTTCTAGCGTCTATTGAAAGTAAAGGTTGAGCAACTGTAAAGTGACGACGCTATCTGTATAATGCTTAATAGGTCGGCGAGGCCCAAGAACATGCATATTTGTTCTGTATATTAAAGTGCATGAAGTCAAGTGTGGGAAGGTCACGGGAGAGTCATGCGCATACAGTTCCCAAGTAGATCACGCCGCTCTTCGAGGTAACTATAACACATGTAATCATTAAAGCTTAATGAAAGTAATGCGCGGATTGGCATTTACCCAAGCATCCTCGTGGACGATCCCAACGCCAATCCTTTGAGCAACCGTCCCTTCCCGCTCGATCATCATGACACTGAGATGGCACCAATCCCTATTTGGATAGATGCTTTCATCAAAGTAGGCCACATGGGTCATATGGGAACGCGACCGCTTCAACCTCGTCACAAGGATAAATTCGAAGAAGCGAGGTTCGTCCGACACTTTCGCAGCGAATATCCGACTCATCATTATTGAGCCCGCTCTTGTTCCATCCGCAGCCCAAATCACTAGGTTCGCGTTATGCTCCCAGAGTCGCCCGTGGCCATTCAGCGACTGAACTTGGCCGTCCAATTGGAATGTTGCAAGCGCGTTCTTGCATGCTAGATATCGTGGGAACCGCCACTCCTCCTCGTCCGTAGGAGCTTTAACCCGAGGAACAATCCGAGAGAACATATCGCGGCCCTTCCAAGAGGGTGGGGAACAGCCATCCCAAGGAGGCGGAGCGACAGAGACGTCTTTATTACCATCCTTGTGATAGTCAATGATGGCATTCGATGCTACCGTACTCAGACGGAAGGCGACGCCTTTGTCATTTATCAAGAACCAATGAATCTCGGAGCGATGTTCTTTGGTTGGGAAATAGGTTCCTAGCGAGGCTCCTGATATCCACCCTACCCAACTCCAACTCGGAAATCTGTTTTGCTTTCCCGTGGATGTCGGCCTTCGCTCAGGTGACCCGTGCGAGCCCTGATCGAGGACCCACCCAAGTACCTGGTCGAAGTGTCGTTCCGGGAGCCCGTACCAGAAATCCGTCTCCATAGACTGTCTGAGTACGGATTCAATCCCCTTGAAAGCGTTAAGAATATCGGCAGAGTCTGACATGTCTCTGCTAGTGTAGTCTTCAACGACAAAGTCATACGCTGTAATACCTTCATTGAGATTTCGGTATGGGGCTCTGCTCAGCCACAGGCGGCCCCAGTTAGAATTTCCCAGACTACGGCTGGTGCTATAAGGGCATATTCGATTCCATAGGGTTGTGCCTGGATAAGTGACAGCTGTCCTGTGAACATCCTCCCCAGCAGAGTCCTCGCAGAAAACGTTACAAGAGCACTGGAAATATGTCTGAACGTGGGTGAAATAGAGGACTCGTCGGGAAAGAATACTCTCTTGCAAAGTCCAACTTCTGGTCTGCCATCTGGTCTGCAATGTTACCCAGTCCACGGATCCTGACGGGAGAATTAAATTCAAACCCTGAACTTCTCGGACCTCCTGCCGCAGAGTTCGCTTCCAGTTTGCGCTGTAACCGGGAAGTCCTCCGCAGGGATCAGGTGACGAAGGTGGAACCGGATATGCGGCTACAATAGTGAGGACGGCTGCACTATATACCCGATCCATCTGTTGCAGCTGCCGTAACTTATGCTCGTCATCATCCTGAATGATACATAAAGCATCAACCCAGAGGTAGCGGAACTGGAGCTCTCTAGCGCATGACATCGCATCCTGGATTGTCTTCGGAAGTTCTGCCATTCTCAGAGCGATGGCATCTTCCTCAAGGGTTTGAAGAAAGGACGATCGCGTCAAGGTAAAATAGCGTGCCTTCCCGGGCCAGCAATAACTCAAAGCTGCGTACCGCGAGCCTTCAGGCATATAACAGACACACATCGTCCCCAAATCAATGGCAAGAAGCTCCGTCGGCTGTAGAGGCGGAACACGGTCTTCGACTTCGCGTCCAGGGGTATCGCAAAATGGTCCATGTTTTGACTCACAGGTCTCCAACCATTTCCGAGCTAAAGATATATCGAAATTTGGTTGTAGGAGCCTTCTCCCCTGGAAGATAGGGGACAATCCGAGTTTAACGGCGTCTTCACATGAAAGCTGTATATCAGCCGCTCGGTAGTTTCCTTCGAAGCCTGCTCCAACAGCAATCACGATGGAAACCCTGTAGGCTCTACTTTCAACCTGATAGTCTGGGTGAGTGTTGTCGCCGCAGCAATAACTGTGCACCCAGCACTGGACGCCTGGATGCAAGACTTCACCCAGATCTTTGAAAATCGGTTGGTCTCTCGGGTTGGATAAGGCTTTAGTGACCAAGAAGCAGAATGCGCAGCTACTGCTCTTTCTATATATCTCGTCCACTGGTCCAAGGCAGATAGCATCAGCACTTGCTCGACGGCGTCTGTTGGTCATCGGAAGCCTATGTATCTCGCGACGGAAGTATTCTGCTATATCGAGCCTCGCGCAAACAGAGCATAAAGTGGACGAGTGCAAGCCGGCGATTCGTAGTTGCTGCTGAGGCTGATCCATTGTGATATCGTGACCTTAATCGTGGTTAGTACAATTTCATCAACTACGCTACACACGCACGCGATTCGGGAATATTGACAACTTACTGCGTGTGCTATTTCGTCCTAAAATCTCGAAACCCTTTTAAGGCAGAGGCTGCACGAAGGCGGCTATGTAAGGTCCGAAAGTGACTTTCATCTGGAGGGAGTGATAGATAGTGTCCGTTTCCTGCACAACGATTCTCAAGGGATCAGACAACTATTAGTAGGGTTGATCGAGCGCACTGTCTCTTAGTCCTAAGCATCAGGCAGGCTGTGCATGCGAGGCTGTCAATCTTGGCATGCATACTGTGCTGCTGACCGGAATCTAGCCTTCAGCCTTGTACTACACCTCCACTCCACTGCTGGTGGTTAGTGTCCGTTACTACATGGTATGCACGCTGCTGGTACATGATCTAATAAGCTCCAGAAGCGCGTTTCCCGGTTCTGAGGCGGGGCTCCAAAAGTCATGCTCGGTCTTTTCACTGATTTTTGGCGCAGAGACCCAGCCTTGCACCATAACTTTTGGAGCCCAGCCTCGTTCCTAACCGGTACAGGTGTTCCACGGTTCGGCGCCTGGTCAGACCAACCTTCAGTTGATTTCAAAAGACCGCAAGAAGCTCCGTTTTGTCCAACCACATGACGAACTTCAACCCTAAGATCGTAAAATACGTTTAAATATAGTAAATCACCACCACAATAAGCTACACATAAGCTAAGATTAACAGGACATTATATTTATATATAATGCTGTAATATGCGATACTAAAAAAATAGTTTTTATAATTTTGAAGATGGGTATTTGCCTAGGAGTGGGCACTAGAGCATTGTTTATAATTAATTAAAGATAGTCTAAGCAGGCGCCGAACCGTGGAAAACCTGTAAGCGGGCTTGGATACGGTAGCAGGATGATTGAACCGTACATAGCAAAGGGTAAAGATGTCGCCATAAGTGTCTGGGCAGCATTCGGTAGTTGGAGGCGATTAGACCTTGTTCAAATCGAGCGAGACCTGGAAAGCACCAAACACTGCTATACAACTAATTCCTACTTTCGAGTCCTTGAACAAAACCTTCTACAGCTATGGAAACCTGGCAGAATCTTTATGCAAGACAACGCCCCAATTCATACTGCGCGTAAGGTGAGGAGATAGTTACCCATAACGGCGTTCAGGTGATGAAATGGCCTCCCTACTCACTAGATCTAAACCCCACTAAACACCTGTAGCTTCACCTAAAGAAGGCCATCTACAAGCTTCAACTAGATATTGAAGATCTGCTTAGGGTCACGCAGCTGTTAATGTACTTAGCAAGGTTTTACCACGTGCGTGGGCATCAACCAAGGATGGTGTATTTGAGGGGTGTTAGCGGAGCATGCAGAAGCGCTCCAAGGCCGTAATTAAAGCACGTGGCTGGTGTACGAAGTATGAAAGACCTTAACACCGTAATAAAGCTGTAGAGAGGTTTATCTGCTACGATCAAAACCCTCATCAAATTGCGACCACTAGTTATGGAGATATCCAGCTGAGTTACAATGAGGATCCCCATAGTGATGAGGTAGTCAAAAAGTCCAATGCTCTTGATACGGTACCACAAATCTGCAATCATTTCGATATCGTCCTCCAACTCAAGCCCCAATCTTTGTCTCCAGAAAAACATCGCAAGCCCTTGGAACACAGGCAAACGACAACTACAATCGCATGTCCGATTGGAACTGTCGCATAACCTATAAATCTTGGACGGTCAGGCGGGCCAGCTCGAGGTCTCTGTCCCCCTCGCTGCTTTGACCCGCAGGTTTGAGACCAGCGAAATTGCATCGACCTGAGTGAAGTACTGTGTGCTTCGGTGTTGCGTCGTATTTGAATCTGATCAACGTCGTTTCAGTACTGCTTCGAGTAGATATGGTGAGCGGGTTCGAAGTTGTCTTTGCACATTGCCCATTCGACGTTGTCGTGTCCTCAAAGTAAAACCAGTCGTCCCCGTTTTCAATGTCGAAAAAGTACTGCTCAGGTTCCGCGGCTGATTTGGAAAGCAAGGAGATATTCTCAATGTATATCAAGCCGCCCTTGACTGTGAACGAACTAAAACAAAAGAAGCGAGTTAGTAATCCATTCATGGCTTGTAGCGATAACGCGGTCGAATCAAGATAGAACACCGAGTTATAGAAATCAATGTAGAAACAGGGAATAACGTACGATGGAAAGAGGTCGAAATTCAATGCGGCGTTGCTGTGGTAGCCGCTTGGTGGAGGATAAAAAGTTACGGGAGAGGGCCATGTCAAGATATCTATTCCCGTCACCCCTCCTTCTCCAACACTCATCTGTTTCAGGCGGACCGAATCCTTCGAACCATGTTGTCGAGCATTTTGCTGCACGCTGTCGGGAAGAAGACTATCTACTTCCCAGCATTCCACCACGATTCCATCGTCTGTATTAACAAAAGCAGTCATGCGGGACTTTTGTTGAACTGGGTCGGCATCATCTGTAAAGTATCGTGTCAGTAAGGAGGTACGAAGAAATTATGATTCAGTCTCAATATGGAGCGCGGCTGATGTTTAAAAAGTAATTGATGAACGGACCAGTTACTCTAGCTCGCGGTCGTGCAAAAGCACCAGAAACCAATAGAGAGGTTAAACCGAGGATAGAGAGATTGTAGAGCTTCATAGTGGCAGACGATGGAAACTTGAGCTGCGGAGAGTTTGTAAAGGCGCGGTTGCTGCTGATGAAAAATCGGATGATGAAGTCAAGCAAAAGAAGGAGGGAAGCACCCCGAATATATACCACGAACCTGACTAACGCGGACAGACTGGTCTATCCTTCGATCGTGAAAGACTTTACACTAGTGATGCATATTCTCAAAAGGGTCCGTTGCAGAATGGGACGGCTATGCCGCAAAGAGCCAGAGCGACAGCATTGCAGCGGTGGAAGGAGCGATTAGTGGCTCCGCAACGTCATAGAATGCAGAGTTAATCAGAAGCCTCAATCACAGCTGAAACCTCCCATACCTGCAGATTTCCAGCCAGCCACAGCCCTGAAAACAACCTCAAACTCCAAACTATCTGAGGTGCTTTTAGCTTCTTGGCGCGCAGATGCCCCCGCTGGACACTTAGTAACTCTGGCTATGATCTTCCAATACATGAATGCTGCAGAATGCATGGTCACACTCAAATGGAGGAATGCCGACCTTGGGATTTAGCTCCCATCTTCAATCGATCGAAATGTGACTAGAAGCAATCTTCGGACTTCACGCTTTCAAAGCAACTGTTTCCAGAGGTAGGCAAAGTAGGGTTCGAGGGATTTAAGACATCTGGAAAACGTTAACCTTATTTAGATGGATCCCAGAAACGACCACCGTTTTGAAAGTCGGTATCCAGATTATCAGGGAGAGCGTGTTCAGCGCGATTTCCTTCAATTAGATATCCGTCAAAAGAAGGTTCAATGTTTAGACCAGAGAACCCCCCGCCGAGTAGCTCCGGCAGCCCCGTACGCCTCCACACGCACCGCTACAGATCGGGTGAACCTGGGCCAACATTGTCGGTATACTTGGCGCTCATGATGCATCGCCAAGCCGGTGAGACTCTATGAGAGGCGGAGTGAGAGCCCGTAATTCACCGTTCAAGGCAGTAAGCTCCGTTTATGCGTTCTCTGACATGGATCGAATAGGCAAATGCACATGAAATATTGCGACTATCGCTAAGACCATGCTGCCGGGCTCCACAGGACTCTATAGTCTATCAAGAGAAGTCTAGCGATGTACACCAATGTCAAAGGGCCGAGCCGGGTTGATCATAGGGACCGGCTAGGATCCGTCGGCGGCTTCGGGTTCAGGAATCAGATCGAGCAGGGCCTCGCGCGATGCAGTTTCGCTTCCATCTGACTTGGGAGGTAGCAGCGATAGTACTAAGAAGGCTTCAGCTGCTCCGCGAGTGTGTTTCGATGCAGGTCGAGGGCACGGGAAAGTGGAGGTCCGATTAATGTGGGCAGCTGAGAGATGAAGTGGAAAGGTTTCAGCCGTGCTGCGGGTAGCGATTGCGTTGATCTGCAGGCTTCGTCGATCGGACCGATTAGGACTATGCATGTAGGACGCAAAATGTCTACGTGCATACACGGTGCGGCGCGTTCGGGGATCCTTGCCGCTTGAACCGACGTCACGTTAGAACCTATCTCTTTCAACTCACGTAGGTCTTGCCCCGCAATCTTCGCTAAAGACCAGTCTTGGTGGTAAATCGCGCTTCAGGCCGCCTGGTGACCTGGCCAACAACCCAGCGGATATCGGCGATGTCATTATTGCTGAGGACGGTGATGCCGTTGGCGACGCTGAGATGCCATCAAGCAGAACGACACGCGAGTTGAAAAGCAATATCGTCCGTGTGCGGCGCCTTTGGAAAAATTTCCGGCGTTATTCTGACGTCCGTGGTGCAACTCTTTCCGGGTAAAACCCTAAGATGGCGTCCGGGCCGCTCCATGCCGATTTGTCCGACGCACCTCTTGCTTGCAGAAGCCACAACCTCTCAATCGGTACGAGCAATTATAGCAACTGTATCCCGCTCGTGTTAACCCTCTCGCGGATATCTGAACCTTTTACCCCATCTTCCTTAGTAGCTCGTATGCACACTCGCGCGGTTGGCCAGTCACCATCCAGAAGTGGCTGCTCGGGGCATCCTCATATGCGTACCAACAGGGATATTTGGTGTGACCGTAGAGTCCTTCTGCAAGCTGGTCTGGGCAGTGCACGCATGCTCAGCACCTCAGCTCAGCGCTACGCTGGCTTTCGGTCCGCCGGGAAACGGTTAATGTAAGCCACGGTGTGATGTTGACGGCAGAAGACGTCTGGCACTGCACCTACTTATGGGGCCATCTGCGACCGTTCCATGGGTTCGCTTTACCGTTCTAGCGGGTAAGGTAGCTCGCGCGAGTTTCGGGTATGCTGCGCCCCGCTCCCGCGAATGACGCAATACGGCGGTGAGTGCGGGGAAGGCTCTGTTGCATCGGCACTTGCTCGAAGGTTTCCATGGGCGTCTGGAAGCAGATGTAATCGTAGAGTCGTGAATTCTATCAGATCGGAGGTCGGCGAACTAACTAGCCGAAGGCTCGCGAACATCAAGACGCAGTTAAATAGTTGTAAGAATTATAAATAATAACCAGGAAGTTTACGTATAGGTTCTAAAAAATATGCTCGTTACTAAGATCCTAATATACTATAGTAAGCCTCTTTCGAAGCTTTAGATTCGGCCTATTAGAGGCGTTATTATGGTCATAGTGTTCCTTAACCAAATCTTGGCAATCTGATAGAAATCACAACTCAACGATTATCTCACGACGGAAGTATCCTGTCATATCGGGCCTCTCGCAAACAGTACAGAGGGTGGACAAAAGCAAGTCGGCGATTTATAGTTACTACTAAGGCTGGTCCATTGCGATATCGTGGCCTTGTTTCAAAGACTTTTTTCTGGGCAGAGGCTGCACGAAGGCGGCGATGTGCTGCTGAGCGGAAGTCTAGCCTTCAGCCTTGTACTACAGAGTATTTTTGCAAAGTGTCCGCCAGGCGATTCTATTCACGAATACGATAAACTTCTTCTCTAAGCGCTAGACTTTAAGTCCATGTCTAGGGCTGCCTTGGATGCCTTGGCTTCCAAGTCCCACTCTCGCCGGTCAAGCAAATAGACGCCGAGGCCTTCTGGACATCTATGGAGGCGGGAACGAAAGGATCTAGCAGTTGGACTAAGGCGGAGGGCACATTAGGGAGGGTCCTGTAGTCCCAACACTGGACGCGGAGACTGCACGTCCATAATAGGGGGTCTTGAGAAGAGATCGACTGACAATATCCATCAACGATTGAACCGAACCAAGGACCTAATAAGGGGGGGGTATAACCGCCTGACTTTCTCGAATGCCACTGAGTTTCTGTATCCCAAACTTCTCGTGACTCCGAACCGTCATGGACCCGAAACTCCCACACGAGGATATCGCCCAGAACTCCAACACCCCCAAACCCCAAACACACCGCTCCACCTACATGACAACGCACTTCTCCTCCTTCTCCACGTTTCCACCCCCCGGTCTCCCAACTCCTTGCGCCCCACTAACCCTCCTCCCCGGCCCCGGCCCCGGTCCCGGCCCCGCGCTTGAATGACTCGGTACCTGCTCCACAAGCGGCCTCGAGCTCCTCCTCCTCCCTGCATCCAACATCGGTGGCTGCATCGGCTGCGTCGAAGCCGCCTGCTGCATATACGCGCTCTGCTGCCTCCCGCCCCCGCCGGTGGCGCCACCGGGGCCAGATGGTCTGCTGATCGGCGCGTGCGGACTCGCGGGATGGCCTCGTGGCGGGTGATACGGCGTGCCGGAGGCGGCTTGTTCGTAGGTTGGAGGCGGAAGGTCGTCCCTCTGCCCTGTCGCCCCACCTCCGCTCTGCCGACCAACATTCCCAGACCGTCGCGGCGGGATAAGCGGGCGAATCTCCTGGCCCTGCGGCCGCCGGTTCTGGTTCGTGTTGCGGATAGCCTCGTGGTCGTTGTTTTCATGGCTGAGGAGCTGCTGCGTCAGCTGGTCTTCGCGCCGGCGACGCGCCTCGGTCTCGCGGTGCAGGCGGTCTTCTTCTTCTTCCTGGAGCTGGAGCGCGAGGGCGAGGTCGTGGTCTTCTTGCTCGGCTTTTGAGAGGGTGGATTTGGCTTGTTTGACGCCGATGATGTTGGCGGAGGAGCTCTGCGGGGCGGTTGTGCCGGACTGGCTTGTGCCGCCTACTACGCCGGTTTGTTGGGCGGAGGTGGAGGCGTTGGATACCGTGCTTGGTGTGGGTTTGCGGTTGCGGGACTGTACGGTGGTCCAGCCGCTGTCGCCGACGTCTAGCATGCTTTGCACTGGTCGCTGCTGCTGGGAGCTTGTTCGCGGGCCTGCGGGAGTGGAGTCTGAGGCGCCGCCTACGGGTCGGAAGTCGCCGGAGTAGAGCTCGCTGCCTTGGCCATTCACGTCGACTAGGCTTTCCCAGACGATCTCGTCGTGAGTTGAGTAGCCGGCGTCGGTGACGAGGGTTAGCAGCTGATGTGTCCGAGGCTCCTTGTAGAGCGTGGAGAAGTGGTCGTTGCGGAACAGGATAGCTACTTGTCCCGGCTGGAGGGTTTTGGAGATTGTTTCAAGCCCGTAGTCGGTCAGCTGGGTGGGCCACCTCTCTAGGAAGTCTTTAATGCAGTGGATGTCTTCATAAAGATTCTGCTCTTCAGGCGAGAGACCGTGCGACTGCAATTTGTGTTCCAGCTCTTCCTCCCTGAACTGAATGTTTTGGGCGTCCTCGAACGTTCTTGCCGATCTCTCAAAAGCTGCATATGCGCCCGACTCGCTCGGGGGAATCCAACCGTGGATGAGTGGTATGCTAAACGTGCTGTACAGCCGCATTTCCTTCGTCTCCTCGAAACCACCTGTTCTTGCTTGGCCACGAAGCGCCGGGTGGACGTCAGCTAATGCGGCCGCGCTCGAGTCCATCAGGTTTGGGGCGGCCTTCGGCGCAACAAATCGCGGATTGACATTCATGCCAGTGTGCAATGTGATCAAAAACCCGTACAGGTCGCCTACATCCGGCAGCTCTTGCGCAGCTCCACCTCTACGTCCGGACATCAGCTCGTCGAAGACTGCATCCAAGAGCAAGCCCAGGGACACCTGCTCCCGCGTTCGCAAAGTCTCAATCAGAGCTGTTTCTTCACCAGCGGGTGTCGTTAAGACTAAGGCATTGACTAGTGCAAGCAGGGGACACGGGCCATTGGCGTTCTGGATGAGAATCGGTGCCGGCCTGAGACTGCGCTTATTCGCATCATACCAATGGATGTGCTTAATCTGGTAATGCTCCTTCCTTTGCCTGTTGGCTCTGGTTATCGGAGTCTCCACTTCTGGCCTACTGGATGCAGGACCGTTAAGCCCGACGTCTACTTGTGGCCGCGGAGGCTTCGGCTGCGGTACCCCTTCTGTAGACGTCCGTGGCGGCAGCTCTGGAGCGATTTCTTGTGCAGGCACAGTATGGTCCAGGTTTGTTATCGCAGCTTGTTCACCCCTGTGCCACTCTTCTTCTGCCTTCCGTTCCTGCTCGGCTTTCGCGGCACGCTCTGTCGCAGCCGCTGCCTCCATCTCCCGCCTCTCCCTTTCTTTCTGCTCCCAAGCTTGTTGCTCCTGCCAGGTGCGGTGGAGTTGTTGGGGGCTATCGGACTGTCCTGAAGGTAGCCGATGGTTCCTCGATGTGAATGCATCCAGTGAAGAGATATCCATCCCCGGATCCCATGCGCTGGAGGCATTCGAATGGTGCCTCGGTTCCGGCGACGGTCTTTCTGTCTCTACCGGTATCAAGGGTGGCTGCTTCGAGGCAGGTGACGGCGGCATTGCTTGGCCGGAGCTGGTGCCTGACTGTGTGTTGAGCGACAACTTGGACACGCCCTCTACCGGCGAGCGGTCTGACGGTAACTCCACAGGCTGGGCATTGATCTGAGAGGCTACTGGCGCCGACGCAGGCACATCGCCCCATATTGAGGCGCTGCTTTCAACCCCATAGCTTGACTGCCCGGTTGACTGCATTCGCAAGTAAGGGTTCTGGGACTGGAGAGGGATTGGCTCGCGGTATGAGCTCCCTGTAACATTGGGAGAGATTGGTCGAACCCCGTCCGACCTTTGGCTCTCCTGTGATCTCCTCGGTACGCCATCGGGAGGCCCTACTCGTAGAGCTGCTGGTAAACCATTCTCGTCTCGGCTGGCTGGACGCTGACCCTGGGCAACCTTGAGCGGCGCGGGCAGGTCTTCCGGTGTATGGTCTGCTGCGTCCTCACCGTCATCCGTGTCCCATGTATCAACAGAACCGACGTCCGAGTTGCTCCTAGACCGCGGAGCGGAAGCTGCCCCGCCATCCTTGAAGCCGGGTGTGGGGAACTCTGCAGATGGCCGGCTACCCTGAGCACCGTCGAGGAAGGTAGGAGGCATGTCGGTGTTGGGAGTGGTAGGATATGGTGGATTGTTTGCGGCCTGTTGGAGGGGTCGAGGGACCAAGTCCGGCCTCTCGTTGCTTTTCATCACCATCTTGCTTCGCGCTCAGCCAAGACGCTTGGAGGCGCGGACACTCGAGAGGCTTCGTATATCTAGGGAGTGCGCAATAGCACACGCGCCCCACGGGTGGTTGTGGCTTCGCGGGCGTCGGAGGATGTAAGCGCAGCTCGTGATAGCTCAAGGAGCTGAACAGACAGAGCGAAGGTAATATACGGGCGGTATGAGTGAGTGCCTTCAGCGATTTGTTTCTCGCTTCGCAGTCGGTTAACGTAGCAGCTTCTGTAAAGGAGAGTATCTTTGTCCTTGGTATGCTAAAGGCGAGCTGCTTGCGCGGCACTGCGCGGCCAAGCACTCGTATGCGGTTCATCGTTCGTCACTGGCAAAGCCACAGTGAGGCGCAAGCTGGGTGCCTTAGGCCTCGACGAGCTGAAGCCGCGGCATCCTAACTGACCGCCCTGGGGGAACTACAACGCTCTTTTTCTGCCACAGACATTGAATTCATGCCTTCAGGCTTAAAGTAATTCGAGAAGCCGACCGAACAGCTCTCAACGTCTGATGTTGTTTCCTTGAGGTTGACAGGCGCAAACACTAGCCTACGATAGTAGATCGGATTATGGATAACTCTAGTGCTATCCACTCCTACGTCCGCCCGAACACTCACATAGTGCTGCGACTACCTTCAGGCCTGTCGAAGATAGTCGAGATCCAACCGAATACGTACGTGGAATGTGAGCATACACGACTAGCTATCTTCGTCTCCTTCCAGACCGAACCACATTCTCACAAGTCAACGCAGCACCATATCCATAGGCAAATTCGGCGCATTCTCCGCAAACCTCCTGCTCGGCCGGCCATACTACCTCACCTTCGAGCTCTCCGACCCAGAGGATGGAGTACTATCCACAGAGCTACGCGTTGTATCCCCCACGGAACTCCACGCAGAAGCCCTCTCCAGCAACCATGCGACACCCGCCGAATCCCGCGCCGAGGCGGCGGACGACACCGGCGGCGTGGAATTCGACATCGTGGGCGAGAACGGCGACGTCCTGATGCGCAGTAACCGGCTCACCGTCGACGATCCGACGCGCCAAGCTCTGTCTATGGAAGAGATCGAGGAGCTCAAGCGAGCGGGCTCGGGTTCGGGAAAGGACATTGTCGCGAAGATCATGGCGAGCCACCAGGCGCTGGGCGAGAAGACGTCGTTCTCGCTCGCCAAGTACACGCTGCGGAAGACGAAGAAGTACATGAAGCGTTTTACGGTCCTGCCGCTGGACGTGTCGATGTTGGCGCAAATACTGCTGGAGAGGGAGGCGCCGAGGATCATGGAGCTGAGGGAGGAGATGCTGGGGTTGATCAGTGCTTGGGCGAACGTGCACTACAGCGGTGACAGCCGAGACTCTACAAACGGGTCTGGTGTCGGGAGGGTAGGGGGCGGGAGGTGGCTCGTTGTGGACGACACCGGGGGGCTGGTCGTGGCGGCTCTGGCGGAGAAGATGGGGATACTGTATCCGGAAGAGGCGGACGAGGAAGAGACACTACCCGAACAAGAGACCACAACGGAATCGCATCCCTCACAAGCACGGCCAGTAGAACCAGCCCTCAGCGCCGACGCACAATCACCACCCCCACCATCATCCGACCAAGCGATGCCCGACGCGCCTCCAACCTCCCACCCCCTCTCAACATCCGACCCAACCCCCTTCTCTCCCTCCCACACACGGCGTCCTCACCCCACCAATGCACCCCCCGCCATGTCCGCCCCAACCAACACCCTCACCCTCCTGCACACACACGCGCAACCCAACCTCTCCCTCCTGCGCTACTTCTCCTACGACGCCTCCCTCACTCATCCCCCCACAACCACTCACCCCCTGCACACGCACCTCAAAACGCTCTCCTGGCTACAACTCCTGCACCCCTCGTCTGACGCCGCCTATACCGAACCTCTCTTGGTTCCCGAGGCCGAGCTCGCGACCTGGAAGGCGGGGAAGAGGGGGACGTACTACCGCAAGCGGCGGCGGTGGGAGCGGGTTAAGCGAGTCGTGGACGAGACGCGCGCGGGCGGGTTTGATGGGTTGGTTGTTGCGAGTTTGCTGGATCCGGTCGGGGTGTTGAGGGCTTGTGTGCCGTTGCTGAGGGGCGCGGGACAGGTTGTGGTTTATAGTGCGACTGTGGAGCCGTTGGTTAGGGTTATGGACTTGTACTCGAGGGAGAGGAGGACGGCGTGGGTGGTTAGGCAGCAGCAGCAAGGTCAGCAGCAGGGGAGAGGGGCGGCAGGTGAAAGTGGTGGAGTAGGGGATGAGAAGAAGGTCAAGAGGGAGGCGGTGAATGGCACCGAGGACGTGGAAGCGGAAGAAGCGGACGAGGATTTCCCGGTCAATCCTACGCTGCTGCTGTCGCCGATGCTGCAGACGGCGAGGGTAAGGAGCTGGCAGGTCCTTCCTGGACGGACGCACCCGCTCATGACGGGCAGGGGCGGCGCCGAAGGCTACCTCTTCACTGCGACAAGGGTGTTCCCTGTGGAGGGAAAGGTCGAAGCCAGGGGCAAGTTCTCCAAGAAGAGGAAGGTTGAACCAACTAACGGAGCCGCGTGACCGATGGAAATGGCGGCGACTGAGGGGCGAATGTGTTGCATGAGAAAAAGCTATGAAAGCTGTATAGCATGTATATTGCTCCGTACGACAGAGCGGTCAGCGGCAGGAGCTCGTCTAGATATCTGCAAGCACATCGCGCTTCATGGAGCGCCTTTTGCTACTGCTACTGATATGAGCAGTCTGGAGTTCCACAACGCCGGCAAAATGCTCATTGCTCAGCTTTCAGGCTGTGACCCAGACTGGAAACCTGGAATCTGCTCCTTTTCAGCTGATTCACAGCGCCTTGCCCATGAATTTCCGCTTCGTGTAACTCAACCACCACTAGCACAACCTCGTCAGCACATCGGCCCTCATACCAAGCCCAAAACTCGCCTCACTCGAAAAAGAAAAGCCCACACTCACCTTACTCGGCGCATCCCCCTCCGCATACACCCTCCCCAACAACCTCCCCGCAATCTCCTGGCGCAGCTGCATCAGATACCCCCTCAACACCTCCGCCTGCCCCCTATCCCTGGGCGCCTCAAACGCCTGATTAAGCGGAAATCCCGCATCCCCCGGCACCTTGAAACTGCTATCCAGGCTCACATTGCCCAGCGCTTTTTCCCCCTCGCGCCGGCTCATACCGGGCTTCAGCCGAGACAAGCAGTCCGACACGAAGAGGATCCCGTAGATCAGGATGCGGTCCGCGGGGCCCTTGATCTCGAAGTTGCGGAAAAAGGTGTTGGCGCGGAAGAGGGAGAGGATCTCGTCGACGGGGTCGTAGGAGGGGTGAGATGCGTCGATGATGAGGTCGTTTTCGGTGGGGGAGAGGGGGGGGAGTTGTTGGGCGGGGCCGCGGGTGCGGGTGCGGAGGGGAAGGAGGGCGATGTTGCCTATGGGTGTGTAAGCAGTCAGCCCATCTAAGGGTAGGCATGGAGGGGTGAAGATGCTTAGGGTTGTGGGCGGAATGTACCTATTATCTGCTGGTTGGGCTCATCAAGGAAGATGGAGTGGTAGGCCTGGGTAAGTGGTTAGCTATGGCTGCTTTTCCAAGCTAGCGGTGATTCTTACCGGCATCGTGAGGGTGGGTGCGGTCTTAGAGCTGTAGAACGTATGCGCTAGATAGCAGGTACCCCAGATTCAATGGTGGATGTTCTGATGGCGTAGGGCTGAAGTGGGATGTCAGTCAATCTGATTAGATCTTGAGGCGGTCAATTTACGCGTCTCCCCCAGAGCGCGTCTCCCGACGTCGAGAACTGTCGTAGGGTCAGACCACTGCTATTTTTTGAACTTCGATAGCTGCGCGACACCAAGAATCATAGCCAATTCTGCCCATAAGCTTCATTTGCCGGCAAGATGTCCGACTTCGAGGATGACGAGATGGACCTAGATGCCCCGGCGGTGCAGAGCGCAATCAACTTCAGCTCGAACAACACCGCGAAGGGGAAGAGAACTGCGGCGAACCTACCGGTGGAAGCAGAGGATACACTGCCCTGGTATATGCTGCATATTAGTCGGGCAATACAGGGCTCTAACAGCCGCACAGGGTAGAGAAGTATCGGCCAGTTTCTTTAGATGATGTATCCGGCCATCAGGATATCCTTGCGACCATCAACAAGTTTGTGGACTCAAATGTAGCTTCCAGACAGCCTTACACTCTCCAAAACATGTGCTAAACTGTGCCAGCGACTCCCTCACCTCCTCCTCTACGGGCCTCCCGGCACAGGCAAAACCTCCACCGTCCTCGCGCTGGCGCGGCGGATATACGGTACCAAAAACATGCGACAGATGGTGCTCGAGCTCAACGCCAGCGACGATCGAGGCATCGACGTCGTCCGCGAACAAATTAAGACCTTCAGCAGCACGAAACAGATCTTCACCTCCGCACCACCCCCAGGCTCAACGGCCGCTCTCGCCTCCTTCAAACTGATCATCCTCGATGAAGCCGACGCCATGACCGCAACCGCTCAAATGGCGCTGCGGCGCATAATGGAAAAATACACCGCCAACACGCGCTTCTGCATTATAGCCAACTACACGCACAAGCTCTCCCCCGCGCTGCTGTCACGCTGCACGCGCTTCCGGTTCTCCCCGCTCAAAGACGCAGATATACGGCATCTCGTCGACCGAGTAATCGAGGAAGAGGATGTACAAATTGCGCCCGACGCCGTGGACAGCCTGGTCCGGCTGAGCAAGGGCGACATGCGGCGCGCGCTGAACGTGCTGCAGGCTTGCCATGCGAGTAGCACGCCGCTGCAGCCGCCTGGGAAGCCACCGCCGGATCCGAAGACCATCCAGCGCGATTTTATCACCGAGACGACTATTTACGAGTGCATCGCCGCGCCGCATCCGGACGACATCCGCGCGATACGGGACACGCTGTTGCAGAGCTCGGATGTGACGAGTTGTTTGCTTACGATTAATCAGCTGAAGACTCTGAAGGGCCTGGCGTTGGCGGATATACTGACTGCGCTCGGGGAGGAGCTGGCGAAGCTGGATGTGCCGGCGCAGACAAGAATCACGTGGATGGAGGGGCTGGCGGAGGTGGAGTATAGGCTGAGTGGAGGTGGCAGCGAGGTGGTGCAGACGGGGGCGGTGGTGGGAGTGGTGAGAAATGGGGCTGAGTTGCTTGCGAGGGCGAAGAAGTAAGGCTCGTTGCGGGATTGGAGTAGCACGGCTTTTGGGCGTAACTCATCCCGGAGGCGAGGATGAACACACCACTGAAGCACTATTTAGCGCGCCGAAGGAGCCTGTGCGAAGTTCAGAAGTCCAGCCGGCTATAGGGAGCGTGAGCTCCAGCTGCAGTCTGGGTCGTACGGCGCTAGGAGCATCGAGCTAATCCATGTAGAAATATATCCACTGAACCAGCCGTTTTAATCTTCGTTCAAGTTAAGGAACTTAGAGTACGAACTCGTCACCGTGCAGCTGGGGGGCGGAGCGCACTATAGGATCGTGTTCTTCTAATATATGACTATCATTGTCTTGGTCTTATTTGTGTTCTTCCAGCAACGTTTCACATGCACACCCTTGGATGTCCTATTCTTGAATGTTCTGTGTTATGCTTCTCTGTCGTCTGTTGACGGTATTGATATTTCGTGTACCGCGGCCATGGTGGCAGCTACGCGGCGCAGCGGGCGATTTGTAGGCGGAGCTCTACGGTCAGGGCTTGACGCTTCCAGATCTGTTTCCACTATCCCAGTAGGAATCCTCATGCCTTAGTCCCTCCCTTACCCTCTCCTCTGCCAGCTTCCTTGACCTCAGACCTCCCCGGTCCCTTGGCCGCGTCTCTAACCCCAGAGCAGCCCGCTCCCATAACGCCCTCTCCTCTAACCTCAGAGCAGCCCGCTCCCTTTCTCGAATCATCTCCACACGGAGGAACTCGTACTCTTGCATTCGTTGCCTCTCCTCCTCCTCTTCGCGCTCAGCCGCCTCCCTCTCCGCCTCGTCTCCCGGAAGTGACCAATCATCAGTGGAATTGAGCGGGCCTGCTAATGATGAGTCTTGTGCGCTTCGGTCTACCCCTTGACGCACGTTACTGTCAGCTTCAGGAGTTGTCGCTTCTTCGTTGAAACCGCGTGGGAGAGCGAACAACGCAATCCGCTGGAGATCATACGCAAGATGATTCTGCAGGCCGTTTACAAATGGGCCGTTTTTGAGGCATATAGGGCAAGTTGACCGTTCGTCTTGTAAGCTGGTCTCGGCCAGCTCAACTAGATCCGGTATTTGGTCTTCTGTAAGACGATCGGCGTGCTGCGCACGGAGGTGGTCTGCCAGGAGTTCTGGAAACCGAAAGACCGCATCTGTGTGCTGATAACACTGCCAGACCTTCCGGTGTGAGTGAGCTTCGTGCTCAGCCCACTGAGTCCGACTGCTGTACATTTCGTTGGGTTCGGCGCAGTCATTGTATGTGCAAAGATATGGCTGAATGTCTCGGAGTACATGGTTCCTACGACGTATCAGCCCATATATCACGCCGGAAATAGTTGTGCTCTGGCCATTCTAGAAGTTTTGTACCTATTGACATTTCACACTGCTATGAGCTGGTGCAGACGCAGTTTCTCGCAGAGTTCCATCAATGACAAATATGAACCACAAGGTCGATGTGGCTGTTTTAATGGAAGGATTGGCTCACCTCCACGACCGTCCCTTGCCATGCTTCGCTGGGCATAGCACGCAACAATAAGGACAAACCTGATGAAAACAATGAGCGTCAACGCAATCAAAGCTAAAGACGTTTGTTCCTCTTACGAAATCTTGACCATGAGCTACCATTCTCGGTGGCGGCGGAAGCTCTACTGCGTGCCTTTCGACATCCCAAGCAGTGCTTGCGTAAGAAACAACAGATGCTGAATCGAGTACATCATCCAGTTTCTTATCATACATAGCTGTCACCTCCGTCTCCGGATACATGGTTGGCGGTGGTGTGGTCGATGCATGTTCTTTGATGATGGTCTTTTCCGCTTGGGTATCGATCGTTATGTCAACTTCGGTTTGTACTGGTTTCTGTAGCATTGAGAACGAGGGGTTAAACAGTGAAGGACCAGCAGCGAGTTTGTCGGCATGTCGACTCCAATACCTAATCTGTCTTCGGCGGTCGGTAACTGCATGAGTAAGGCGCTTGAAAACTGCTTCGTTCTTTAGCACTTCCTTGGATGAGATCGGGATACCAAAGCTTCTGAAGAGATCTAACATAAAGCCTTCGTCGAACTCTGCATACTTCTCAAAGATGTCGACCTTCTTGAACTGAGTTGCCGTCGAGGTCTCTGCCATAGGGTTCTCAGGTACGGGAACAGGAAGTCCTACAGTTATACTAGGGTTCTCAAGCCCCTCAGTCAGTGTCTCAGAGCTTTCGAGCACGTCCAACCAATCTACAATTTTTTGTCATGTCTCTCCCCCAATGTTTCTTGAAGTCGCCGGGTCTTCCGAGTCTACCGGGGCGAGTTCCCGGTATGCTCTGGCCTTGATTGATTTAGGTCTCAAAGCGGGGTTTCGTATCTTGAATGACAGCTTGTTCATGTCACCCAGTATACCACAGATCGTGGACAAACGCATCTGCAGTTCTGCAGGTTGGTCGCTGCCATCTCCATTATTGTCGTCGGAGTCACAGCCGTCGTCCTCACTAAAGTCAGAAGGATAACTTTGCTCTTCATACGGTAGCCTTGTCCCAGAGACTACAGAGACGCCTGGGAACGAGTCAGGGCATTAAGACTTTTTACTGGAACTGGCTTGGGGTCTACCACTTGAAAGAATGCGTGCTGATATCGTGCGTGAAATTGCTGTGCAGCAAGCTGCAGGGATGCAAATAGTTGATCATATCCGCGAATTAACTACAAGACCTACTCTCAGAAAGGTCATCGTGGAGCTGTTCCAAAAGCTTTAGAACGTTGTCCTGCATGACAAGAGATTCGCGAAGGCGAAAGTCTAGGGATGCGTGGCCCCGTTGTAAGGCGCCCAAGTTTCCACACCAGACTTCCTATACAGTCAAATCGAGGCCTGTATCTTTCAAAGCTCTACTAGCCTCTCACCTTTGAACCGGCCGTGTTCATTCTCAACAGCTACGGCGGGCATCGATCCTTCATACTGAGAGTTGCTGCTGGCCAGAAACGAAGACAAGTCTTTGAACAAGCGCATGCAGACATTGCAGCTCTTAGCAATCGCAGACATTGCAGCGTTTGTACCTCAGCGTCTTCAAAATTTCGGAGTTACATAGGTGAAATAATAAGGGTCGTGAGAGACGATGCGACGCATGTGAGTTCCAGGAGGCCTTGAAGGCGGGGTCGTCAGCCGCCCCACGCATGCAGGCTGACACCATATGCTGGTTGAAGTCGCGCCTGCCGGCGGCCAACCCAAGCTCCATCGTCTTCGTTCGCGTCGATGTTGTCTATTACAAGCAACTAGGGCCTGCTGCGCAAGCGACTTTACGACATGTCTGGATTCGAGATCGCGGGTGTTGTACTCGGCGCAGTTCCAGTCCTTATTGCAGCGGTTGAGCAATACAACAAAGCGCTCGATCCTGTGAAAGCTTTCTTCCAGTGGCAAGAAACACTGAAGGAGGCCCGGCGGACTCTCTGGCACCAACGTACCTCGTATGAACTGACGCTACAGGCTCTTCTGAAAGGGCTTGCAAGCAACACAGAGCTTGAAGAAATGATGGAAAACCCGAGAAGTGACCTATGGAGTAGCAGAGATATCAGACTAGGGATTGAGGAGAAGCTGGGGGTTGCCTATCCCAACTACCTCGATACTGTTAGGGAAATAGGGACAGCCATGACGACTCTCTCGACGCATCTTGACATTGACAAAGCGAGCGGGGTATTGTGTTTTCCGGACCCGGTTTTCGTGCACTGTGCCGTACTGAATCGAGTATCACAGAAAACCAGGAGCGAACTAGAAGCCGTTGTAATAGCCAATCCACCAGTCACGACTTCGGAAAGGGGAAAACCTAGATTCGAATTTCGAAGAAGGGTGAAGTTCACAATGAGAAGGAGAGAGGTGGCGGCTTTGATGCAGAAGTTGAACGAGTGCAATGAAAGACTGGACAAATACCTAGAGAAGGCAGAAAAGCTTGACGACGGGCCGGTCACAAAACCCCGCGGGAGATCAACGTTCACGGTTCCGTTGTCGCAGATCCAAGAATATGCCAACAGCCTTCACTGTATCCTCACCCGAGCTTGGGGCTGCCTAGCTCATGACGCTCATTGTGCAAATCTGTTGCTGGAACCTCGGACGAAACTGCCAAAGGGTCATGAAACACGGTTCACGCTGTCCTTCTTGGATCCTTCTCTGTCTTCGAGATGGCAAGATGCCGAGATTCGCGTTGTCGATAGCTCAACCTCCACGATCGGGTGAGTACTTACCATCCAGTTGCTTTCGAAGCCATAATACATATAATATAATGCCTGTTGTGGAGCGCTCTGGGACTCTCGATCTTCCCACTTGACTTGCTTGGCAATACCAATCAACAATTACATCTGGCCCCCTCCCGTAGAAGGTGGACTCTCTTAGCAGCAACCAGGCATGGTTCTTCAGACACTCACAGCCCGACTTGATATCGCCACAGCGTTAGTGTTGATGTACTGACATTCCTTCAAAGCGGAATAGGCCGGGTCGGGTTTGTTGTCTCGCCGCCAACACCGTCTTCGACTCCAGCACCGAACGACAATACCTCAAGCCTTAAAGAGATTACAGACCTGTGCTTAACCTTACGACAGGGTCAATCACCGCCAGCGTGCTTGGAGTTTCATCTAGACTGCCAAACAAGATTATTAGGTATTCGTACAGTTAAAAAGCAGCACTCGAATTCCGATGGCTTTATTACTTTGGAGGAGCTGCTGACTGCGCCGCCCATGGAGAATGGGAGGCCGGCAAAGCTGTCTACAGGGGACTCGTATCAACTCGCTGTCACTCTTACTTCCTCCTTCCTACAGCTTCATACTACACCTTGGATATCATCAGAATGGACTAGAAAGGACGTCGTCTTTCCGATGAACGGCAGTGCGTCCAACAAAAGAGTCGATTTCAAACGCCCACATGTCACAAAGCTATACCTTTCTTCCAACTCCAACCCGCCGGGTGCGTACAAGTGGTTCTCCCCTCCGCGATCAGCCTCTGCCCTCATCCGTGGCGTGTTGTGACAGCTCACTCAGCTCCCCAATTCAAGTACACTGGCAATCTATGGGCCTGCGAGCTGACTTGAATCCCAGCAATCATTGCTGCAACACCGGACAACGACGGTGGTAGGCTTCTAAAGCTCGGAACCATGCTTTTGGAGATCTTCTGCGGGCAAAGAATAGAAGACCGCAAGCAGGAAGAGAATCTAGCAATATCTGGTAATTCAGATGATGTCACAAACCTTGGTGTGCTTCGGCGATGGATTAAAGCCAAGGAACAGGAAGGGAACCTTTCTTGGGCAACCAAAGATGCGATTTCGCATTATATCGCTTGCTTTGCGGATCCTCGCGCTGACTTACAGAACACGGATTTCCGTCAAGGTGTCATCGAAAAAGTCATTTTACCTCTGTTAGATGAGCTGCACCATTGGAAAGGGGCCGCTTGACTGGGAAAGGCTGCCGCTGAGTTGTCAATTGCTCCACTTTTTATTTCCTAGCTGAAGTGAATGTATGAAGCACTGGTCAGTAGCATGCAGCGTGAAGGTGAACTGCGCTTCACTCTGCGCGTCGTTGCCTTTCCAACCTTCCACCACTCTGCGCATCCAGTTCCTTCTCTCATCGCCGCGATGCGCCCTCGCATCCACACTTCAGCCTTCTAAACCGCGCACGATGCATTCAGTGGCTCAAAGGCTAAGAATCTCTCAGAGTCAACAAGAAGGGATGGCCGACGATGAGATTCAAGCATTGGTAGCTGCGCAAATCCGCCGCGAGATGGAACAAGCGGAGCTGTCCACACGTCTTGAGAAGCGATTAACAGACAAGACACAGACCACCCAAGACGTCGAAGACACGCGTGAAGCGGAAGAGGAGGAGATAGCTGTTTCTGATGCGAAGACGGAAGAGACCTGCAGTGCTGCTAGATCGACGAATTTGACACCAGTTGAAGAAAACGAGGTGAGAGCGCAAGGCTAAACAATCGGAAGCAAGCTGCTGACGCCGGACGCCAGAGCGATGACACTAAAGCAACCAGCCGGCTCTCATCGCTTTGGAGCCGCGAGCAAACCTGCTCCAACACCTGTCCCTACACCTGTCCGCCAAACCACGCAGCCATCCTCCGACAAGTAGCTCTGAACCTTTCCCGCACCAACAAGTACTTCAACGCGATGGCAAGCGAACTGCTCGCAGCCATCCAAGAGCTCTGGATCCTAGACGGCGGCGGTTCCCTGGAGGCAGCCGCCGACTTGGTCATCCAGGACGTGCTCAACCGAGGCCCGGCGTTCAACAATCTCGAAAAGGTCGGCCACCAGACGGCTTGCGCGATGTGGTTGCTGCAGTGCATACGAGCTGGCATCTACCATCCGGCGATGGATCAATGTGGTCATGGGAGGGTGGTGGGGTTCAGTGCGTTAGAGCTTGGGGCTCTACCATTCTCTGTCAGTGGTGCGCGCGTCTGAAGGGGCTGTGTTCTTGGGAGGCAGGAAATATGACTGTGGCTTGCAGTCTTCAAACAGGCGTTGCATTTTACAAAGCCTGATTCGGGTTTTTGGGGTGCTTTGCAAAACGTGCGCTATTTGACCATATCTTGATAATCCATGGAACTCAGGGCGGCTGCTTTAATCTCCGACTCTAAGGTGCGTACCCATTGCCGGTTCGGTAGGGTAGTGGCGCGAGGCCTTTGGGCTCTAGATACGCTACCCCCAGCTCTATTCATTTCGTGGCGTGTCCAACCTAGTAGAGGATCTCGGAACTTTTTGTTCAGCCCAAGTCAGATCACTGCACGTAACTCGGCCTCGTTCCAGTAGCATCTCTCATAGCCATAGCATATCATTCTAATGCGCCGCTCGGCCGCGGGTACCTGGTTCTCTAGATGCCATTCCACCATTTCCAGTAGTGCGCAGTGACTGCTACCAGAAATCCCCCCTTCCCACAAAGTGTTCCAGACGCATCACCAGCCCCCATATCCCTCACTTCTCGGCCCTCGCTGCAACGACAAGGGCAAAGCTGTATACAGAGGTCCCCTACCTTAACTCAATGGCTGGGAAATATCTTGGCCCCGCGAACCCGTAGGCGGTTACGCTCTGGATGTCGATGTTGCCGCCGTGTGCGAGTGGGCTCCAGAGCTTTAGGAGGATGAACCTGCCCGAGCTAGTGGTGTTATAAGGAGTTAGCAAGGACGACATATATGTGGAAGGGGCACAGGACCATTCCCGGTTTCGGGTAAAGATCAGGGCGAGATAGGTCGTCAAAGTACAACAAAATCCAAGACGGAGACTGTAGGGGACACTCACACAGGCGGATCAAACCTGACCGTAATCCGACTCTTCCCCTTCTCGATAAAGAACCTCGCATGCGGCGCCGGGACCTCCTCTCCCCCCTCCCCCGCCGCACCCGGCGCCTCCCGAACCTGGAACCGGCTCGGCGCGGTCCGCTGGATGGCCCTGACATACCCCAACGGCCCAGCCGGCATCCGCTCCACCCAGTACCTGGTCATGTTCAGCGGGCGCATCTCGTCGTCCTCGTCCGTGTCGCTGTCGGACTGGGGCCGCCATCTGCTGTCGCGCCTCAGCCGGTCCGCGATGGTGGCTGCGCTGGACTCATCCTCGTCGCTCGGCTCGTCGTCGGTGTCGGTGGAGACGGTGAAGGGCTGGGTGATGGGTGGGAGGTCCACGCGGGGTGTGGACGGCTGTGCTGGGGCGCGAAAGGCGGGCCAGTCGCAGACGTCGTAGGTGCTGTTGCTGTTGTCGGATACTGTGGGGAGGAAGAGGTCTTCGTGGCTTCGTGGTCGTGCCACTCCCCTTGGATGCGCGGCTTGGCGGAGCTGGTTTGCACGCCTGCTGTATGCTGCTTGGACTTCCGGGTCGCGGAGGCTCTCCAGCAGCGTGAGCTGTTCTTCTCGGTTCCGTGCAGGTGCGGAGCGTAATGGCGGCGCGGTGGACGGGTCGAGGTACTGGATCTCGTACTGCGAGGTGCTGCTGAGCAGCTTGTCTTGGGCCATGGACACGAAGATCATCCCCTCTTGCACGCTATATGTATTGTACACGTCAGCCGCGGCTCTGTATGGGGTGTCGAAGGAGACCCACGGAGCGGTGAAGCCTCGCCCGGGCGCTTTTATGACAAGCTTTTGCAAGTCAAAGGTCGTTTCGCCTTGGTGTCCGAGCACAAGATTGCATCTCGAGCTCTTCGTGCAGTAGACGCTTTTGTCGTTCCTGAGCACATTCTCGGCCCTGTATAGAGCAGTGGAATCTGCCGAGTACTCTCCGCCGTCACAGCTGACGATCTCCATCTTCAGCCGGCCGGGGACGACCTGCCCAAAGTAGCCGTACTTGACGGCCTGGAAGCCTGTGTCGCCGCTGTCATGATCCAGCTTTCTTCGCTTAAGTCTCGGTCGGTCGGTGTCTGGCTCTGTGGGAGCTTCGAGCCGGGAGATGTCTGGCAGCTGGAGCGGCTCGTCGAGAAGACTCGTCAGGTTGGAGCTCAGCTGAGCGAGACGCTCTCCGGCCTCCTGCAGCTCAGTCAAGCTGCTGCTCTGCTCACGGTGCTGTCTGAGACGGCGCAAGCTGTTGAATCGCTCACTTGGCGCAGCTCGTGGCCTGCGTCGAAGGGAGTTCGTAACAGACTCTGGCGGGGCAGGGGGAGCGGGGTTTGCGTTCTGCTCGGCGTTCGCGTTCTGCTCGGCGTTCCTGGCTGCCATTTCCCTCCACGATGGGATCCGCGGGGTAGGTCTCGACGAGCGGGCTCGGCGCGGTGGCATTGACGGTGACTCGCGATGCTCACGCCGATGTGCAGCCTCGGCTTCGAGGTTGACTCGGGTCCGCTCACGTTCTCGCTGGAAGACCTGGCGAAGCTCTTGGATGCGTGCAGGGAAATTGTCCCGGTGTGCGGGTGGGTTGGAGGTCGAGGATGCTGGTGGGAAGTCGAAATTGCCAGACATGGCGGACAAGGGCACGGCTCTGTTCGGTGGTTGGCCGGGCCTCGTCATTGAAGGATAGCCTACCGCGGATTGAGTGAGGAGCGCAGGCTTACCCGAACTGGAGACAGTGGGTCATGAAAAGAAACAGTGAAAGCCAAATGCGGAAGTGGAAGCGGTATTGAAACCCTTCCAGGAAACAGTGAAGAGTATTACAGGTAAGGAAGTGGTGTAAGAGAGGGTGAGAGTGAGAGCGAGAGTGAGAGTCGTCGTCGGATGTGCCGCACTTGCTCAAGGGTGCCCCCGATCCCCGCTAAGCAATCTAGGTATCGATAGGCAGGGATCTTCAGGGACGGGCCGAGGCTTGGGAGTCTAAGGCGAACATCTGAATATCACTATCTGAACTGAAGAACCAGAGGAGGTATTTCAGCACTTCACTAGACCTTCCTTCAGCAAGCCCTCTCACGTTCGGAACACTTCACTCAGCATATCGCTCTGTCGAAGGCTGCTCACACAACAACTGCGTCTTCCAATATGTCAAACGGCGCGCTGCCCGCCGAAGACGCTGCCGGGGAGGTAGTTGCAGCGATAGCTCAGGCGCAAACAATCAGCCCAGGTACACAGTCTCTTTGCTTCCATGCGATAGAGCTCCCGCTGAACTTCATGATCAGATGAGATCGCTCTCTACGACCGCCAGATCCGCCTCTGGGGCGTCAAGGCGCAAGAAAAGTGAGCCCCAAACACAGTGATCCTTCACAGCGTAGCGACTAGATCGCTGACGCGTAAGAACCCCTCTAGAATCCGCACGGCCAATATCCTCCTCACATCGATCAAGGCCCTAGCGAGCGAAGTGGCCAAGAACCTAGTCCTTGCCGGTATTGGCTCCCTTACAATCGTGGACCACGAAGCTGTCACCGAAGACGATCTGTGCTCGCAACTCTTTGTGTCAGAGGCAGACGTAGGCAAGAACGTAAGCCTCCGCAGGCATCGCCAATCCACATCCCGCTGACCGTATGAAGCGCGCCCAAGCGGCCGTCACCCAGCTCCAGAAGCTCAACCCGCGCGTCACCATCACGGTCGACACGTCCGACATCCGCAGCAAGCCCCCCGAATTCTACCTCCCCTTCGACATTACCATCGCCAGCGACCTGGACTTCGCAACCCTCTGCACCATCAACGCCTCGACGCGCCTCGCGAACCGCCACTTCTACGCCGCCGGCGCCCACGGCTTCTACGGCTACATTTTCGCGGACCTCATAAGTCACACCTTCGTCGTCGAGCGGGAGAAATCCAACGTCCCCACCGCCCTACGCGCCGAATCCGCCACGCGCTCCGTAATCGGCGTATCCACCAAGAAAGAGAACGGCAAGACCATCGAAATGGCCACGAAGCGTGAGCTCTACACCCCACTGCTGCTAGCCAACACGTCCCCCCTCGCCCCAGAGATCCTACGCAACCGCCGCAAACTAAAACAAACTTCCCTCCTTCTCCCCTGCCTCCGCGCCCTCTGGGACTTCGAAAAAGAATCCGCCCGCCTGCCCTCAACAGACACGCACGCAGACCTCGAGCGCTTCACCCTCCTCGCAATGGAGAAGCACAAGGAGCTGCAACTCCCTGTCGAGACCCTCAAATCCGACTTCCTACGCAGCTTCCTGCATAATCTGGGCAGCGAGCTGGCGCCCGTGACGGCATTCTTGGGGGGGCAGTTGGCGCAGGATGTTATCAACGTGCTGGGCCAGCGGGAGCAGCCGATTCAAAATTTGCTGCTGTTTGATGGAGATGAGAGCCGCGGGCCGGTGTATGCGCTGCATCCGATTTTTGGGGATGGGCTGGAGGCGGTGATGCCGGTTGAGCCGGTGGTGCCGATGGTGGCGGCGAACGGAGGGCCGGCCGTCGAGCTGGACTGAAATCTTTGCTGGGGGATGGCTGGAGATTCCGCTGCATCTGCTTGGCGAGGGGCTTTGGCGTTTTCGGGAAAAGGGGATACCAGAAGGCGACGGTGGTTCAGTCGTATGCGACATCTAGACACAGGCTTATCCGGCCTGGGACACTCGACAGTGTAGACGGGGTTAGTTCATCAGGACTCATGAATCACGTGCTTCCCGTAATCGGTCTACAAAGCAAAATCTGCCGCTATGCCGCACAATCCGCTCCACTCGCAACCAGCAACCCCGAACCCTCACGCCAAAGTAACTCCAACGTCCCCAAGCTGGCAACACCCGATTCATTTCCAATCGCTCTCCAACCCACTACACCGTCCCCGCAATACTCAAATCCCTAATCTCCTGCAACACCTCCTCGACCCTATTATCCAACGCGCCCTCCGCATACTGCTCCCTAATGTCCTTGTCCAAATACTGCTGCACCTGCGCCATGCGGCTATACGCCTCGGCGCAAAATCTCAGCTGGATCTTGACCAGCGCCTCGAAGCTCGGGTCCAAATACGGCACTCTCAGATCAATCAGCTGGGGGATCTCGGTGATGAGCTGCTCGTTCAGGGCATCGTATGCGGCTTTCGCGGCGGTGGCTTCTTGCTCCGCGCGGGGCAGTTTGGTGACGTCTTTGTCGGGCTTCTCGACGAGCCGCTTTACTTTTGCGCGCAGGTTGTCGTAGTCGAGGGACTTGTGGGACCGTTTTTCGATGCAGGCGTTTATGTCGGGGAAGTAGGCGCAGAAGCGGGATATGGGGTCGAGGATTGTGGTGCTGGGGGTGGGAGCGTTAGTGGGTGGCTCGCGTTTGAGTGGGTGGGTTGGGCCACTGTGCAAAGGCCTGTCTTTTTGAGGGGCGCGTCGCTGGCTCACCGGTACGGCCCATCAAGCGCCTTGATCGTCTCGGCATCCAGGTCCTGCACCGCCTGCTTGTAGCTCCGCGACACGCCGTCCCTGGCCCCGGCGTCTCCGTAGAAAGCGTCAATCGTCTCCGCGATGCGCATCTGGGACGCGGTCATGGCGCGCAGCGAGTCTAGATAGCCCTTGGCTTCTTTCTGGAGCTTGTTGGCGGCTGTCTCCATCGTTCGGTACCGCCGCAGCTCGGTCTCGAAGTCGCGGTCGTTGGTCTTTTCGACGTGGCCCGTCTTCATCATTACTTGCGTCGTCGCGCGGGACACGCCCTTCTTGAAGCCTGTAGCATATTAGCGGGGGGCTTCGCGGGTGTGAATGCGGAGACCTGCCTGCCCAGGACATCTTGGTTGCTTGTGTTGTGCTCCTCTGATAGCTGTAATATTCGGTCGAGGTTGGAGGTGGTTCCTGAGGATGTGTGCGCGGATCAGCCGGTTGATAAGGCGCTTAGTTGCGGACGATAGTGTACTGAGGACGATGGTATGGAAGTTGCCAAGCGGGTGCAATCAGCGAGAAGTGGCCAAGGTGTGCGTTGCGCAAGGTGGCTGTGTGGGTGGATTGCTGCGGGCTTGAGGGTGACGAATGTGCTCTCGCTGGTGGTCGCTGATGCGGATGTCAAGTCGATCCCGCATCGCGGATCACCGCCCATGTTTCTCTCAACCTCACGGCGCATAGCACGATGCGCCCGGCCATGCGCAAGGTCGTGTGACATTCGCAGGCACTTTACGAACCAAAGCAGCAGGAGAGATGTGAGTATCCTGTCAGTCCTTGCGCCGTAGTGTCCCCTGCGTTATTGCGGTATCAAGGTTTTCTATTTGCCCTGCGTACAGCGCTGATACTGTTACCTAGGACCCGTCCAATGTAGGACCTCCCCAGGTCATCTTTTCAGGCATTCAACCAACAGGAGTGCCGCACATCGGCAACTACCTAGGGGCCCTTCAGCAATGGGTCAAACTCCAGGATGAAGCGAGCCCGAAGACGACATTGCTCTTCTCAATCGTCGACTTGCACGCTATTACCGTAAACCAGAACCCCCGGCAACTTCGAAACGCATGCCATCAGATGTTAGCAGCGCTCCTCGCCGTCGGGCTGGACCCGAAGAGGAGTATTATCTTCTTCCAGTCCGACGTCGACGCCCATGAGAAGCTGATGTGGATACTGAGCTGCCGGGCTCAGATGGGCAATCTGTCTAGGATGACGCAGTGGAAGGCAAGTGTGATGCAAACACCCTTACCAGTATCACACTAACATATCCCCCTAGAGCAAGCTGAATCTCTCAGACAACGCTCCGCCGGTCGAAGCCCTCTTGAATACCGAACTCGAGCTTGGCCTCTACTCATACCCAGTCCTACAAGCCGCGGACGTCCTCGTCCACCGCGCCACACACGTGCCCGTAGGACACGACCAAGCACAACACCTAGAATTTGCCCGCAAATGTGCGCGCACATTCAACCACCGCTACGGGACCATCTTTCAGCTCCCTGAAACCATCCTGTCGCCCGCAAAGCGCGTCATGTCTCTCACGCAGCCCCATCTCAAGATGTCGAAATCGCACCAGGACCCGCGATCCCGAATCCTGATCTCGGACTCGACGGAGGAGATAGCGCAGAAGGTCAAGACGGCCTTGACTGATTCTAATTCTGGTGTCTCGTACGATCCGGTCAAGCGGCCTGGCGTGTCTAATTTGATAGAAATCATGCACCACTCCCGCGCAGATGGCGCTTCTTGCGAGGATATAGCGCGGGATTGTGAGAACCTGACGATGCGCGCTTTCAAGGAGCAAGTGGCCAAGTGCATTGATGAGCATCTCGGCGAGATCAGGCAGCGGTACGAGGAACTTGTGGGTAAGGAGAAAGAGGGATATCTGCGGGAAGTAGCGGAATCTGGGGCTATGAGGGCGCGAGAAAGTGCAGCCAAAACCATGCACCTTGTAAGAGATGCCGTAGGTCTCGGAGGGTTTCAGTCGTTTGTGAAGAAGCTCGATTGAGCTCGGTCGTCAAGCGCTGATGGCACATGCTCGTGTAGAGTATTTTGTATATGTGTATATCTGTCTTACATATATTAAAGGCACTCTTCTCTGCTTAAGCCCTTTGTCCTCGTCCTATGGCTGTTCCCACCTCTAGTTTTGCTCCGCGCAACCCTACCAGTCATTGGGCTTTCCTTACCCGCTTCTTCCGATGCTCATCCGCGCTGCGTGTAAGATTGAGGGTGAGCTCAAGGCGTTCAACGTGCTTGCTTTGACGTCAGCCTACAAATGACACACGTTCTCTTAGGGCTGTGCATGACCGTGTCAACTGCTGCTCGCTCTCTGCCGGCAACGAGTAAGCCTATCTAGTCAAAACTCAAAAGTATCTAGTAGGACTTCAATGCCTCTGGAATTGCTATCAGCAAACGGTTCGGCTCGAGAGTCGATATCAGCGGAGGACACTACGCGTATCCCTCTTGTGATATGGCATAATATCGCAAGGCTGTCGATCCCCCATCCGAGTAGTCAGCTATGGTGGACATCATCGTCCGTGCTTCTTTGTGACACCTGCCAAACTCGTCGAACGTCATTTCGGTCTTATGTAGCAGAAGCTCGCGTGCTCGATAGCGAAAGGGCCTCGCATTGGAGCACCGAAGCACAGTTTTTAGCGTCATCCTACTGGAATGCGGTTAGCCATCCGAACCACGGCTTGACGCACCTTTTGAAGACCCTGAAGTCCGTCAGGATCCTTCTCGCTCACTGAGCTGTCAGACCAGCAGCCGTTACCTCGCCTTGATAACGGGGATCTCCGTATATACGAGTAGCTCATGGTTTTGCAGGCCCCTTCAGGCAAAAGTCTCTCACGAACCTGCAACTACCAATCCGATAGCGCTCCTCCTATGCAAGCCCTTGTTCGCTTAAACGCGGAGTTCTCTCACGAGTGCTCCTTCAACGTTAGTGGCGGGCAGCTTGCCGAGGTTTTGGAAAACCCAAGCTTCACAGAAGGATCACGTTTCAGAACAACGCCACGGCCGACTTGACCATGCTGGAGATCCGGAGCCTTGCAAACAGTCGGTATCGAATTGGTTTTCATTGCAGTTCCTAACAAGCCGCTGTCCAACGTCTCACTCAATTCTTGCACCACGGCTCACAGGACGAGTCACCGTTGAGGCTCGAACGGAGACGCACAACGCCCAGGACACCATGCTGTCCAAACCACGTGGGGACGTAAGAGAAATCCAGGAACCAGGGGCTGGCGAGTTGCGAATGCAGGCACAGAGGCCTGTCGTCGATGAGACCCCCATCACAGTAACTTTGTGCGGTTAGCATCCCCGGCGAAGCTTCCATTTTCTGCAAGCCTCTTCCGGCAGACGCACCTCCATCCCGCTGTCGCGATGTTCGCAACCGCGTTTGACGACTAAGGCTTGTCGTCTCGCTGCGGGCGCTCCCTGGATCACGCGGGTATTGCCATCCTAGTCATGCTATCGCCTAGCATCAGTCCTGCGACGAATAGAGAATTGTACTGCCGTGAGATGGATCATCCCCAGATTCCTTTTATCTGGGATCTACGGTGCTTGGGCCGAGTCAGTAGCGAAGTCGTTGCCCCATATTACCGTGCGTAGGCCCCGCCAGAAGGATCGGTGCGCAGCCATATCAACTCACCCAGTCCAGCGGTCGTGGATTTTGCGACCCTGGAGATAAGCTACACCTTCACGCGCCATCCAACACCATGAGATCGCCCTGAAATCACACTGAGTGGAAGCGGGTATATCATCGACACGCAGAACTAGAACACATTGCTTTGCAGTTTCCGGATTTCACATCGGACGGGTGCGGCTTGCCAGCCGTCAGGTCCAGTTCCACGATGTCGGCACTGGCAGTGGAATCGTGGTCGTGGTTTGGCCTCTGTGTATTGGTTGTTACTGCGCGACTGTAAGGCCTCCCGGTCCAGTTTTCGTTCTGAATACCGACGATTGCAGGATATCCCGTACGATCCTTCATGGATCAGTCAAGAACCTCCAGATTGACGATGCGTTGATCGTTTTCGCTACCGTACGCATCCATCATCCCGCAGCCTCTCGACAGGCACCCCTGCTGCGGCCTCAAACAGACGCTGACGAGATGCTGCAGTGTATCTATACAGTCTTGATTGTGGGCATGCAGGTCATCGCCAACACGAACTCCAACTTAATCCCTCCCGAGCACGGCCTTGACTTCGATCCCGAAGACATCAAAGAGAGGATCCATGGCAGCAAAATGGTTCTTGTGGTGGAGCAATGCATGTGTGTTACGATATGGACGATCAAGGCCTGCCTCCTAATCATGTACTCGCGATTAACGTGAGTTGCTACCCAACATGGCATTTGGTTTAATTTGTGATGGCTAATGCCATTGTTAGGACGACTCGCAAGCAAGTACTCACCTTGAAGATTGTCGCCGCCTACGTTGCGTTCAGCTTTGTGTTCATGGAAGTCTTCTACCTGGGAGTGTGGTGCCGACCGTTCAGCGAATACTGGGCTGTCCCACCCGGAAACGGTATGTGACAACGAGTAGAAGGCAGTCCTGTTGACTGCCTTCATATCTTGTCCTCAACGGCCAGCAGCGTACTGACAACCGCCTCAGTCCAGTGCTCCGCAGCCACCAATCACTTAATCACCAACGCTTTCTTCAACATTTCATCCGATCTCATGATCATCGCCATTCCTCTCCCAATCTTCATCCAAGTTCAGTTGCCGCTGAAGAAGAAGGTAATCCTCTGCGGCATATTCGGACTCGGGATGTTCACAGTAGGTCTAACCTGCACCATGACCGCATAGATCTGAAATCCCGCTAACGCAACTCACTCAGATCCTCTCCGCCGTCCTGAACAAATTCTACAGCTTCACCCAACCCTTCGGCTCCCTCTGGACCTTCTGGTACATCAGAGAAGCCTCCACCGCCATGCTCACAGCCAACATCCCCTTCACCTGGACGCTGCTCCAGCGCGCCTTCAAGCTGCGCTCCTTCGCGGGCTCAGGCCACCACCGCAGCCGCTCACGGACGACGTACCATCAGTTCAACGGCACTGTGGCGTCCCGCTTCGGCCGCCACAGTACGGCTGGGGATTTAAACCGCGCGGAGAGCCAGGAGAATATCAATAAGGGCGAGGTTCCGCTGGAGATATGGCAGAATACGCGGATTGAGGTTTCGTCGACGGAGAGTCCGGGTGTGGAGGAGATGCCGAGTATGCCGGTGCCGGGGATGGAGAAAGCGGTTCTTCCGGGGAAGCGGTATCCGAGTGGTTGAGGGGGATTTTCTGGATTTAATCTGGTTGGAGCTTGGATGGATGTGTCTGGAACTGGGATAAATATGTTCGGTATACCCTGTTAATTTATGTCTGAATATGCTGTTTTCCTCCGTTTCTGCTTGCTGGAATGGTATCTATGTCGCTGACAGGAGTTCTTGATAGTGGGTTGAGAAAACGTGCTCTCATCCTTCCATGCAGCTGGATGGCAACGCTTCTTGTGCTATTGCTGACGCGCTCCTCAGCTCCTCAGCTCCTCAGCTCCTCAGCTCCTCAGCTCATCCTGCAGAGTGGGCTTGGCTAGCTTGGCGGTGAGTCAACCTCCACCTCAGGCTTACTCTTTAAGTATTAGAGTGTCACCACGATGGGCTAGAAGGCCAGTAGCTTGCAGTGTCAGTTCCAAATGATCCGAGGCTTTGTACAAAAAAAAATGCGTATAAGCCTCTGCGCAATTCCTGCTTGCCGCACCGCCACTGCACCGTGCTGTGGCATCAAACATCTACTTCAAGTCTCGTAAAGTCGATCATTCTCTTTCGTCAAGTCCCAGCTGAAGATCTTGTATGCGTGTCGACTGCAGGTGGTGTTTTAGCTCCTGACTCATAAGAACACTCTCGAGCACCTATCGTCTGTATAAGAAGAAGATCTTCTGTTATTTTAGCTACGTCCTCCACGTCTTACAAAGGCTTTGTAGAGAAACAGTGGTAGCCAAATTTCATCACGCTAAAGGTCCACACGTTCTACACTCGCTTTCTTTACCGTACCGCTCTTCAGTAGACTTCAAGTACCATCTGCAACCACCAGCCGATCATGCCGCCAATAACCACCCTCACTGAGCTCTCGTCCTATCTAGCCTCCGCCGGCATCAACTATACCTCACTTCAGCCCCTCTCAGGCGGCACGGCAAACTTCGTATGGCGCCTTCAGACCAGCGACGGCCGGACCTCTATCGTGAAGCATGCGGAGCCCTACGTAGCGTCTATTCCGACCATGCCGTTCCCGGTCGATCGCATGGACTTTGAGGCGCGCGCCCTTGAGCGGATCCCCCGTTTGTTAGGAAGGATGGACATTGAGGTCCTGGTGAAAGTTGTGGGGCTGGTGAGGTATGATGCTGAGGCGAAAGTTTTGGTTCTGGAGGATGGCGGGGCCAAGGTGAGTGGAGCATTGCAATGCCTAAAAGCTCTCTGACTGCCTTACGTACCCGCCGCATCATCTGCCTATCTCCGCTCTATCGCACTTCACGAGACTGACTTCAAAAAAAGACCCTCAAAGAATCCTACACCGACCCAGCGCTCAACATCCCACAGCTGGGAGCAGCCCTCGGTAAATGGCTTGCCGATCTCCACGCCTCAACCACGTCCCTCAGCTCTCCCATCGGCGACAATCAAACCGCCAAATTCATCTACCGCCATTCCTACAACGGCCTCGCAGACGCCCTCGAAAAATTCGGCTTCGATCGCACGATCGGCGAGCGCATCAACGAGCGCTATGGCTCCCTCCTGCAGACCGACGACGAGTGTATCTGCCACGGAGACTTCTGGCCGGGAAACGTGCTGCTTCGTAGACATGGCGTTTCCGTAAGCTGCTCCTCGTTGTCTCATTGCCGCCCAGCCCCTTTCACACATGCAAGCGAGTAGATCTTCAGCTAACAATGCACAGCCCCCAACCCTCACCCTCGTCGACTGGGAAATGACCCGCCGCGGCACCGGTGCCACGGATGTGGGCCAATTTACCGCCGAAGCCTGGCTCCTCGACCGGTTCCGCGGGCAGCGTGGTCTAGCGTCTGCTTTCCTACGCAGCTATGTCGAGGCCGCGAAGCCGAGTGAGGAGTTTCTGAGGCGTGTGGTGGTGCATTTAGGAACGCATATCGCGTTTTGGCCGACTAGAGTGGTGTGGGGCTCGGAGGAGGAGACGAGAGAGGTTGTGGCGATTGGGAAGGAGGTGTTGGAGGGGGCGTTGGAGGGGAGATGGGCGCTGGATGACGTGGTGGGGCTTGGGGCAGGGGAGTAGGATCTGGGCTGAGATCTCGGTAGAGACCCCCTTCATCTTTGAGTCCTTCCACCGCAACGATACCGAATGGTGTCTGTGCTGGAACACCGGTTCTCAAATTTAATGGAAGCGCTTTACATCTGCAAGTTTAGACTTGGCATAATTTATTTGCTTGTGAAGACGCATGATACATCCATACAAAGATTGCGCGCCCCTCCGAACCGGGCACCAGCTTACAGCAATCCCGCAATAGCAAGGCCCGCTACAATCACTGCTACCGCTCCGCAAACAGCGCTGCCTGGCGCAGTGTTCGTACTTTGCGTTTCGATAGGTGCACTGGTCCCACTCGCCGTCGCCTGGGTTCCGTTCGGCGCCCCCTGAGTCCCGTTCGGCGCCATCCCCGTCCCATTGCCACTCCCCACGGTCGACGAATTGCCATCTGCGAACCGCCTAGCCTGGCCAACCAAATTCGCCTGGATGACTTCCAAAGCGCTCAACTGCGGACTGAGGCCCCTCTCCGCGTTATCACCTGGACGGTACCAACGGGCTCCGCACTCAGGATCACAGGCCTCTGCAGCTGCCTCAGCAGAGACGCCGAGAACCGGAAAGATTGCGTCGGTGGTGAAGGGGGCCGCAATGGCGGTGCGGGAGAGCCAACGCGCGAAAAGACCTCTAAAGGCAAGTTGGTCGACGTTGCATCTGCCGATGGGCTCGCAGGCCGGCTCGTAGATGACGTCGGGAATGCCGCCGGAAGGCTGGCTTTCTACGGAGTAGGTGAAGATGCGGAGGTTCGCGCTTAGCAGGGAGTCGGTGCGCGTGCGCCAAGTGTTTGAGCTCGTCTGGTAGGCATCAGCGATGTGTCTGTGAAGAGAGGGTTGGAGGGGTTGGAGGATGGGCGAGTGGTGTGGAGGGGCTTACCATGTTGTACATGACGGCGCTGCCATATATGAAGAGGCCAGCGTTGGCGCTCCACTGGATATGGTTGATCTGTGTGCAATTCGTCGTGTCATCGGTGCCGTCGAAGATGTGATACTCATCATTAATGAGTCCAACGTTGGTGGCCCATTCGTAAGCTGTCGTAGCCCAGTCTGCATACGTCTGGTTGCCGGTATACTGGTAGAGGCGCGCAGCAAGTTGAAAGAACGTCCCAGTGGAGATGGCGTTTTTGTAGTTGTATCCGCTGTTGAATGTGAAGATCTGCCATTTCAGGCCTCCTCCACACGTGCCGGTATCCCAGCGGGGAGCTTGACTATCGAACACTGCTTGCGCTAGGGCAAGCCACTGAGGTTGGTTAGGAGGGGGCCTGGGAAAAGAACGTTCAGCGGCGGTTAAAGCCGCGAGACCCCAAAAAGCTTGGTCATCGTTACCCTATACTCCTATCGTCAGAAGAAACCTGAGACTTCGCAGTCCGCCGATGATTCTCACCAGCGTTCTCGTCTGATTCGGGGGCATATAATTGGCGTTTGGACCAACTTGAGACTGCAGAGCTTCCGAGACAACGTCGTTGTACTGATCGTCGCCCGTAAGGTACCAGTAGTCAACCATTGCCCCCCAGACGGCGCCAGCTTCCCACCAGTAGTACGGATCGGGGAAGATGCCAATAGCACCGTTGACATCGCCCGTGTAATATCCCATGACACCTGCAGCAACAGTTCGCGCAGCTGAACGAACGGAATCTGGCCGGAAAGAATCAGCAAGGCATGTATTGAGTATCAGGAAAAGAACGTAGCCAGGCACCTGCGTCACTGATATCAAGCTCGACCGCTCCTACAAATCGTAGAAGCAAGGCCGTTGCGGTCCCTACTCTTAAAGCGAAACGCATCTCGAGTTGGTATTAGTGTAACGAACGTATTTGGTGAATGAAGGTATGTTGTTTTTGTCAGGAAACGGCGAAATGAGAGTACTCTATTTATTATTCTGCTCTTGGAAGTAGGAATAGTGGCTTAAGCGCATTGTAGGATTCGACGGCGGAGCGGTGCCTAAAATTGGCATTTTTGCGGGGTACTTGAAACGAATGGCACAGAAAACAAGAAACTAGTTGAATCCTTCATGAGCCGAAGCCTTGGCGGGTCAATCCTTCGCGAGTATCACATCAAAAGGAAGACCGATTTGTGCTCCATACCTCGACAGCCGTGGAGGTGGTTGAAAAATAGTGGTCGAGTCGCAGCTGCGGTCATGTAGTCGAGAGCTGCAGACGTTGCACGGTTCGGCGCCTCGTTGAACCAACTCTCAGTTGATTGCAAAGACCGCAAAGAAGCTCCGTTTTGTCCAACCACGTATACTTAAGCCTGCTCTTAGTTTCAAACGTGCACCGCTACCTAAGTGACGAGCTTTAGCTCTAAGATCCTTGAATGGGATTAAATGCAACAATCACCTCCATGAAAGGCTGTAAATAAGCTAAGATTAGTAAGGCGTTATATTTGTATATAACATGCGATACTAAAAAGGCCGGTTTCAAAGCAGCTGAGAGTCAAGAGGCATGTCACACCGCTAGGTTCTCCAGCCTTTCTTGCGATCATTGATGTCACAGGCCAGCGATCTACCACTGCACCATGCGCACCGTACTAAGAAAGTCACAGTATAGGTGGATCGATATATATCTGACAATTAAATCTGCTTCAAGGTCACGCGACTGCACAGTCGACTCTAGCCACTGCTTCCGACGGTTTCCGCTCTCACTTGCGGAGCACTCCGCGTCTAATACGAACTGACGGAACAGATTGAGCATGTATCTTAACACTATGACCTGTACAACGGAAGAAAGGTCCGTTGTCAACAATCATATTGTGCTCCCCACCGATGACAGCCTCTGAGGGTACTGTAACCTAGCTCTCTCTGATCTATGGATGAGTGGACCAATATGGTACTCAGAGCGGTCCTTGCAAATCAACACTTTGGTCAACCCTCAACATCGGTGTACTTGAGGGGTTGAACGAGGTGAGATACGTGACTGTGCCTTCAATAAGTTTTCTCAAGAATTCGTCGGCGTTCCCATGGAGATGACCCGTTATCATCGTACGAGAGCAAGCGGTATAGTGCTCTGCTCACATTACAGGTATCGGCCTTACAAAAGAGCTAGGTCTAAATGTAATGGGTAGTTGTTACTATGCATCTTACACAGACCCGTCACAGAAATGAAGAGAATAGGGAAACGGCCGCGAGATGTAGCGTAAACCACGAAAACAGCGTATTATACCCCGTTGCACCCGGACAGTCCACAGGCGTGAACGTCGAGGATGCTGGTCATTTGATGTCCGCGAGGCTCTATATCTTTCTTCTTGATTTCGACCTGTTTTCCAATGCCTGTATTGGGTGGGGAGTGGAGCTGTGGAGATCAGGAAGCAGAGCGCTGACTTTCGCCGTCGTCCATCTTCAAAACGAACCAGTCACCAGCCATCTCCCCGGGCGGTGTTAGACAGAAAAGGCTCAAAGGATCAACTGGTGACAAAACATCGCCGCGTTGCAGGATAAAAAGTCTTGAAGAAAGATGAGAGTTGACGAAGCTGAGCGAGAAATAGCTACAATCCCTGTTGGTTCTTGATGGGAGAGTGTGAGTGAGGAGGATATGGAAAGAAAAGCACCAAGACACGCAGAGACCTGCGTCGGTCCCCCACAATCACACTGCGGATGCCTCCTAGCAGCAGAGCGCTTCCAGGTCCCTAGACCACAACTTGGAATTGGCACGACAGTCGGTCCGCATGATGCTGAGCACTACTCGAATTGTCATTGCGCCAGTCAGAGCTCGCGAGAAGGCGGCTAATACTTTACACGGCAACAAAGCCTGTGCGACGCCTATCAGGTATCTGGATCTTACCAACTGGTGGCTGGTATCTATCCAGCCCTACCGAAGCCCTCCATCAGGCGCTATGATGACCTTGGTGGTTTCGTTCAGTAAGACTAAAGCAAGATAGGCAGGTACTCTCAGACGCTACGGGACGGACATGATATTGGCGCCATGGCGTCTGTTGTTGATCCGACGGAGAGCATGCCGCGTCTTAACGCGCAGCAAACACCGCACCCCAGTAATCGAGCCAGCATTGATCCAGATTCAGCCATTTGGCTGCCGATCCGGAGAGATGCCGCCGAAGAACCAAGAGCCGCAAGTCACTGGCCAAGCGACTCGCCGCTAATGGATAAGCCGCACTTTAGCGGCCTGATGCCGGAAGCTGAGGTCCAGTCACGCTTTTTTGGGGTTTGAAACTTGCTGTCTTGATGCTTCTAGCGCTGAACCAGAAGCTGCTGAGTTTTTCTAGCTTCCTGCACCGAAGCTTTGCGAGACGAGATCCGGCATGTGGAGCCAGGATTTGCTTCGCATTCACACCCCTGTACTGTGAATCCATGTCGGCTCGGCACACATGACCATCGACCTCACTTCATCAACAACGAGGAGCTTGCGGTGCCCACACTGCAGTGTCACACATCTGCTTAGTATCATACGTGGTACATAGACGCTGGCACAAATAGCAATCAGCAAGCCCTACACGGTAAGGTCAAGAGCTAGAAGAAGATGTAGGCAAAGCACGTTTGAAAAGCTGCGCACACGAGACCTGTCCAAGTGGTTCGGTCCACTTTCTCATCCATGGAAGACCAGCAGAAACCAATGCTAGCCCTGATGCGCACAAGTGCCCTCGTAAGGCTAAGCTAAAGCTCCATCCAGGGCGGGCCAGCTTCACCGCGCAGTGTCAAAGGACGCTTCGGACCGAGATATTCTACGCCTGACCAAGTTGGCTCCTCTCTAGCGCGGCTCCAGATGCCTCTGCAGGCTTTACCCAAGGCCATGGTGTTGTGTCAATTCGATGTTCATGCTCATAAGCGACTGGACTGGAGACACGAAGCGCCGACTCGAAAGTCATGATGGATCCAGCAGTAGGTGCATGATCATCCCATAGAGCAGTTAGTAACGTGCGCATCTTCCATATGGCACGTCATGATTTTCACGTACACTTCGGCTTGTCATTCGTCGCTGCGCAATTTACCATTCTTAGGCAGAGTCCCTAGCTCATTTTCATCAGCGAGCGGTTCATCGCAATTATTGCAAGGTGCCTCAACTGTTGAAAAGTTGTGCAAGCGCAGAAAGCATACAGAGCTGTCTGACAGAGCGGTCTATCGTGGGAGATGGCGTGGTAACGGCGTCTCTGCGTCGGCACCTTGTCGGTCTTGGTATCAAAGATTCCCAAGGTTCGCTGTGCGCGCTACCACACTCAATCACGCACAGTCCAACGATGCGGCGATATCTCACATTGGACCCTACTCCAGGCATGCCTGGACTGTCCCCAGCCCTCAGCTAGGGCGCACGGGGACTCCATGGGGACTGTCCATGTTCTGGAAGCACGACCATGGTCTCCACGCCTTGTGACATCCATCACGATATAAGAGTAAAGATGTCGCACCCTCCTAGAATCATCAGCAGCCAACTCCGCACTCAGCTCAGCATCCAGCCCTCTCGTTATCCAGGATTGAGCACCTTTCCTTCGCTAGGAGATAAACACCTTCGTTCTTGAAGCAACTATACTCAGATCTCTCTCCCAACATCTCATAACCCTTCCACAATGGCAGGCGGTATCCCAATCGCAACCCAACCTCTCGAGGGCGGTTTCCTCACCGGTCGCAAACTGATCTTCCCGATCGCACTTGTCACCTCCCTCTTCTTCCTCTGGGGGTTCTCCTACGGTCTTCTCGATGTGCTCAACAAGCATTTTCAAGAGGTGCTTGGGATAACACGCCTGCAATCGACCGGCCTCCAAGTTGTCTACTTCGGTGGTGGTTACCTCTGCTTCTCTCCCATCGCCGCCGAGGTTCTGAAGCGTAAGGGCTACAAGGTCGCCATTCTCATGGGTCTTTCTCTCTACTCGCTCGGCGCTGTCATGTTCTGGCCCACCGCGAAATTCTCCAACCCTGACAATGGAACGGCCGCCTTCGGAGGCTTCATTGCCTGCACCTTCGTCATTGCTTGCGGTCTCGCAACCCTCGAAACCTCTGCCAACTCCTACGCTGTCGTCATCGGTGACCCAACCACCGCCTCTCTCCGTCTTCAGTTCTGCCAGTCGTGGAACGGTGTTGCTTCTTTCATCGGCCCGCTGATCGCTTCCAAGTTCTTCTTCAGCGGCGACGACGCTGGCAGCCTCACCAATGGTAACTATCACTTTGCTGGTCGTTATGCCCTGACTGAATTCTAACGCTGTTGCAGTTCAATACGTCTATCTTGCTGTAGCCTGCGCTGGTGTCGCTGTCGCCGTGCTCTTCTTCTTCTCTAAGCTTCCCGAAGTCAGCGAAGCCACGCTCGCCGGCCAGGACGCTGATGGTCTTGCTGCCGTCGATAAGCACGGAAACGAGATCGGCGCCGGTCCTCTCTACAAGCAGTACAACATGATCTTCGCCTTCATCGCCCAGTTCTGCTACGTCGGCGCCCAAGTCACCGTAGCTACCTTCTTCATCAACTATGCTACCGAGGCCGCCACCTTCACCTCATCCCAGGCCGCTCAACTGCTGTCCTATGCTCTCATCACCTTCACGGTTGGCCGCTTCGTCGCTACTGCGCTCGCCACCATCTTTGCCGCGGACTTCATGATCGTTGTTTACGCCATCTGCGCCATCGCCATGAATGCCTACCTTTGCGCCGGCTCCGGCACACCTGCTGTCGGTGTTCTCATCGCGATCTTTTTCTTCGAGGCACCCATGTACCCGACTATCTTCGCGCTCGGTACGGCGAATCTCGGGCGCCACACCCGAAGGGCGGCCGGAATCTTGGTCATGGGTGTCTCCGGTGGTGCAGTCTTCCCGCCAATCCAGGGCGCCATTGCCGATTCTGCCAGCACCAAGATCTCCTACATCGTCCCGCTTGTCGGCTTCGTCTATGTGCTTGGTTACGTTAGCTTCCACTGGATGCGCCACGGCTTCAATATCTTCGTCAAGAAGAGTATCGCGGGCAAGCCATTCGGTGGCGCGACTGGCGGCGCGGTGGAGAACGTCCACTTCGATGCTGATAAGGTCGAGACGGTCCATATGGACACTGAGAAGAACGGCAGGATGGTTGTCGTTAAGAGCTAGGGATGTGCCTGGTGGCTGTTCCTGTCTTTTCTGATGATTTGATTTTTGAAAGCTGCATTGCTGGGGCGTCTGATACGGGATCTATGATCATGACTTTGAAATCATAGACTATACCATTTGATTTGCGCTTGTATATAGAAGCATCGCGAGATCATTGTCAAATTATCATACAGTTCAACATATCGTCTCAGCGCCATTGACCTGTTGTGTGAGTCGACACAGATCGACTACTGTGGTCTCTTCCGCAAGGCAGAGGTGATTCGTCCAGGTACTACTGCGCGGTCTTTGACAAAGCATTGTGTCGCGATGATGGACCTACACCAACGGGAACTCTTACACTTGTAACACGTCATCAGAGTTCTCATCTCTTGACAGCCTGCGCCTATATACTGTTCCACCCACCGATACTGCAGTGGCAAGATTAGGATAGAGGAACATCGGTGTGTGTGGAGAATCCTTATGGATAACGTGTCTTCCAGCCGGGCGTACTTGCGCTTCCGAAGCACGGAGAGTGACATCGATGCGCTCAAGGCAGGTACTCGCTGTCTCACTCCCATGGGCTTTGCGTTGGGTTGTGCCGCCACGAAAGGTGACGAGACTTGCAGGTGTGGCCAAGTGAGCAATCGTTCCGAGCATGATATTACAGCATTATTTGGATGTGCTGCCTAGGACCGTAGTGGTCTCTTAAAAGCCATGCAGAGCAAGGGATTTGTGCGCGCTACTGCCTCTTCCTCCCCTCCCCTCTCGCAACCTCGGTCCTTCCCCCATCCGCCCACCCCGCCACAGTTTCCAACAAACCCACGCCGTCCCCACCACTACCGCAACCACGGTCCCCCACTCCACATACCACGCCTGCCGCAGATCCAACACCGGGACCTGCAGCGTCTCGACTAGCCTCCCTTCCGCCTCCCTGCCTGTCCAAGTCCCGTTCCCAGGCGAAGGCGGCACGTGATAAAACATCGTCCGATCCCCAAATAAGCCGTCGTACCCCAAGTTCACCCTATCGAACGGGTTCACAACCATACGTGTCCCCTCGTCTGCCGTACAGGCCCAGAACACGACGGGCCAGGGGACGGCGAGGGGGGTGTAGCCGCCGCTGGTCGGGGGTAGGTAGCGGAGGTGCAGCGGTATCTCAACGGTCCAGATGTCGGTGTCTTTCACGGCTGTGCCTCTTGTGGTGCTCAAGGAGGTGGACTGAGAGGCTAAGGATGGCGTAGCGAGCTCGAATAACGCAGCGGACCCGAATTTCGGGATCACCCAGTCCGGGGCCTCGAGGTCCGTCTCGCCGTAGACGGTTCGCAAGGCCGCGAGATTAAGAGACCGCAGGGTTAGGGCATCGGAGAAGGCGTATTTGTCGATGAAGAGGGCGGAGGGGAGGGTGAGGTATGTGTGCAGTGAGCAGCGGGCCTTCGACGGCGGCTGGAGAGATGCGCGGGGCAAGGTGAGTTGCATGACTGGATGGAGGCCGGTTGGACGTTTGAAAGTGGTGCGGTAAGTGGTTGAGATAGATAGAGGGAGTGGGTAGTGCCGTGAGGGGAAGGAGAAGCGGGTTGCTTCTGTCGGGATGGGTTAGCCTGATGGTGACATTGGGGAAGCAGTGTAAGAGATGTACTTGGCGTATCGTCGTCGCCCACAACGACTAGGAAGCCGCCGAGCTTTAACTCCTCGGGCTCCTCGGGCGTCTCGTTGCTGAGTATGCCGACTTCGATGGTCTCATCGTCTCGTGTCCTTTCGATCCTGTCGTGCCATGAACTGCCGTCAGGAGCTTCGTTCCACAAGGCGTTGATGACCAGGGCATGGGAAATGGCGTTGTAGTCCATGTCTATGTAGCTTGCTGAAAGTAGGCGAGAAGCATGTTCCTGACAGGTCGAGTCGTGCCTGGAGCAGAATTCGGACTTGATATAGGATACGAGGCGGGACAAGGTGGGAAGAAGCTGGTGGTACTGCAGGGCTGAGGACATAGAGAAGCGTTCAGAGAGGATGGGTAAGCTTATGAAGGTTTCCTATAGTGTTCTTAGTATAGGCCTGGGATTATGCCATGTATAGGACTCGCTGATTATACCCTTGGCGATTCACATTTGAACTCCGGATGAAAGATCTTCTTCAGCCATGGACATAAGGAATCTCTGAAGGAGGTCAGCAAACACTCTAAAAGCTGGGATGAAGTGGTTTGGCCCACGCTTTGCTATTATTCCGAGGAGTAAAGAACGCGTGAAGACCCGGCGACACCCTAGAAACGAAAGGAGGAATGGATGTATAAGGATCCTGGGAGGCCCAGCGGATGTGCAGTTCGTGGCATTGTCTTAACACCTCTGAAACCTGATAGAAGTCAGTACATGATTCTCTGTGTGTATACGGATGTTACGATGTACCTCGTTCGGCAATTCGGACAAGCTAAGTGTAAGTCGATGTTCCTTAGCGGCCTTCAGATTATTGATGATCAGTGATTTGCCTGTTACTTCCAGGTGCTCTGTACGAAGCTCGTCTGGTTCACGCAGTAAATACGTTATGCGCTGCTTCATGGTAAAGGTTCTCGATCAGGAGTGACAAGAACGGTGGAAAATAACTGAGATTGAGGTTGACGAATCTAATCAGGCTGTTGTCGGTCTAGTTCGCCCTCAAGAACTTCCGTGGCATTCCCTCACAACATGCCCAAGCTCTCTTCAAGCTTCCATCTATTCGACTTTGTTTGGCGGCGTATATAAGTATAGACGGGTCTAGTCGTGCTTAAACTGTGTATTCAACATGAAGCTAGCCTGACGCAGCCGTAAAATACCATGACGTCTAGCAGATGTTCTAGCCTTTCAAGCTTCTGCCTCAGGACATCAACATTTGTTTGATACCGAAAGCAACCGTGGCATCTTCACCCTCTACCTGAATGACCAAGCGCCTGTTGTAACCCAGCCTCCACTGTCGTTCTCCTCCTGCTTCCTACACGATCCTTTCTACACTCCCATCTAATATCCATCCAACATGCATTACCGCGACTTTGTCTACGCCGCCCTACTCGCCCTAGGCGCCTTCACAACCACCATCTCCGCCGCCCGCAACCCCGCCAATAGCGTCCTTCTCTCCTCGATCCAAAGCCTCACCCTCCGCTCGAACCTCAAAACCACCGCGCGCCGCGTCTCCGCTATCCCGCAGCTCAAATGCATCGGCGGCAGCGGCAAAGGCCTCTACGAAGTCGACACCATGCGCTGCCGCAACAGCGGCTCCTCCTACGACGACGCGAACATCGAGTGGACGTGTACGGCCTCCTTACCCCCAGAGTTCAAGCTCGGCAGCACGGACGTCATATGCGAAGGCTACGACTCCCCAGACGATCCGTACATCCTGAAGGGCAGCTGTGGAGTTGAGTACAGGCTTGTGCTTACGGAGAAGGGGGAGGAGAAGTACGGGCGTCGGGGTGGTAGCGGGTGGAACTGGGGCAGTGGGAACGACGAAAAGCACGGCGAGACGGGGGTGGAGAGGACGGTTAGCTTGTTGTTCTGGTGTCTGTTCATCGGCGTCGCGATTTGGATGGTCTGGTCCGCGTTCATTCGGCCGCGGATGCCTGGAGAGGGGCCTGCGGGTGGAAACAGGCCTGGTTGGGGCGGTGGTGGCGCCGATGACAACGATCCGCCCCCGCCGTACGACTACCAGCCGCCGCGGAGCAACAAGTCGAGCTGGTCATCGTTCGCCGGCCGGCCGCAGCAACAGGGGTGGCGTCCGGGGTTCTGGAGTGGAGCATTGGGAGGCGCGGCGGCTGGGTATATGGCAGGCAACAGGGGGAACCAGACACGGTACAATAGGGACTCGTACAACCGAACGGGATCGTGGGGTGGCGGCGGCGGCAGTAGTTGGAACAATGGGGAGGGAAGCTCAGGGGGGAGCTCGGGGTCGAGCGCTTCGTCGACAAGGTACGAGAGTACTGGATTTGGGTCTACGAGCCGTAGATGATAGTATTTTACAAATAAAGACTACTCAGTGTGGCTGGGTTCCCTCTTTGAGCCCGACTCATGATAGACGAGCAACAAGTGGCTAGGAGGCATTGGAACAACCGGAAGACCAGGGAAGCCGACTGTGTGCCAGCTCTGGAGCATTGATGTTCGGGTTTGCAGAATCATGCCGGGCCAGTGTTGCTTGCCTCCTGCCAATCGCACGATCCAAATTCCAATCCATCTGGCACTGAAGTATGATTTTGGAGAGCACCAGAGGCGAATGACAGTCATGAATGTGTAATCCCGAGCCTTATGGGCTCAACAATTCGATGACAGTGTACCCCTGTTTCTCAACGGTATTACACTCACTGACAGCCAAAAGGTGGTTGAATTACAGCAAGCGAAGTCAATTAGTTCTACTTCACGCTCCGCGCGTATCCCCATCATCCCGACAGAAGCCAGAAGTGCATGACAGAACGAGATGCATTCACATTACTGATTAAATGAGTGACTGATTGTGAGGCGTGACATCGTAAACCGCGCATGTGCCAGCGAGCTCTACCCCTGAAGGATAACCAAGCGAGCGACCGTTTATGCCATCCGTCCATGCTGCGCCCTACTCCCTTTTTCCATCGCAGTCTTACCCGCTCGAAAGAGAAACCTTGCAACTTGGACGGGGCGTGAGAAGCGCTTCCTCGCTCAGGTAACAATATTGACGTTGTTGTTGATGGTGGCGCCGCCGAGGCAGATTTGGACACTCTGTTGTCGCGAATCAGTAATTGTGGCAAGTAACGGACACAGAGAGGTAGCTGGGGAGGACTTACGTTGTTTGCATTGCAGCAGACGACCGTTACCGAGCATGTGGAACCGCCACCTGTAGCAGCGCATGTCAGCAAGCCATCATATACAGAAGACAGCCGTGCAGGATTACGTACTCATGGGAGAGCAAGTTGTGTAGGCGCCCGAATTGTCGGTGTTGCAGCAGAACGGCGTGGCACCGTTACCGCAATTATTGGTTTGGCTCACGTTTGTCTGAGTTGGCTTTGGCGGCTTGGTCGGCTTGGTCGGCGAGCTCGGTGGGGTTGGGGTATTGGATGGAGATTTGGATTCGGTTGTCGTAGTTATCAGGGTGGTTTGTTGCTTGGTCGATGATGATGTGTTCTCCTCCTTCTTGCTGGTCGACGATGTGTTCTCTTCCTTCTTGCTAGTGGACGAGGTACTGTCCTCCTTCTTGCTGGATGAAGACGAGCTTTCCGGCTGCTTCGTGGTCGAGCTCTCCTGCTTCTTGGTACTTGAACTCTCCTGCTTTTTGGTCGATGACGAGCTCTCTTGCTTCTTAGTTGATGATGAGCTTTCTGGCTTTTGAGTGGTCGAACTCTCCTGTTTCTTCGTGCTCGAAGAGCTTTCCTGCTTCTTAGTGCTGGAGGACGAGCTTTCCGGTTGCTTGGTCGATGATGAGCTCTCCTGCTTCTTGGTCGATGACGAACTCTCCTGCTGCTTAGTGCTCGAGGTTGAACTCTCCTGCTTTTTTGTACTCGAGGAGGAGCTTTCTTGCTTCTTGGTGGTGGAGGACGAGCTTTCCTGCTTCTTGGTGGTCGACGACGAGCTTTCCGGTTTCTTAGTAGTGGACGAGCTCTCCTGTCTCTTAGTGCTGGAGGAGGATGAGGTTTCTGGCTTCTTGGTGGTGGACGAGCTCTCTTGCTTCTTGGTTGACGATGAGCTCTGTTGGTTCTTCGTGCTCGAAGAACTTTCTTGCTTTTTAGTGCTAGATGACGAGCTCTCCTGCTTCTTGGTACTAGAAGACGAGCTTTCCGGTTTCTTAGTTGTAGAGGAGCTCTCCTGCTTCTTGGTGCTGCTAGAGGAGGAAGTTTCCGGCTTCTTGGTTGTAGACGAGCTCTCTTGCTTCTTCGTTGATGATGAGCTCTGCTGGTTCTTGGTCGAGGACGAGCTCTCCGGCTTCTTAGTGGTCGAACTCTGCTGGTCTTTGGTTGTGCTGGAGTCGGTCTTCTTGGTGCTGGAGCTAGTCGTCTTAGTGCTAGAGCTTGTTGTCTTTGTGCTGGAGCTGGTCGTCTTTGTCTTTGTCTTTGTCTTTGTCTTTTCTTCCTCCTCCTTCTTGCACTTCGGCTTCTTGTAGTGTTTGTTAAAGTTGCCGTCGCAGGAGTTATATGCACTGTAATATGTTAGTGACTGCAAAGACCAGTAGCCTGATAAGGACAATGGGCTAATACATACCCGCCGTAATCCTGGTTGCAGTTGTCCTTCTTGTACTCGACGACGTAGCATGTGTCTTCCTTCTTGTAGTTTGGCTTCGGGTAGTGGCCATCGAAGGGTTTCTCGCAGGAATTGTAGGATCTGTGAACGAATAAGCCGTTAGTGGTGCGAAACACGCAGCTGCGCAGGACGAACAGGATCTGGTGCTATTACATACCCGCCGTATTTCTTGCCGTAGTCATCGTTCTTGTAGTCGCACTTATAGCAGGCAGGATCATCATCACGAGCGTTGAGCCATGGAGCAGCAGAAACCACACCAGTGCTCACGAGCACGGCCAGGCAGACTTGGACAACTTTCATCGTGAATGACTACGGGTGGGGGTATGCTAACGATGGATGTGTCTAACGACGAATGATTGTGACTGAATGGACTTGACAAGCGGATGTGATAGTTGGCCTGATGCTGTGATGTTGCAGTACAGCTGGAGGAAGAAGCTGGTCCTCTTTAAATAGACAAAGGCCTTGCACTCCAGGACTCACAACGGACCATCTGGATCATCTCCACCATTGCTGATGCTGAGCTTACTGTAGATGTACCCTTGCGAGCACTACAGTGATCTCCTATGCCGGGGGTGTGCCCTAGAGCTCTGATTTGGCTGCGTAAAGCCTAGGGGTGATCTTCCCTCCGAGGAGTCGGATCTGAACCCAGTCCTTCGAAGGGCTGAAGGCCATATTGGGACTGTTGCGGAAACTCTATTCCAAATTTTTCTGTGGCTTCTCCAGTCCCATCTAGCAAGCAGTGAGGATCGTGTAGAATTTGGCCAAGTTTGTCGCCAGCAACCCTGCTCTTGCTCAGACTATTGAAAACAGATCGACTGTGCATCATGCATGCGTAGTTTGTTCGAAGGCACAGCTGGGCGATGCGTCTCAGCCCGCCCCGGGGAGCTGTCTAAGGTCTTTCGCAGTCCTATCCAAGAACTGAGTAGCGGAGACGGTGTGGAGCCTCTGGAGCGTCAGGTCGCCACGTTGGTCACTAGTAAACCTAAAGCGCCTCCCTGCGGCTGGTGGTTGACGAACACATTTAACGGAGGATTTACGATGCTGGTACAGGATCTGGTTGGTTCAAGAGACGCGTTTGTTTACGTGTCGGCCTATGAATGAGTAAAGTCACGTCCCGGTACGCTTAGGAAGCCGCGACGGATTACACATCGGCTCCTAAACGGCGCTGTACCTAGTTTTTTGTCTGGCCATCAAACAGCTCAAGCCTGTACCATGCATGCATGGTTAGCTCGACTGCAAAGTCGACTGACTCTCGGCGGAGTGATAGGTCTCATCCCGCCTTGGAAACATGCAATCAGAGAAGGGGCTTCAAATGCTTGAGCAGGACCATTCTTTATTGCCAAAACAACCCGGAGAAGCAGCCGAAGCTGCAAGACCTCTCCAGCACAACTCTGCATGGAACCAGGGGTGCGAGTATTTGATACTCAGAAGAAGGTGAATCTCGACGCAGGGCCTTCCTTGTACGTGTAACGTGGATGTGAGGTTGTTGAGAGTCAGGCAAGGTACCAGAAATGTCCGGACAATTTTTTATGGAGGTCCGTGCGAAAAGCGTCCGGATATTTCTGCTACGTTGCCTGGAGTGCAGCGACGTTAGGGCGCAGGAACGTCCACATGCACCCCGGGAAACGCCTAACCCTGGAGATACAGCACGGGGATTGACAGTAGCCAATATCAATTTAGCTCGAAGCGATTCTGGGAAGACAGGGGTCGAAGTCAAATACATACGCGTACGACTTGAACAACAAGGTTCCCCATCTGCGGCTCCGCAGCGGCAAGCTCATACGCGAAGATCGTCATCAACTACTGTGAGGGCGGTTGCAGATCTCGGCCGTCAATCGGTACAGCCGCAAACGTAGCACAACAGATGCCCAATGGAACGCGGGGAAGTGTGCTAAAATCGGAGTCAGCCAAGCCACCGGGAGCCCCGCACTCATGGGTGACAGAGGGACGGTGGCCCCTTGGCGTCGATCCCGCCCGGTGCGCACCACCTGGCGACAAACCCATCCCCAACGACATCGCCGCCTCATCCTTCAAAATCTGGAGAGCGTCTTTCTTCCCGTCCTCCCGGAACCATTCTAGGCCACAGGCAACGGCAGATATTCCCCCCAAAGTGGAAGTGACGGTGCAGTAGCCCAAGCTGTGGCGGCGAATGGTTTCTTCAAACCGCGTCGTCAAACTCAACGTTGCGACTCATCTGGGCTTGGATTACAGCATGAAGTGCGTTGTTCGATCGTCTAGGACCAAAGTAGACTGTGACAGGCTAAGCTTTGATGTGAAAGCACCTACCTGATTACTCACGGCTGGCTGTAGCCTGTAACCTTGGGCTACACAGAGAGTCTCTTGGGTGAAGCGTTCTTGATCTGTAATGCCAGGGAAGCGGCATTGACTGCCGCATGACGGCATGAAAAGTCGCCGAGAGATAAGTTCCAGACGTGCCGTCTCTCTGGAAGCTCTAAGAATAGCTGGTCTTCTATTGGATTACCAGAGGCTCTGTTGCAGACTGCAGCAAAGGTTCTGGCAGGTGTCAGCTCGGTGTGGTGCGACGACCCACTCCCACGTTGACGCCCATGCCGTGCTCCCATTCGACATGAGCGGCTGCAGAACGTCAACGCGGCATAATCATATGAAGATTCTCGGATGCAGCAGCGGCACAATCGCTTACTATTTTAGGGTCAAGCCCAGTACATCCAGCGTGGAGGTATGGGAGGTCGCGATACGATGGAAAGAGAACAACTTGCAAGCTGACGTAGGCCGAAGTGACCTATGTTTTATCGGGAACGAGTACAACGAAGGCTTCGACATGAATTTGGCGCCGCCTCACGTTGGATGCCATTGGTGCCTGCATTGACGTTGAGGTTGTGTAAGGTAGATAGGTAAGGTACAAGATGAGGGGAGGGGACATCGCGAGGCTCTCATCCTGTCCGGGTCCACTCCGCGGTGCACGGCCTACTCAAGGCAGAAGCCACATGAAGATCGCCTGGGGCTGACAGCAGCTTCGCACCTCCGATTACCGGGTGCCCAGGATGACAGGACAGATCAATGCAAGAGCGCCTTCGAATCTCAACGCTTCGTAGGTGAACACATGAAAGCCTCGCTGCACGCCTAAACCCCCCGCATGGACGCAGCATGCATGTAGATCATGCCATCTCTGCCGTTCTCCCCACAGCCTTGGAGGGCTAGCTGAGAATCCAGCGCTACCCCAGTAAGACGACTCTCGAACGCTTCCTGCAGCTCCGAGATGCGGCCTCGTCAGCGCGTGGGGACCTTAGCCGTACCGTGGCGAGTAGCTTCTGGATGCCTAGATCGGACGATTCTGATTTCGTTCCTCCCTTATCGTACTGGTCGCTTGCGCCGCTGATGCAGAAGTGGGCAGTTCTAGGATTTGATCATTTGGAAGTACACCCCATCCCCCTTGGCCAGGTCGGGAGTGCCCGGCACAGAGTTCCAGTTCATCTCAATGCGCGTGCTGCGATGTCTTTCCTGTACTGCATCTTATCAAAGTGAATGGCTCCGACGCCTCCGTATGCCTTCTTCACAGCTTCTTCCAGGGTGTCTCCTGTTGCCGTTGACGCAATCACTCGACCGCCTGCGGTCTTCAAGGTATTCCCTACTAGAGCTGTTCCGGCGTGGAATAACACGATGCCTGCAGCGCAAGGGTAAGCGATGATGGTTCTTGCAGGGTCGATCAACAGCACTTACCTTCCGGGACAGGATCCAGCTTCATCTCTATTCCTTTCGCATACACTCCGGGATAGCCGCCAGCAGCTACCACCACGGTGGCAGCGGATTTTGTTGAGATGTACAGCTCGACCTCACTCAGATGGCCTTGCGTACAAGCCAGCATCAAATCCGCAAGGTCGCTCTCCAAGAGCGGCAGGAGACTCTGAGTTTCCGGATCGCCGAATCTGACGTTGTACTCGAGCACCTTCGGGCCCGACTTTGTCATCATTAAGCCCGTAAATAGGACTCCGACATGACGGAAACCTATGCGATTGATCAGACACAGCTCTGCCTTTTCACCCGCCGGTGTCGCCGAAGCGCTTAATGCAACTTACCCTCTTCCCTCATACCATCAATCGTCGGCTGCAGAATTGTCTCGTGTATCTGATCTATCACTTCTTTCGGTGCTATCCTCGTCGGCGCATACGTGCCCATACCCCCGGTGTTCGGTCCTTGGTCGTTGTCATATATCCGCTTGTGGTCTTGCGCTGGCGGCAAGCTCCGGACTGTCTTCCCGTCACTGAATGTCAGAATACTGAGTTCGTCGCCCTCTAGGAACTCCTCAATGACGACCTCATCGCCCGCGGCGCCAAATTCCTTGTCCAACATGATCTCGCGAAGCGCGTCCTGTGCTTCTTGTCGGCTCTGCGGTATTATCACTCCCTTGCCGGCTGCCAGCCCGCTTGCCTTGATTACGACATCATGGTCGACGGAGTCTAGGTACTCCTGCGCTTCGTCATAATTGTTGAAATTCCGGTAAGCAGCCGTAGGAATATTGTGTCTCTGCATAAAATCCTTTGAGAATGTTTTGCTACCCTCCATACGCGCTGCACTCGCGCTCGGCCCGAAGCACTCCACTCCTTTTAAATTCTGCTGGAAGTAATCCACTATTCCGGCGACTAATGGTGCCTCTGGACCTGGCACGAGCAGGTTGATGCCTTTCTCTTCGGCAAAACTTGCAAGGGCCGCGAAGTCGTTTTGAGCGATAGTGCTGATGTTGGTAACTTTATCGACGCCAGCAGTACCGCCGTTGCCTGGCACGCAGTAGATGTGTTCAACTCGAAGGGATATAGATAGTTTCCAAGCAAGAGCATGCTCGCGGCCCCCATTGCCGATAAGGAGAATTCTTAGTCCTTGCTGTGCCATTGCCACTCGAAACCGGCCCACAACGATGGTCTAGATGATTTGCCAGAGGCGTTCAAGGTGCGAGGAATATCTGGAGAAGCGATTTGTCGTCCTGATCCTTGTGTGATTTGTCGAGGTGGAATTATCAAAAATGTTTTCTGTTGGACATTCGCCTGAGGTGTCGAACTACGGTACCCCTCCGGAAAATTTCAAAGCCGCTGCGGGGCACTTTCTTGAGGCTGAAAGCTACCACACTTTGCATCGTCACCGCCGAATTTCCACTTAAAAGCGTGTCGTATCCAGCTTCGATTGGAGCTGGCGCTCGCCTGTCTCGGATATATATCAATTGTGCCTCTTTGGGCGCCCGGCGTAGGACTGCTTCATTAATTATCATCAGTCTACTTCTTACCTCTCTCACTTCCCTATCCTCGCATCCGATTGTGCGGCCCCGACCGCCAAGATGATCAAGATCAGAATACCCTGCTCTTCCGCCAACATAGGCCCCGGCTTCGACGTGATCGGCCTGGCTCTCTCCATATATCTCGAGCTACACGTCACCATAGACGCGTCGAACGCGTCCCTAGATGCTGTTGCGAACTGCAGGATAACCTACGAGGGCCTAGGGAAAGAGAGCGTCTCGCTCGATGCGGAGCGCAACCTCATAACGCGCACTGCGCTATACGTCCTGAAGTGCCATGGTCAACGGACCTTCCCCGTTGGCACGCATGTTCACATCATCAATCCGATACCGCTTGGGCGTGGTCTAGGATCCTCGGGCGCAGCGGTGATGGGAGGCGTGGCGCTGGGAAACGCGGTCGGAAAGCTGGGTCTCTCAAAAGCGCGCATGTTGGACTATGGCCTGATGATAGAACGACACCCGGACAACATTGCGGCGGCTCTATATGGTGGCTTCGTGGGCACATACTTGAACGAGCTTGACCCAGTGGAGATGGAACGCAAAGAGATTCCCCTAAGCGAAGTGCTACCTGAGCCGGCGGGTGGCATAGACACTGGCCTTACGCCACCGGAACCACCACTCAATATCGGACATTACATCAAGTTTACATGGGCGAAGGAGATTAGATGTATAGCCATAATACCGGATTTCGAGGTTTCGACGGCCAAGGCGCGGGAAGTGCTGCCTACACACTATACGCGCGCCGATGCCGTCTACAACATGCAAAGGCTTGCACTTCTCACGACAGCATTGGGCCAGTCGCCGCCAGATCCTGACCTCATATGGAGGGCAATGGGCGACAAGATCCATCAGCCATATCGCAAGACGCTGATACCCGGGCTGACCGAGATTCTGCAATCCGTCACTCCGAATTCGCATCCTGGTCTTCTGGGCATATGTCTTTCTGGCGCTGGCCCAACCATACTCGCACTAGCCACGGACAACTTCGACGGCATCGCGCAACATATCCTCAACCAGTTCAAGCAAGAAAACATCACCTGCACCTGGAAGCTCCTTGAACCAGCAGAGGATGGCCTGACAATAACTGACGAGGCGTCCTCTTCAGCGGAGCGGATGACCTACGCCGCCGCCGGAGTTTCAATAGACGCTGGTAACGAGCTCGTGCAGCGTATCAAAAAGGCCGTCACATCTACTGCCCGACCCGGCGCAGATTGCGAGATCGGTGGCTTCGGCGGAGTCCTCGACCTCAAGGCCGCAGGCTACACCGAAGCGCCGAAGATCGTCCAAGCCATCGACGGCATAGGCACGAAGCTAAAGATCGCCTTCGAGATGGGCAAGCACGACACCGTCGGTATCGACCTCGTAGCCATGAACGTCAACGACCTCATCGTCCAAGGCGCCGAGCCCCTGACTTTCCTGGACTACTACGCGACCTCGAAGCTGGACGTCGAGACCACCGTGCGCTTCGTCGAGGGCGTCGCGGCAGGCTGCAGAGAATCTAACTGCGCGCTCGTTGGCGGCGAGACGGCGGAGATGCCGGATCTGTACCGCGAGGGCGAGTACGATGCTGGTGGCGCGGCGACCGGCGCTATCGCGCAGGGCAGGAAGGTCCTTCCGCTTAAGGGGGAGATGAGTGAGGGTGATGTGCTGCTGGGCCTTGCGTCTAACGGACCGCATTCAAATGGCTTCTCGCTTATCCGGAGAGTAGTCGAGCGCGCGGGGCTGGATTATCGGGCGAAAGCGCCGTGGGACGAGAAGATGACTGTGGGAGAGTCGTTGCTCACGCCGACGAGGATCTACGTCAGGAGTTTGCTGAAGCTAGTTGATGCGGACTTGGTCAAGGGTATGTCGCATATCACCGGTGGAGGCCTATATGATAACGTGCCGAGGATGCTGCCGAAGCATCTCGAGGCCGAGATCGACGTCAAGAGCTGGGAAGTCCCGGCCGTGCTCCGCTGGCTGAAGAAGGCGGGGAACGTGGAGGCGAAGGAGTTTGCGAGGGTGTGGAATACAGGGCTGGGGATGGTGCTTGTCGTGGCGAAAGAGAAGGCGAGAGAAGCGATGGAGGTGTTGTGGGAGGCTGAGGAGATAGTGAACGTGATTGGGACGCTTGTTACACGGAAAGAGGAGGGGTGTGTTTTGAGAAATCTAGAGGTGTGGGAATAGATACGAGGTTCTGCATGTGTATGGTATATGCATGAGCGTCGGAGTTCGGCGATTGTGATTTCCAGGGAAGACGCAAGCCCTGCTGAGTGAGTGTGGGAGGCGTTCAAACTTGGAACCGTTAGAGTTAGGTGCTCTATTAGCGCCATCGGTGGCCGTTTGATCTGCAACAACGTACAGCTTTTAGATCATCTCCTCCCTCCAGTGCTTGAGTTGAAATGCTTCCCCATCCATGAGTCCGTGGATGTAGCAGTCTCCAATGATGCGGTAAGATGCTCCCTCTTCCCGTAACACGAAAGGTACTCGTGCCCCATACAAAACACAGATCTTGTCCCCTGGAAGGGTCGAACGGGGCGCATTGCCCATATAGCCGTTTTGTGTGACGCAAAATTGTTCGCCTGCCTCGACGTCGTATATGAAAGGTGCTGTTGTAAGTCCGTGGGAAGCGCTACGAAGGGATCTTCCTGTACTAGCTCGCAGCACCTCAGGGTAGTAGCCACCATACTCCGGGGGTGCTTTGACTGCAAGACCATTACTATCTTCGACTCGATCATAGAGAAGAGTTCTCCAGTAAGCCTCGAAGATATCTTCTCCGGTAGGATAAATGTCCAAGCGCTCGACTAGCGCTCTCCGCTGGAATTCTGCATTGACAACCCGTTTCAAGGGCGACCGTTTCTCTCTCGGGGGTGATTTGCTCACAAATTGAACAGTATCCACTATACCGCCCATGATATAAACTGTGTTCGGATTAGTGGGCGAAGACACGAGTTGTATCTTTTTGCGGGCGCCACAAGCACGATAGACGGATACGCTCACAAAGGGTTTATACGACCAAGCTGTCCAATCTGGTGCCGAAGACGGCAAGCCAGCGATGCTATGATTGTTTTTACCAGCATCGGAGAGTATTCTCATATCGCCATGTTTCAAAACAGTCCTTGCGAACTCTCGGTAGACGGTAGCAGTAGGTGTGGCGTAATCTGGCTGTATGTCAAAACTCATTTTGCCTGTTGCCAAGCCAAGAAGACCCGTAGATCTTGTCTCTTGGATCCGTCGCGGCCATAGGCAGTGTCTCTCTAAATAGTTTTGTTATCCTTCGTGGTGATACAGCATTGCCGGCTCTCAGTTCCGCCATGGTTAGGAACAGGGGTGACCTGAGGTGATACTGGTAGGTACCTATGTATCCGGTACCGATACCTACTACTGGAGGAGTGACCCAGCACGCAATGCGGACTGCCTTACTCGTTTTGGTAAAGCTGCCAAACCCCGTAACATATATGGATGTCAGCTACAAAATTACAGTACATTTGTCCATGTCAGCCATGGAATTACAGTGATAGACATTCCGGGCTTAGCGCGATGCTGAGCATCAGTCGGCGTGGAGCTTCGTGGTAGTCCACTGACTGAACATACCACAACGATGGCGCTCGACGACTGAATGGGGCCACAAAGCAAGTCTGAAATCGCAGAGCTCGAGAAGCTCCGTCTATCATCATGGATATCGTCCAAGCAGTCTCCGGCTACATCACGAAGATGTTGTCAGCTGGAGACAGCGCCGCTGGTACTCCAGCAGCGAAGATGAAGATACTCTTGCTGGACAGTGAGACTGTAGGTTTGTCCACCCAGTCGCACATGGCTTGCTATCAAAGGCTTACGCGTAGCTAGGTCGCGATCATGTCTACAGCCACCACCCAGTCCGCGCTCCTCAATCATGAAGTCTTCCTTACAGAGTACCGCAAACCTATCTAAGGTTTTCGCACCACCACGCTGACAATTAAACCTAGCCGACTCGATAACCAGCAGCGCGAAAAGATGCGCCATCTCCGCTGCCTCTGCTTCGTCCGTCCCTCGCCGGATTCGATACAATTCTTGATTGAAGAGCTGCGGGAACCGAAGTACGGAGAGTACAACATCTGTCAGTACACAGCGATGGATTTGTGGAGGTGGAGCACAGCGCTGACTGTGTCAGACTTCAGCAACATAATACGAAAATCCTCTCTTGAGCGCCTGGCAGAAGCGGACGACCACGAGGTGGTGCGGGCCGTGCAAGAATACTTCGCCGATTACCTAGTCATCAACCCAGACCTCATGTCCTTAGATCTTGGATACCCTGGACACATGATATGGAGCACGAGCCCAGATTTGTGGCATCCCGACTCGTTGCAGCGGGCCACAGAAGGCGTCCTCGCGCTGCTGCTGTCGCTCAAGAAGAAACCACTGATACGGTACGAGAAGAGCAGTTTACTGGCGAAGAAGCTTGCTACCGAGGTGCGGTACCAGATGACGCAGGAGGAACAGCTCTTCGACTTCCGGAAAACGGATACGCCGCCTATCCTCCTGATTTTAGATCGACGAGATGACCCGGTAACGCCGCTGTTGACGCAGTGGACGTACCAGGCTATGGTCCATGAGCTCCTCGGCATCCGCAATGGCAGGGTAGACTTGAGCGATGTTCCGGATGTTCGGCCCGAACTGAAGGTAGTATGCTCCATGAGCAATGCGGGATCAGTGCTAACAGCGGTACTTGTTACAGGAGATAAATCTGTCACAGGATCAGGACCCCTTCTTTAAGAAGAACATGTATCTGAACTTCGGGGACCTCGGCCAGAACGCCAAGGATTACGTGGAGCAGTTCGCCTCTAAGACGCAAGGAACTCACAAACTAGAGTCCATTGCCGACATGAAGCGCTTCGTAGAAGACTATCCAGAGTTCCGTAAACTATCTGGCAACGTCACGAAGCACGTCACGCTTGTAGGCGAACTCAGCAGACGCGTAGGAGAAGACAAGCTCCTCGACGTCAGCGAGCTCGAGCAGAGCCTAGCCTGCAATGACAACCACTCGAACGACCTCAAAGCACGCATTCCATCTCTAGTTAGGCTCCATTCGCAGTACTAACAATCACTTAGACGCTCCAACGCCTAATCCAAGACCCCTCAATCCCCGCCTCCAACAAGCTCCGCCTAACAGCCATCTACGCATTGCGCTACTCCAAGCACCCGTCCAACTCAACCCCCATGCTGCTCGACCTGCTCGCCGTGGCCGGCAACCTCTCCCGCCACCGCATCAACCTCATTACCAACCTCCTCACCTACCACCACTCCCTGCAGCCCGTCGCGGCAGCCGCGGGCGGCATCCCGGATCTCTTCCAGTCCGGCTCGCTCTTCAGCGGCGCGCGCGACCGCTTCAAGGGCCTCAAGGGCGTCGAGAACGTGTACACACAGCATTCGCCTAGGCTGGAGGGGACACTGCAGGACCTGATTAAGGGCCGGCTTCGCGAACAACTTTACCCGTTCGTCGAGGGCGGCGGGGTGACGAGGGACAAGCCACAAGACATTATCGTCTTCATGGTTGGCGGCACCACGTACGAAGAGGCTAAGATGGTTGCGCAGGTCAATGCGAGTTCGCCCGGTGTGAGGGTCGTGTTGGGTGGCACGACGGTGCATAATAGCAGCTCCTTTTTGGAGGAGGTAGAGGATGCGGTGGATGCTTGGCCGGAACCGGCGCCTGCGACTGCGGCTGGGAGGCTCAGGAGAGAGGTTGGGAGGTGAGCGATGTTTGTCGGCTGCCTGGCGCACGGGGCGTTGAGTCAAAGGAGGGCTTTGGTAGTCCCAGGTCCGTCCGAATTCGTTGCCCAGTGGCGTGCGGTTGGGTACGGATTTCCGGCTTTTCCGTTCAAAACGCGCGACTGTTCTTCTCCAAGTGCTGTCGGCTTGCGCTGTGGACTCGACTCATGCGGGACCAGATAGAATCGTTCCTCTCACGAACCTCTTTGGAGGGCAATCGCTTCCCATGATTCCTCTTCAAGTACCCGCACCGTCCCTTCGCTCACCCCTCTCCTCCCCATACAGAATCTCACAAACCCCTCCAATCGGCACATCCATAACCGCATCCGTGCCCTCACTCCACAAGCTCTTCCAATCCAGCTCCTCCGACGCCCCCACCCCAACAGGTGCAGTCCACCTCCCACCAGACACCTGCCTCGCATGCCCTTTCCTCCCCCCCTTCCCCCTCGCCTCCCCCCCACCCCCCCCGCCCCTAACAATCCTCCCAAACCGATCAACAACCGCAATCCGCCCCGCCTCATCCACAAGATTCTCCACCCTCGCCATCGCCAGCGTCAGATATCCCGTATTGTAGCTCGCAAGCGCCACATAGATGTACCCGACCAGCACGACCAGCCACGCGGGGACGGCGAGCGCCCACCACCGGTTCGGGTAGTAGTCTATCCCGAGCTGGTGCAGGAAGGGCGAGGGCAGGTACGCCCAGAGCAGGTACATCAGGAAGAAGAGGCTGCTGAAGAGGTAGAGCGCGAAGCCGTAGTACTCGTAGGTTGGGACGCGCGGGGTGGCGCGGGGTATGTCCGGGGGCGCGGTTAGGGCGGAGGGGAGCGCGGGGGTGGTGGTGCCCGTGTTGGTGGCGGCGGAGGTGGCGGTCGTGCCGGCGGTGCTGGTGCGGCTGTGGTGGTAGCGGTGCGAGGAGGGGTGTTCGGGGTCGGAGGAGTCGTCGGGGGTGGTTGGGCGGCTTGTTTGCGCAGAGCGGGAGGGCCGGATTAGGAGGGAGGTTAGGCTGGGCGAGGGCGGGAGGGGCGTAGGGGGGCGGTTGTAGAATGGCGGGAAGAGGCCGTGGGTTGGGGCTGGGGGGAGGTGGGTGTAGGAGCGCGAGGCGTGCCTGTAGAGTGGCCGGGAGGGCATGCGGACGTCGGGGCTTGGGACATCGCCGTTTTCCTCTTCTTCACCTTCGACGTCGGAATTGGACTTGGAGGAGGTCGAGGATTCAGGCTCGAGGCTAAAGATGTCGTCGATCTCATCAGCGGCGCCCGTGTTGGACTCGGCGGAAGCAGCCTCGGATGGAGAGGTCGGGCTCGTTGGTGAGAGAGCATTGGGGAGGACTGGATCGGCTGCGGTGTTGGTTCGCTGTGGGAGTTTTGGAGGAGACACCGATAGTGGATTGAGGGTGGGAAGATTCGGGGTGGACTTGGATTGTAGGCCTGGGGGCACGGGTGTGCCTCTGCTTTGCGGTGCCATTGCGATGTTGATTGTGATCAAGAACTCAAAGTTGAACGTGGAGCTCGGAGGTGAAGCTTGCGGTGGTCACGGCTTTTCCAGATTAGGTAGTCCGTGATGCTTGCCTTCGACACGCTACACCGCTACGCCGGACGTCTGTTTTGAGTTGTGATTGTTGTAGCAACTTCTTAATCTGCTGGCAGGATACAGAAAAGTACCTTAGCTCTGCCTTTCATGAGAAGGAGTGACTAGTACCGATGGTCGTTCAAATCACGATCCCAGCCTGATCAATGCATGCCACAGGTATACAGTACTTCTTGAATCGCTCAACTCTCGCATGAGCGGCTGGGCATTGTTGTAAACTTGACATAAAAGTCTACGATCGAGGAAACCTGACTTCATGGCAATTCGTCTATACTACACCCAAAGCATGTTCGTCCCTTTCTGGGCCTATCAAACATTGGTTCCTGCCTGAGTATGACGCCTGCGGATATGAGCGGACGAATTGACCACTTCATGATGTGGAGAGCCTGTCACTCATTCTCCGAGAAGAAGCCCACATTGCCCGAACTCGTGCCCATCTCCACCAACCTCTTCCGCATCCCCTCCGCTCTCTTCCTAGTCGGCTCATCCAAGGAGCCAAAATCAATCTGCTCCACCCACTCACCAATCCCATGCTGCAGCACATTCCTCGCCCTCGCTTTGCTGCCTCCAACATGCCCTATACTTCCGTGCAGCGTCATCCGCTCCACACTGGCATCGTACACCCCCCGATGCAGTATATTATTATTATAGAAGACCACGTCCCCCGCACCCATCTCCACAACTTTCTGCCCCGGCATATGCTCCTCATACGGCCTCGCCATTCTCTCCTCCTCCGTCCTCGCCCTTCTATGCGACCCCGGCACCACAACCAACGACCGATCATCCCACAGCGCGAGGTTCCACTGCGCATGCCAGCCCGGCTCCCCTAGCCTCTTCTCCTCCTCCTCAGCGCTCGCATCAGGCCCGATATCGTCCCTGTGCCAGCGCAGCGCGAAGTCGACGTCCGGCCGCACGAGCAGGTTGTACAGCTCCATGACCAGCTTGTCTTCCGAACACTCGAGCAGCTGCTTAACGGGCGAGATTATGGAGTCGCTGAGATAAGAACGCAGGAACAGAGGCTGGTCGGGTTGGCTAGGGTGGAGCAGGTGCTGCACGCCCCAGATGCCGTGTTCGGCGGAAGAGGGCCAGGGCGGGAACTGCTTCGGGAGCGTGCGGATGTGGGGCCATTTTCCGGAGCGGGCGAGAGCGGTGATGCGCGCGGCGGCGGCGCGGAGGGTGGAGAGGTCGTCGGGGGAGAGGACGGAGGGGATACGGACGAAGCCGTCGCGGTGTAGGGACGTGAGGAGGTCGTTTGGGGCAGCGGGGGATGCCATTGGGCTCTGTGGGGTGGGATTACATTGAAGTGGGTGGGCAGGTAGATGATGAGACGGCGAGACTGGAGGCCCTGCTTTCTCACATGTTGACACAAGCCGTCGCTACTGCGGCATGTTCCTCGGTACGACTGCCTGAGTGCTGAGTGCTGAGTGCTGAGTGCCGAGTGCTCCTGCGGGCCAAAGTGAGGAGCAGATATGGTGATGGGGTCCGGTGCGTGTGGAGAAAACGACGGATGGGCAGGGAAGCACGGGGTTCACGTGCTGTGCTTGCAGATAAAACCGGGAATTTGCCACCGGAGCGGCTCCCCCACCACACGGTATAGCTGATTAAGGTTTTTAACACAACCACCGTCCTATTTAATGCCGCAATAGCTCGAAAACTTACTAGCTATATTATTTAATACTATTATCCATCTTTTAAATTAAAATGCGCCGGTTAAGAAGATTAAACGGCTTACTTAAGCCTTAAAAACTACTATATACCGAATGCGCTTAAGCTTAGACTTATTTAGTTAACCTTATTCTCTATTAATTATAGCTTAAGGCCGTCTAAAACTACTCACGGTAGTATAAGAGAATATAGATAACTTTAGGCTCTTACTAAATAACCGTAATAGATACTAACTACTATAGAGTAGGCGCTTCTTAACTAGCTCTAGTTAAACCCTACTATATATCTTAAAGAGATAGCTACCTAGCTAGACTAGTAGTTTAGTATTCGACCGTTAATTAGTACTATCTATTTAATACTAATACGCGCGTAATAGACTTAAAAGAAGATAGTATAGCACGCAATTAAATAAAATAAGCTACTTTAAATAGTCTAAGTAGCTTAGTAGCTATAATATAATAAAAGCGAGCTTATCTTTATAGATAAGACTACTAATAATAAGTATACTCCCTATAGATAATATAGCTAGTCTAGAGCTAGTATCAAGGCTAAGGATATTATATCTATAAGGCGCTCTAAAGTCTACTTAGTTTTACTAGTACTAGTAATTAAAGGCTATATTAAGAACGCTACCCTTATTATTAAGAGAGCTATAAACGCTAAAATCTTTAAGGCTTAGCTCTAGTAGATACTACTACTAGTACTATAGTAGTAGCCTAGACGAACGGTTATTATAATAGATAATATTACTACTTATTATAGCACTTAGATACTAGAGCTATTCAGAGAGTTTAGTGTTAATTTTAACTACCTTCTATTATACTTACTAGATCTAAGCCCTATTAAGGCCTTATTTATAGGTATAAAGTAGTAAATAAAGAGCTAGCGGCAGCTAATAGATAATATAATAGACTTTATAGTACTCTTACACCTAGTAATCTATATAGCTAGCAGTAAGAATATTACTACTTACTTTTAGTATACTAGATATAGTCTATAGCTTTCTATATAGAAATATAAGAAATCTATACACAGCTTATTATCTTTTTTAGTTTAAATTAGATACTCTACAAATATTGCAGCTACGCTTATAAAAAAAAATAGTTCTAGGATATAATATATCTAAAACTCTACTACTGCTTATATATATAATTAAAAAATATTACGCTACTAAATACTACTTAGTGTTAAGGTTTTTTTAACCTAGCAATAGATTACTAAAGAATTATTAGAGTTACTAGATAATTATTAGAGCTAGTCTAGCTTATATTTAATACTAACCGCCTAGGTTTAATTAGTCGATAGAGTGGGGTAACTAGCTCTAGTAAGAAATACTAGATATAAAAAATAAAAAAGAATATAATAATGTACTAAGATTTAAGTCTTCTAGGTCTATATAGATTAATTAATAATAAGATCTTAATAGAGAAGAGGTAAAAATACTATACTTAGCGTGTTTAATACTAGGCGTTCTTAAACAGTCTAATTTCCCTATAAATATAGGCGAGATACTCTAGTTTAAAGCTATACTCGCTCTACTACTTAGTGGTTATATTTTTTTTTAGTTTCTTAAGATTCTAACTATCTTTAGATAGCTTATCCTTTAGGTAATTAAGAAAGACTTATAAGGGAGGTGCCTTCTAATACTACTAGCTCTTAGTCTAGCTTATAAACTATACTAATATACTATCTAGATTATCCTTAATTGAAATTAGTAATAATTATAAAGAATCGCAGTTATTTTAGGGAGTAGGTAGCTATACTATTAGTATAAATATCTAAGGGACTAGAGCTAAAGAGTATCTAGCTACTAGCGCTTACTAGACTAGCAGTTAATCTATTCTTTATAATTTATTACCCTCCTTTACGCGCTTGTGACTAAATAGCCTTATTAGTAGATTAACTATTAGCTAGTTAAGATTAGCCTAGCCTTATCTAATATCTTAGTTCTAAATCGCTATCACCTTAGGGTTAAGAGGTAGATAGTTATCTAGTAGAGTATTAAAGCTATTTAAATAGTAAATGCGGTTACTATCCCTACTATAGTTTAAATAGCTAGTATTCTAATAATACTAATAAAAGCTAAGATTATAAGCGTAGCTATTAGTAGCTCTTATAGTAGTAATATAGTTTAGGAGGTTAAGGAGCTAGATGGAGGTAGTAGTGCGTCGACCTTATTATTATAGTAGCTAGCTAGTAATTAGTATTAAATTTAATAGGTTAATCTCTTTAATAATCTCTTTAACCTTAATTATAATATTAACTTAAAGGTTCCACTTAGGGTAGGCCTTATATTAGGTAGCTAGTACTTATTTAGCCTTATTAATACTCTCTTAATTATTAATATCCTAAATAATACTAGCCCCTCTATCTTATAATAAAGCAGCCCGAATATTAAGCTACTTAAGCTACTAGAGTTAAGTATACTTTAGTGCCTAGCGTTTAAAGCGCTCTATATTAGAATAGAAGAGACAGAACACTAGCTTATTAATCTTATAGATACGCGTCTGCAATTTAAGTAGCTTCTTATTATTAATAGCTTAAAGATAATAGGTATAAGGAAATACTAGTACCTCCTCTTATTTAGTAGTCTCTTATTTAGTAGTAGTATCTAATAGAGACTACTAGTTATCCTACCCTAATAATAGCGAGATAGTAGGAGCGTGTAGTAATAAGAGTATAGATATAGGAGTAGTCTAAGTTTAAGGATGGGAGGATTAAGAATAGGAGGATATAGAAGCGGTCTAAATTTAAGAACGGGAGAATTAAGGATAAGAGAATTAGATAGGAGCCAATAAGGGTATAGCCGCTTGTGAACCACTAGCTGCTCTTAAACTACTAGTAGCTAGTGTCTTTCTTAATTATTTTCTCTTAGTATTAGTAGCTGTAACCTTAATAACCTCCTTGCGCTTCGGTATTGCGGTAGACGTGGCTAGTAGACGGTAGCTAGTGGCTAGTGGACAGTAGACGGTGATAATGTCTTTTAAACTAAAACACCAAGAGTTCTATACAATTAACTGTTTTGGGTAGGATATTAGACCGTTTTGGTGAACACGGCGTTTTAGACGTTCTCAGGTTATCGCATAAAGATTTCTATATGAAATGTGGGGAGGCGTTGGCGTTCGGTGGCAAATTCCCGGTTTTATCTGCAAGCACAGTGAGCATGGGGTTTGATCCGACTTTCCGTCCTCAACCACCTGAACAACTCCCTCGAGCCGTTTGCCATGAAGCCGACAGTGAACACAAGCACAAGAAGACTTCAAAGGCCCGTTGTGGAGATCCATGCGCGCTGTGAGAGACAGACGTTGACCCGCAGCAGCCTGACATCGAACGTCTACTTGATTGCTACATAACTCGTCTAGCATCCCTTCACCCTGATGGCTCCACTCACCCACGCTTGGACGAAGAACGCCATATCGTAGTCGAAGCGAGTGTGTCGCTCGTCTGTTCTCCTCCGAGCTCAATTCTCAGCCGCCATGATACCTCCGGGTCCTAGCAACAAATGTTAGCTCGATCAAATGGCATTGCACGTCAGTGTCATGCAAAGCCTGCTACCTACGGAAGGGTACCGGATGGATTGGTACTTGCGACTGTCTAGAACAACGCAGCCTGCCCGTCATCGGCTTGCCAACCGTATTCCTTCTCCAGCGCTTCATATCTCTTGTTCCTCTTGTCCATCCCGGCTAAGATTTCCTCGAGAGCCACAATCGCTTCCGCGGCTTCCCTGGTTGCTCCGTTCCCCTGCTCTATGTTCCGGGCCAGTCGCTCATTAGACCTAGCGAAGCATTCCGTTTCTTTCGCCGACATCTCTCTGTACTTCGCACAGATGGCTCTCAATCTCGCCGCTTGTTCGTCTCGCTTCTTCTGCTGCGCCGCTTCGTAGCCTGGAGGCAACCGATCAGCACTGTTTTGCTTCCATTCACTGCCAGGTGCCGTGTAGGTTTCGGTTACCTGTAATCCATGCCAGGAAGGCCTCCATCCTTGTTCCGGACTGTTGTTGAAGCTTTGGGACCTAGATCTGGCGAGCTGGCAGTCGCTAGGGATGCGGTATGAGCGTATGGACTGTTAAGTGTGTTCAAAGTGGTTGCTTGTTTGTTCGAAGCGAAGATCAGGAAGCCTTCTTTCGTGCAGAAGAGCGAGAGTTCAGAAGGCTGTGACGGTGCTGCTGGTTTTCGGAAGGAGCACCTGACTCATCCACTGTTTCAACAACGCTGGTCTTCAGACCGGTTACTGCAGGTTCGGTCCGCCGTGGGAAAGTGCGCGTGAGAGATGAGAAAATCACCTGACAAGCACATGCAGAGACTCTACTGACACGCGGTTTCGGAGCAAGCCCTGAGGCCTCAGTGAAGGTACTCAGAGAGTGAAGATCTTGCGACAAGCAGCTGATGTAAGGATGTCGAAGAATCCACGTCATCAATCTATCGCGTTCCTTATGGACTTGTAGTGTTGTCTACAGTGAACACTTGACACTCAGCACTCATGGCCATGGAGTTCAGCCTCCGCCCTAGCAGCTCTCACAGCAAGTCTCTTCTCGAGCATCGCCGCAGTCCACTCGAACTCCTGCCCCGGCAAGACGTTGGCGGGCTGAGGATTGCGTTTGTGCATTTTCGGACCCTTGGGCAGTCTGCTCTGTCCAGTAGCAATGAGGTTCAACCAGGCAGCAAGACGGTATCCAGCTGAAATCCATCAGCAAACCTTCTTGAGCATTGAAGTCGAAACACACGTACCTTTAGCAACCTCACTCTTCACGGCCGGAACAGCAGACTGATAATACGTCCCTCCCAGCTCCTTGCCTTCAACATCCTCCATCCCACCCGGCAGCACAGTGGTACAAACATCATCATTCGCATCGTTCGCCCACACCATCGCCGTCCCAACCGGCTGCTCAAGCTCCATCCCCTTAAGCCACCCCCTCCTCCGGCTCCTATACTCCCCGTGCTTAATCTCCGTCGTGAGGTTAAACGCCCACGCCTGCGCAAAACTCATATTGAACCCTCCTACCAGCCTCTCGATGATACTGCTATCCCACACCCGATGCAGATTCCCCGCGCGCCCGTCAAAGGTCGTGTTGATCCTGTTCCCGCCCACAGCCGTGTTCTCCGTGTGTAGCGGCTGGTGGATGTCCCCCGTGAAGTGGATGATCATCTTCAGCGCTTTGTTCCTGTCGTCCCACCCGAGCTCCTCATCGCGCACGCGCTCGGTGTAGTTCGCCAACGCGCTGACAATGCAGCCCTCCTCCGGGCAGTCCCGCTCGTAGATCACCTCGCAGGAGTGCGGCGGCGCGTCCAGCGCGTCGATGTAGTGGAAGACGGACGTGAAGGCGCCTTCGGCGGTCGAGCGGTAGGAGTCGGCCCAGGTGGCGTGGTTGGCGAGGTAGGTGGGCGTGCTGTCGTTCAGGAGACGCTGGGTGTAGGCGATGGTGGTGGGGTGGAGGAAGTTTTGCGCGATTAGGGCGACGGTCGTGTGGCCGAGGGTGCCCCAGGCGTGGGCGGAAGGGAGGGCGAGGAGAGCGAGGAGGGCGAGGAGAGCGAGGAAAGTGGTGGAGAGGTTGGAGGGGATCATGATGGGTAGTTTGGAAGGGGGTTATCGGGTGGGGGGGGGGAGACAAGTGAGAGTCAAAGTGTGCGTAAATGCAGACTCAGAGGGCGGATGCATCCTTCTAGTACTCTCGGCAACATCGGCCATTTCCTACCAGTCTTGGTTCATCGCCAGTGCGATAGCGTCGTGGTCCCAAAACCGTCGTTGAAGCTGGTAGTTAGATGGTCATGCAGGTCCCACATCGCCGCCCGGCGCACCTTACCTAGAAAGGCAGGCGGACGAGACGAGCCGCAACGTCGTGCCGCTGATGCCGTCGTTCATTGGGCAAGTAAAGCTTGACCGCGGAGCATGAAACATGAAACATTGGCCTCTGGAGAAAGTACAAAATAGGCCATCTAAGCCTATGTGAAATGCGTACCTCGTTCATCATCAGAGATCTCACGCGTTGACTTGAGGATATTCCACCGTGGCTCAAGAAAGCGAGAATGAGATGCGTAAGTGTGATTATCCGTTTCCTCCGGCGGTGAAATATGTCTACTTGAGATGGACCATGAGATGTACGTTTCCACGGTAGGCAGTCCGCGCATGCAACTACGCTGCAACCAGGACGTTTGGAAGTGGAGCGGTTCTGGACAATGCCGCAGTTGCTGCAGCGATGACGTCCCGCCGCTCTTACCCAGGATTTGTTATGCCGGCATGTGGTGGCTTTGGAGTCGGATCCACATCCAGTGGTTTCTATGTCGTGAGAGCTGTTGGCTTGGATCCGTAGTTTCGCGCCTCTCGTGCCTTTCCAGCCGCGCGTCTTTCGCTCGCGCTATCTATGCTCGCTCTCTCGCTTCTCGTGCCTCTTGCGCTTGCCAAGCTCTGGCTACAAGTTCGGCCTTCTGCTACGCCCAAACAGCTCGTCCATCACCTGTTCCATTCTTGCTTCCTGCTCCTTTCTGACCTGTTCTCGCAACTTCGCCGCCTGGGCCTCCGCCTCCTCTGTTTCCTCCTGGTCCCTGTGGGCGGCAATCATGTCATCCACTTCCTGCATGGCAGTTTCCAGTGTTTTGAGCTCGTTCTCCTCCTTGAGTAATTCGTTCTTCTTTTGTTGGACCACGCGGGAAGCCTCCATGATGTCAATCTCGTAGCCTTTTCGGCGTGATTGTAGGAATCGAAGACGTTCCTGCCGTGCGGTCTCTTCTTCTCGTCTATTCATCCTCTCTTCCGCGGCCCTCTTCCGCTCTGCCTCTGCTTTTGCGGCTTCGGCCTGGTCCCTCTCTGCGGCCCTCTTCCGCTCTGCAGCCTTCTTCCGTGTTGCGGTCTCTTTTTGTTCTGCAGCTCTCTTCCGCTCTGCGGCTTCAGCCTGGCGTTTTTCCGCATCCTGCTGTGCCCATAGACGATCTCGAATGCTTTCCCAGACCGTATCATAGACACGTCGCTGTTCAGGGTCGCTTACTATCTCGTATGCCCTTTGGAGCTTGAAACACAGGTTAACCCCTGTTTCGGCTCCGACATGCGCGTTGAAGTCACCAAACTTACCAGTTGGAATGAAGCTGTCGCAGTAGCCTTGCCAGGATTCTTGTCGGGATGCAGCAGCCTTGCCAGCCTCCGAAAGCTTTTCTTGATCGTTTCATTGTCGGCTGAGTTTGAAACCTCAAGGACAGCGTAGTAATCTTCTGCGATCTTAACTGGAGCCATTGTGCTACTGAAATGAGTTGAAGTGGATGTGAAAGATAGGCGAGGTGAGAGACAGGCGAGGTGAAAGACAGGTGAGGTGAAGGGTAGGTAGGGTGGTGCCCGTTCCTAGGTCTTGCGCTGTGGTCGCGCGCTTCACTTTAGCAGTGCGCCTGAAACGGCGCAGTCACCTATCTATGCGTTAATATATATCTGGCAACGTCAGCAACGCTTTCTGAGTGAGGCTACTTGATATGAAGCGGGGTCCGGCACCCTATTCCGGTGATGTGCTATCGACTTGTGCAAGGCAATGATCGCAGCGAAGATGGTCGTGTGGCACACCGGTAGCAGGAAGTAAGTATGAATCTAGAATTTTTATAGATTTCGACTTCATTTAGCACTTAATTGTAAGGAGATTTGCGGAAGGAGAGATGGAGTACTCCAAGCGGTCGGTAGCAGAGCCCTTTGACCTATGGTTTTAACAATGGGCGTTGTACAAACCGCAACTCGCCTTTTCTCCGTTATGCCATCCCGGATACGCCATGAAATGCTGAAATATGACGCCTCCTACGCCGAAGGGTATCTTCTCCAAAAAGCAAAACGTTCCAACCCTCATATATGCTGGCCCCGAGTATCTCGGCCTATGTTCGCCGCTACGTCATGGTCTACCGCTACTGCCGTATTTGCGTCTGTCCGTTGGCGGCCTTCGAAGAGCTGAATCCACCATGATGGGGGATCCAAGGGCTTGCGGCCGTTGTAGATGCGTGGGAAAACGTCGTTGAAGTACCACCAGACTACACCATGTCAGTATAAGGTGTTGTCACGGAGCCCAGGCCGAAGGACTTACCGTGCCCCACCACCACCCCGCAAATTTCATCTTTCGGGATGTGGTTGTGCAGAAGGATTGAGAATGCCATAAGGACAAAGGGCAAGTACGGCGCCCTAAAGACAAACATCCCCAGGAAGCTCAGCCGCGTGTCCGGGTTCCGCCGGCTCCAGATGTAGACGAGCACGCTGGAGAGCGCCGTACCGAGGAACGCCATGGAGAACATAGGTGCAATGCAGAGTATGACACCAGACGTGCACGCAAGGAGCCAGGAGAAATGCGCAGGCGATCGGCCGGACGACTCTTCCAGCATGCGGGAGTACCGCTGCATGAAGAAGACATGGAAGATGAGGTCTAGGCTTAGGGGGCCGAAGTAGACGAATGTGGTGAGGAGACGCCAGTACTGCGAGGTGGGTGTCAGTCATGCGCGATCTATGCCGTGAAGCTGGAACGGCCTGCGCTTACCTGGCTCTTGTGGAAGACGGCGCGGAAGCTGTAAAATAGCTGGTAGGGCGTGATGACTTTTGTTTGTACGAGCAGACTCATTGTGACTGTTGCTGTCGTCCACCACCGCGTGCAGACCGGCATCTCGTAGAACCATTGCTCGAGTGGGAACTGGCCCATTTCAGCGCCGCCGCCGCCGAGCATCGCTGCCATGATTGTTGGGTGAAAGGAAGCGGAATGTTGAGAGCCGGAGAGGTTTTGGTATGGCGGGGATAGTTTGCAGAAGGGGAGGTGAGTCTATACAGCAAGAAGAGCGGGTTGGGTATGTGATATACGTGGAGGTTGTGAGCCGTTGTCTGTCTTTCATTCAACCGGAAGCGTCTGAGCGAAAGACATCATAGATTATCGCCGATAAGATCCGAGCCATTGCCGGATCAACACGTCCCCTGCATTCCGCCGGCCGCATCCCTGCCGCCGAGGTCGCGTCAACAACAGGGCACCCAAGCACCCAACCTCTCGCTTTACCAGCTATACCACCGAGCGCCAGTATCGAAACCAGCTGTCGCATTGTCGCTAGAATCGCAAGGCCTGTTGAGCCACAGTCGCAAGTTACACAACTCAGGCTGCAATTACCGCTATCAATACCATCCGCTACGACGCACCAAATAACGACGCGTCAGCCATAAAACCGCATTGCGCCTGGGAAGTTTCCCGCCCAGGCGCATGCTGTGCCGTTGATCGCATACCCTCAGTCTCGACTAAACAGTATCTCGTTCGATCGCCATCATGCCACCAAAACAAGCGGGCCGCAAATCCGTCGGGCGCAAATCCTTACCAGCAGCCAAACGCGGCGGGAGAAAATCAGCAGCGAGCGCATCAACAAGCACACCAAGACGGGCCTCAAAGGCGGTAGCGAAGAGGGGCAGGCAGTCACACGTAGAGCGTGAGTTGGCGTGGTAGAGAAAGTTGCGAGGTTCGAGGGAAAAGACTGACGCGGCGGGTTTGATGGTGCAGCTGGCGACCCGGTTCCTCGAGCAAAGCGAAGATACAAACCTGGGGCCCTTGCGCTGAAGGAGATACGGCAGTATCAGAGGAGCACGGATTTGTTAGTTGCGAAATTGCCGTTTTCAAGAGTGGTGAGTGATTAGGTCCTCTCTCTTTATGTCATTATGCGCGCAGTTCCGGTTTCCCCGTTGCTCTCCAGTTGCTCCTATATTGGATGCCTGGCTGACTATTTGCGTGAAGGTCCGAGAAATAGCACTCAATATGGTCCCTACCGGCGATACTGTGCGCTGGCAGTCGCAAGCTATACAAGCGCTACAGGAGGCGGCGGAGGCTTTTCTCGTTCATTTGTTCGAAGACACGAACCTTTGCGCCATTCATGCGAAGCGAGTCACCATCATGCAGAAAGACATCCAGCTTGCGAGGAGAATCAGGGGGGCATGGGGCGGCGCTGGTTAGCGCACGCGTTTTGGCGCTTGAAGTCTTAAGGAAAGATGGTCAGGCTGTGTTGGCGTTGTATTGCTTGACTACTGCACAGCTCATTGGCGAAGTGGGGGACATCTTGCGTCCTTCGTGTTTTTTATCCGGCCGAACCTCCATATTGTTTGGTACGTTGGGATTTTGGTCACGTTGCTCGTTGCAGATCTTGGGATAGTATTGTGACCATTCGGAGGATCTGTCTGACTCGCAGTACTTAGTGAGGTGTCTTACAGTAGGTAGATCCTGAGTATGAGTACGCCTTCCGAAGAGATATAATGATTGTCTTTGATCACGTGATGGACATTAATCTTGACCGACCTTGTTTCCTGATCGCTTCTGTTCAACTTTTTGCTGCTTGCTCATCAACCCTACTGCTAGATGTAAACACCCCATCATTTCAGCAGAATCGCAAATTGTTGCTTGTGCAGACATATTCAAGGATTTACGCAAAAACGACTATCCTAGACTTGCGGGCTTCAGCCCGAAGGGGTTGTTCTGCCTGCGAGCTCTTTTGCATTGGCGTGGAAAAAGTGCGCCGCCGGAAAAAGTGTAGACAATTCTGTCGATGCTTGGATATGGGGCAGAACCGACTCGTTACCTTCCTTCTAGGCTATATCTGAAACTCAACCCCCCAATGCGGAAGACCCCCGATCGATATGAGTTCAATCGGATAGACCTTGAGTTCTTCACTACAGATGGTAGGTTGTGCTCCTTTATCACCTTGTTGCACTTCAAGTGGCAGGCTGACTCTCTCAGAGAACCCTTCCTCATTGACAGCCGTAAAGCATAGTGCCCTCGTACCTGGCGATACTGCCTCGTGCTCAAGCTTCTCGACAGCAACGGACTGGCCGGACAGGTGTCCCAAAACTCACATCTCTTACAAGAATTCGGGAAACCCTTTCTTGCCAAGCAAAGTCCTGGACCTTGGACCGCCCGGAGAGGACGGAATGGTGAGATTGTATGAATCACAGAATACAGTCGCGCCTTACGTCTGCTTGAGTTATTGCTGAGGCAGTACACCGTGCTCGACTACCGGCACTACTATGTTACAAGAGCGCAAGAAGGAAATACCCTAGTACATACTGCCAAGAACCTTTCAAGAAGCTATCACCTTCGTTCGCCGATCTCATATGCGTTACTCGTGGATTGATTCCTTGTGCATCCTGCAGGATGCCGAGGAAGACTGGCGTGGAGAGGCAACCCAAATGCCGTCGATCTACCAGAACTCAGTCCTGACCATAGCGGCTTCGAAGTCGAAAGACAATTCCGAAGGTCTATTCTCCCGATCTCCGCAGGATCAAGGACACCACACGTCAGTAGCCACAACAGAAGATGGGGCGCCGTGCACCATCTACGCTCGCCATTCCTTACCGCATTGGAATGGACTCTATGACTACAGAGAAACTCCTAAATTTCCGTTGTTGCAGCGTGGGTGGGCGTATCAAGAAAGGCTTCTAGCACGTCATTATTTACATTTCGGCAAGCGAGAGCTTTTATAGGAGTGTAAAGAGGAGACCAGGTGCGAGTGTCATCCTGAGCCTTTGCGAAACACTTCTTTGCGCACAGTAGGCTACAGCCGCCTGTTGGCCTCCAATGTTCCACTCGCCGACAAGCACGCGGAATGGTGTCAAGTAGTGTCGGAGTACTCTGAACTTTAGTTGCCCCACAAGTCCGATCGACTGGCCGCTATATCCGGATTAGCGAAGCAGATGCAGCCCTTCCGAGACGGGAGGTACTTAGCCGGACTGTGGGAGGACTCCCTCATCCATGGCCTGTGCTGGATTTCCCAGGAATTTCCGATTGGGGAGCGTAGCAGTATCAATGCGCCGAGTTGGTCATGGGGAGTTCTCGATACGGGTGTCATGTACTATGATCAGAGTTCTGATCTGAACGGAGGACTCGTTCATGCAACCTTGCTTGCGATAGATTGTCAACCACCTAATCCGGAACCCACCGACCGGCTTGCATCTTGCCGTGTCTCCTTATCTGGTCATATACTATCAGTAAGAGTGATATACCAAGAAGGAATGGTGCCCATAGATTCGCTGCAAATCTCGTGCCTGCGGGGCCCTGTAAAAGTGAGGTTTCAGGCGGACTACGATATCAGCGCAAGCGAACATCGACATATTTCGGACCACAGAGATCTCATCTGCTTAAAGCTGACTACTCAAACTGGATATCGTAACGAGTTCTCACTGGTCCTTCGGTCTGTCCGTCTTGTGTCTAAAGTGTACAAGCGCATCGGTTGCGTGTTGCAGCGGGAGCCTCCTGAGCCCGATGACGACCCATACATCCACGGATGGTGTGACGAAGTAGACGAGACGACGACTGTTTCTATTGTTTGATGAGCACATCTGGCTCAGTGTCCTCTTTCACAAGCTTCTGCGGAGGCGTAATAAGCCCTACGAAGAGAGGCTCGCAGGTGACAAGCGCCCTAAAGCTAGGGGTGTGGGTAACAGCGGGCGCTGGTGTTGCTCTCCGGGGAAAGAGAAGTGATGGTTATCTCTTCTAAGACTGGTAAGCTGCCTCTATATCTATTGCGTTTCTCTACTACATAAACCTGTCTTGTCTGAGATCCACTCCGTTCAGTATATGTGCAGACAAATGGTAGAAAGCACGGAACGCGCTCTCGGGGACCCAAAGACGCGAAGCGCTGCACCAATCTGGCATTCAGCTTACAATAGTCAGTGGATCCGAGATCTTTCTAGCGGACTGGCGTTTGGCAGCGAAACTTTCCGAAGTCAGCTCATTGCCAAAGCTCAGGTGGCGCGACTAAGGGGCGAGCATTGCGTTGGTGTTCGGCGTGACGAGAAGGGCGCGTTCAGCAGAGCGGAAGTGCGATAGGTACACAAGCAGTATCACTGCGAATCTGTTGTTAATCCCCCTTCTTCAGATCGTGCGTCACTGAAGCAGGGGAGCTCTCTTAGAAAGGCTTCTGGCATAAGCACTGAACAGAGGGCTTACATCCGCTCCCAAAGGAATATCAGGAAGCCTAGCTTACGCCGCTCTACAAATAGCTGTGACCGTAAGCTTCGAGACACTTGGAATAGAATTTGATGCGGGCGGGTGAGGTCATGGCCAAGGGGGGCCAGGAGGCTCAAGGAATTAACCTGTGAGTTCGATTGATAACGCTCCGATGCGGGCTCTGCTATTACACACGCTCCCCAAGAAGTGTCTGGGTCATGTGGGCCAACTGTTGCTATGACTGTCAGGATGTTTACAATCTCATCTCCCATGTATATAAAAAGTACCGCATCAACCTCTCGAATGATCTAGGCTTCGGCGCGCAACCGACTCTCGCCATCATGGTTCTCACGTGTGCGTGTCCACCTTCTTCAGACTATATTATCTCCTGAACAAGAGGACCTAGTCGAGATCTGGGTCAGTGCAAACATCACGTTCTGATGCGCCATCTGGCTTGCCATTGTCTACTTAGGTTGTAGCCGGCTCGCTTAGTCATTGGGAGTTCGGGTTTGGCGCTCCCGTCCCGTCACCAGGATTCAGCTCCTTAGCCTCCCGCAACTGCATGCCAAACCACCCACATGCATCTCAGCAACGCAAAGGGTTGAGCCACACTGCAATACTGAGTACCTATGGCGCGATCCAATGCGGGCTGCAATGGGGTCCAACCGCCGTCCATCGTGCATGCAGCATTATCTACCCCGCTGCCTCTGATAACGGACTGGGAAAGTGTTACTTCTCGAGGACCCTCTTGACTTTGTGCACCGGCATGGCAATATCGTTCACTAATCGACTTCAGCTGGCACCGTGGCAGAAGTGACACCCTCTGCTCCGAAGACTGCACTCATGGCTTCCGCTGCAGCCGCTATGACCGAAACCACCCCGTTGCTGTCCTCGTTTGACCCTTCAGCCCTGGAGCAAGCCGACAGCAAGAATGCGCTTAATTCAGATGTCGGTCTTGTGCTGGAAACGAATTGGAAGACGGAGTCCCAATTACTTCTCGGGTACTCGGCTCCCTTGATATGCACCTACCTTCTGCAGTATTTCTACAACCTGGTGATCATTTTGGTCGTCAGCCATCTGGGGACCGATGAGCTCGCTGCCGTCTCGCTTGGTATCACTACCATGAACATCACCGGCTTTGCTGTTTTCGAAGGAATGGCAACAAGCCTTGACACTCTCTGCGCTCAAGCTTACGGATCTGGTAACTTGAAGCTTGTGGGACTGCACATGCAAAGGATGATCCTGTTTTTGATGCTGGTCTCTATTCCTATCGGAGCACTTTGGATATGCTTCCCTGGATCCTGGCTCTGCTTGTCCCACAGAAAGACCTTGCCGTTCTGGCTGGATCGTTCCTGCGGATATCTCTCATCGGAGTTCCAGGTTACGCAACGTTTGAGGCAGGGAAAAGATTTGTGCAAGCGCAGGGCAATTTCACAGCATCTTTGGTGGTTTTACTTCTCTGTGCCCCCTTGAACTTGTTTCTCAATGCGCTCTTCGTCTTTGTATGTGTAGTCCATTTTCTTTATCCTTCACTCTCCCCTTTCTAATCATCCACTTACTGATGCCTCGATGCAGCGACTGCAATGGGGTGTTTCTGGTGCGGCTCTTGCAGCAGCCCTTACGAACTGTTTCCGGCCGGTACTCCTGCTGCTCTACATCCGCTTCGCAGCGCCCTGGACACTGCAATGCTGGCCAGGCTCTACCTCAGCGGCCTTCCGGAACTGGTCTTCGATGGTCAAGCTCTCCTTTGCCGGAGCCGTCATGACAATGTGCGAGTGGTTCGCCTTCGAGATCCTCAATCTCAGCACCGCATACATTAGCACTGCTCACCTTGCTGCGCAATCCCTTCTGTCTACCGCTTGTGTTCTCGTGTGGCACATGCCCTTCTCTGCCAGCGTTGCTGTGAGCACGAGGATAGGCCACCTTGTCGGAAGCGGAGCCTTGGATGCGGCCAGAAAAGCAACCAGCACCTACGCGGTCATCTTCGCGCTCATCGGACTTGTGGACGCCGCTCTATTAGTTTTTGCTTTGAGAGAGATCTTCTTGCCGTTCTTCATCGAAGATGACAGGGTTCGTGCGCTTGTTGAAAGCGCATTGCCTTACCTGGCAGTATTTCAGTTCGTTGATGCTACTGCCTGTTGTTGCCACGGTATCATGAGGGGCCTCGGCAGGCAAGCCATCGGCGGATGGGTTATTTTCTCCGTGAACTACGCGTACGCTGTGCCGCTGGCCCTTTATCTCGAGCTAGGACCGCCGAAGCTGGAGTTGAATGGGATGTGGATTGCTCTATGGTCCGGTTCGGCCTTGCTCACGGTTGTGGAAGGCCTGGTTACGAAATGGATGAGTTGGCAGCGTGCTGTTGAGGACGCGAGAAAGAGGGAGGAGCCGGTGGTCTCTTGAACTCATGCATGCAGCTTATTCGGCGCCGGGAGATTGGATTTACAGTTGCGTCGGATTGTCCCTGCTGACGTTTCAGTGTAGATGATACTGGAAGCCTATGATGCATGATCATAGACTGAATAGCCCGCTCTGGTTCTGCACAGCCGTAAAGGCGGATGCAATCATGCGCTTCTTCCAACCATCTCGTCAACAATTTCATGTGCTTTACAAGTTCTTCGGATTAACTTCTTCGTATCTTGATGGTTCATCACCGATATGCGTCAACGTGATGGACGTCGGTCGTAGCTTCTGTTACATCGCTCCACTTTCTGCCTCACTTCTCACTCGAGTCTCTTAGACGCACATTGTGCCTCCACAATGCTTGTTTCCAATGAAGTGTGTGTTCTCACTCGCGAAGCTTTTGTTGAATAATGCGAACGCTGTGTCCAGGTTCTTTGAACCCAAATGTTTACTGAACGCAGAACGCGACTAAGGACGACTAATGCTATCTGGCGAAACACACGAAGTACCGAACTCTCTCGTTGCTTAGATGGGTCATACCACTCTATTTAGAACTAGACTGCACTGCTGCCTCTTAATGTTGAGCTCATATGTCCTTTTCGTTGTTTATGCGGTCGTTCTTTAGCCCAGGCATCTCGAAGCCTTGAAGAGCTGCAAGCAATGTTCCTATGCTAGTATGCTTGTGTCACTCTACCACATTCTCAGACGACGAGACCTTAATGACAAAACAAGAACGGTCTGAGCAAGCCATGAGTCATGATGAGTGTGCAACCCATACCACTCGGATCGCTCCACGGAAATGTGGATTGGTAGGGTGTCAACATACTTTTAATTTGCAGAGTAATCTTAACAGAATTTTCCTGCTTGAGCTCAGCTGAAACACTTGTTGTCACAGACCGCTAAACACGAGAAGCTGACATAATTGCAGTATACAACGCGGTTACGGCACACAACTTTCGCATTGAAAAACAAAGAAGAAAAGCATAGAACTTTCCCAATATTCAAGACCGCCCAAAGACCCTAGCCAAACTTGATGCCGCACAATCGCTCCAGTAATCCCAATTGGCTATTTCCACGTCCCAGTCCGGTCGAAACGCGAGCGCTTCTCTGGGTCCGAAAGTATCTCCTTGGCCAAATTGATAATCTGCATGCGCTCGTTTGCAGCTTCGCGGTCTTCGGCCTTAACCTTGTCCGGGTGGTTCCGCAGAGAAAGCTCCTGGTAGGCTTTCTTGATCTCGGCTAAGCCCGCGTTTTTGCCGATACCGAGCGTCTTGTATGGGTCGACATCGTCTGGGGCCTTCTCCTCTTCTGCGCCTTGATTCGGCGCCGCGCGTGCACCGCCTTCTCGTGCATCGTCTTCTCGTGCATTGCCTTCTCGTCTAGCTTCTTCTCGTCTGCCTCGTTCTTGTGCACCGCCATCGCCTCCCCCAAGTCCACCGTCGAAGCCAGCTCCTGGGAAGCCTTCGCCAGGCTGCTCATCGGTACCAGCCTCGTCGAACCAGTCGTGTCCGCCGGCGTGTTCTTGCGGAAAGGCCCTTTCATGGTGGTCATGGGGAAAGCCGTGACCGGGACCACCACCGAAATCGCCACCAGCACCAACGCCATCTCCAGCTTGAAAATCGTTGTCGAAGTCGCGTGCTCCGAAGAAGTGCGCCCGCGGCCGTGCCCGTTCTTGTGCATGTCGCTCCCGTTCCTCCCGTTCGTGACGTAGGTGGTTGATTTGCTCACGGTCGAAGGCGTTGAGCTGTATCACGCCGCCCAAGGCGTAGTCGATCATATCGAGCATGTTCCAATAGACTCGGGGGTGTCGTGTCGGCTGTGCCTGACAGCGATCGCTGAGGCCTTGACCCGTTAGGATCTCTAAGTATGCGTGCACAAGTTCGTGTAGGAGGGCGCCCCATAGCTCTTTCGAGGACCCGGAAAGCTTTCCCGAATTTAGTAGGATGATTACGCGCTCTTGGCGAGGGTGCAGCCGGGAACGAGCGAGCATATCGGAGTATTCAGCGTCTGGGGTAGGTGGGTGCTTCCACCTGAGTAATATTCGATTGCGCAGGACGCCGCCGAAGAGCGCCTTGTCGAAGTCATTAAAGCACTTGAAGACGACGTCACGACCTAAATTGGTCCTGATGACGAGAGCCTTGATCCGGCGGAGAGCAGCGGCTGCTGCTTCTGTCCGCTGAACAGAGTGAAGCGCTTGGAAACCAGAGATAGCCTGACGCATCTGAACAGGAGGGGGGAAAGTGCGAAAGCCTTCGTGGAGGTCGAGAATACTCTTCTGCAGAACATCTATCTGCTCCTGCGTGCAGGCGGCGTATCCTGTGCCGCCGCTTGCGGATGCTCTCGCGTTGGTCTCTCTATCCATTGGGTGGTGGAAGGGCCGTCCTCGTTCGGGCTGCCGAGGATCGAAACGCTCGTTTCTACCGCGGCGGCCATGGCGGTCACCAAACTGCGCATGCGCTTGCTGGGCATTTGCGTATTGCCGATGCTGATGGGCACAGTACATTTCTTCGACATCTTCATCGAAGAATATCGGCCCATTTCGAGGGCGGCGACGCCCAAAGCCAAAGTCAGGACCGAAGGGATACATGGCGAGTATGAGATTACTGGATGAAGTGCTGTCTTGGACTGAGTTCTCAAAGAAGAGTCGCGAAGATCAAGTGCGATGATGCGTAGGTCAGATCAAAATGCTCGAAGTCGTGCGCTCTTGGTTGTTGAGAGAAGAAGAAAATAGAGACGGGAAAGAAGAAAGCGTGGGAGTATATCATCGACTGACGGCGAGTCCTTCACACGAGCAACGATCAACTCATTGCGTGTCGTCACAACAACAATGTCACAGCGTCTCTGCAACGCAGACTCGGTGAATGTACTCTACACTGAGCTGACGGTTCTGTAGCATCCGCTGGCATTCACTCTGGGTGGCGGCAACGGCTGCCATGATGCAGAAGCGGCGCGACCCGCTCATCGTTTTTTGATCGATCACACCAGAATCCCTTGCTAAGATACGGTATAGCAAGTGCTTACGGAAGCACCCCGAGGGAAGGCATCGTGTGGTAAACACCAATCCCCACTTTCTAGGCTCGCACGTTGTATCTTTACTAGCGAATACATTCGGTAGCAAAATGGCGTGTGAAGATATATATTCCCGGCTTTCGAAGGCTGTATAGTTCATCAGAGTGGATGAAGACGTCTCAGTCACCAGTCAGGGATCCATGCGCCTTTACATAGCTTATGGCGATCAAGCGGCAAGCAGTTCCCACTCACAGGTAAGTGGCATATTGCTGTCATCGCTAACGGCTGTGTATCGCAGGGTTGTGCGTTGTTCCCTTTAATGTACGTGGTATGAATCAGGTTAGTGGCCATGAACAAAGCGGAATTTCAGAGATCTTCCCATTGTTCAAGCGTCAGTATCCTGCCAGAGTCAAGACCACTATGGCAAAGCAATCCTGTTGTTCTGAAATAGCTCCAAGGCGTGTGGAAAGTAGTTCCAGTTTACTGGGTTGAGGACTCGTATTCAATCCGTTCCACATCTCGGACTCTATACATCAAATTGCCGTAGGACCACGGATTGCATCATTGGCTCGTCCAGACTCTGTATGCAATCGTTCTGCTCTAAGGCCTACCGTGATATCATGAAAACTTGTTCCACAAGAACCCGAAGCTTGTGTCAGAGGCTTAGTCTCAGACTCCTATGCCAAGCTCCAAGCTCCAAGCACAAAGCACACAGGCCCGAACGCCCTTTCCCCCACCCATATGCACCACATCTACTCCCCCGAAACAATTGCACAATCTCCACTTCTCCCATACACCACCCCACCCCCTCCCCCCTCCCTTGGCCCCAACCTCCTCACGCAACAAACAACTTAACCACCCCCCTAACCGCTCTCCTACAAACAGAGCAATTCTCCATGAGCCTCGCACACCCCAGACACGCAACCATATGCCCACAGTCCCAAAACACCGCCTCGAGCGGGGCCTCCCAACAAACCTTACACACATCGTCGTCCGCCTCCGCCTTCTCCCACCGCGTGACGCCCCGCCCGAACCGGCGGTCTCGCTTCCAGTTCCCCTCGTAGACATTGCCTGTTGCGACATCGGTGAAGGTGCCATGGCCGTGCCGCTGGTCGTGCGAGAAGTGCCCGACGTAGATGTCGTTGTTGCGGTAGGTCAGGGTGCCCTGGCCGTGGCGCTCGGAGAGGCAGAAGGCGCCTTCGTAGACGTCGCCGTTGTGGTAGATGCGGCGGCCGTGGCCGTGAGGGCGGCGGTGGAGCATCGAGCCAGAGTAGAATTCGGAGGAGAAGTGGTCGAAGGTGAAGGTGCCGGAGAGGAGGTGGGGGTAATTGCGGGCGTCGCTACGTGAGTGGAGGTAGGTCTGGAGATCGAGGATTTCACCGCGGTCGAAGGCCTGGAAGGGATGGTCAGCTTGAATGATGCTTGCTGTGTGGAGAACGCAACTGTGTATGTGGAAATGCAAAGGCTAAGGTGAGGTCGAAGGCACAAATGCAGAGAAGTACTAACAGCTTCTTTGGTATCCTCCGGGATGGGAAACGTGACAACGATAATGGCGCCGTCTTTGAATTCATCGTCTGCGCGGTTTTCTTCTCGGAAGGTCCGGCGTCGACGTATTGGAACTAAGTTCACGGTGCTCTTCTCCCGAACAAGCTCCATCTTCTGCTCGCTCGGCTTGTCCAGCTGCAGGATCTTCGCGATTGTCTTATCCATTCTCTCGTCGAGTTTGGCTAGGTGTGACCCCCTTGACCTCAATGTCCCATCGAAGACTTTCAGGAAATAGTACATGTGCGGTTCCAAGGATGACGTATTAGTTGGGGGTTCTGACATACGATTCACCACCGCAGGAGGCGGTGCGGCGGCAGTGTTTGCCGCATCAATCATCTCCGTATCGACAAGAGGTGGATGGATAGCGACAAGCTCTTCCGCTGCTGCTATGACTGCTGTGTTTGCAGCGTTGTTCAGGCGGATGGCTTCGGCTAACAGTTCATCTTCGACAGGGAACAACGCATCCGTAGCATCGTCGAAATCTCCCGAGTCGCTCATTAGTGTGTCATCCTGGTCTGCTGCTTGACTTGTGTGACCTGCCTCGGGTACAGCCTATCAAGGAGAGGTTAGCAAGCATATGTGCGCCGCGATCGGTGCACTCACGTCTGCAGCCATTTCCGGCTCCGTAGGCGTCTTGAGCGGCTTATCGAACTGGGTTGATAGATATTCGAGCGGGATCACGTGCAGCCAGAGGCGCCGATTGGGATAAATCTTCACGAAGCTGCCTAGCATGGCTGTCTCCGCATCCCCGCATCTAAGTTTGCGAAAGATCTCATCGTCCTCGAGCAGGAAGCCAGCATTCGAAGCAGGACCGAAATTGGCCCGTAGCGCTGATGTCTGTTCCGTGTTGAGAAACCACAACATAACTTGTCTAGGATCTTCAATACCGGGCACAAGCTGCGTGATCCGAGCCCTGATCTCCGACCCTTTCCAAAGAATGGACGACGGCAACGAAAGGGTGTATATGTGCGCAGCCTAGAGAGGTCAGTATGAGTTGCGCTAAATCTCAGAATGTTGATGGAAGAGCGTTCAATGACACTTACAGTCAGTTCTGGACTGTCGTACAGGTCGAGATAACCCGGACCTTCCCATGACATGAATGCCCGGGAGTCAATGATCTCAAGTTCATGTGTGACCTCCTCGGGTTTTGCAGCAACACTGGAATCGCCAACCTCCGCAGTATCCAGCGGTTTAGTCGCATGCTCCCATTCCGATATGTTAGAAGCCCAAGGATGATGCCGGAGCAAGTTCCGTGGCACCTCCCACTTCTCTGGATCCATCTGTTCGAGCTGCTCAGATAAAACACTGCTCTGAATATAGGTCGCAAGATAGGCAATCGCCGTACTCTTTTCTTTGTCCGCAGTACTTGAGGCTCGCTGCGCCTCATTCACTTGACGCTGTGTTAGGCACATCACAATGTTCTCGTTTCGCTTGTCTTCGAAGGTGTACCAGTTACTCCCAGGGCCATGGGGTCGAACAATGGAGCGGTATAAGCCTGATTGCAGATCCCCCTTGTGGATCACCATGCCGAAGAGGGTGTACTGAATGTCATTCACAGAAATGAGGTCGTTCAGTGTCAGTTCCTCTGTGAGTTTTGTCCAGGCCCGACTTGTCTCGTCGAAGACTTGCCGCTCGAGTTCGATGTTGAGCACGACAGGGCTCTCGCCCGGGGCTACCAATGGCGATGTCGTGCTGTCGATTGCGGACTGGACTTCTTTGTAACCCTTCACAGGTACCCGATAACTTGGGAGTCCAGTACTATGGTCCTTAGCAGTGCCAAATAGCTTAGTCAGGCTGTTTTCCATCGGCGTTCCGGCCCATTCTTGCTCAAGTTTTGTACGAAGCACCTCCCATATCTGCACCACATCCATTTTGGCGATGTCATCATAGATGCCATAGTTGAGCAGCGCAACCAGCAGGCCAGACAGTTCCACCTCTGGGTCGTCGGGATCCACCTGGCAGCGCAGATCTAACAAAAGCTTTTGAAGCTCTGTTGTGATGAACATCGGCTTCTGTCGTGCCTCGTCTGTTAGGCTCACATCTGGAGCGTTGACTCTATAGAGTAATTCCCTAAAAGGCCGCAGGAGCATCCAGATGCTCATCGCACTTATCAGGTTGCCGTCCGCTTTACAATCCACCGATCTGTTGACCATGCTTGGCAACCCCGTCATAGCATAACTATCCCACGGGTTATCCGCGCTTTGATGCTCCCCTAGGCAGCCCGTTTCGTCTTCGATGATTCGTATGTATGCGGTGAAAGCCAGTTCATCATTCCGTAAAAGCGCTTGCCGTTGGCCTCGCTGCCTTCGATGGATGTCAAAGTACGGCCCATGGAACCGAGTCCAGCCCCAATCAGGAGATCCAGGACAGAAGCGGTGAAGGCAGGATCGAAAGTAGCCGACGCGAGGTTCGCTGGGGTTGTACAAGACTACGGAGACTTGCGCAGCGACGCTCCGGCGTGGAGGAGGCGCATCGCGTAGTAGCGGTAACGGAGGTCTGGATTTGGTCGTAAGAGCCGATGGCTGCTTCGAGGTGCTCCGCCCTTGCTCATCTGCGACTTTCTTCGGTTCCTGGTCACTGTGACTGTCCTTCCTCGCCTCCTCCTGCTTGCTCTCGCCCTCTTTGTCCGTCTTCTCTACGACACTGACACACTCGACGTAGATGCTCAGATAGTCCGAGTCGTTGCCCCTAGGATAGAACTTGATTTGCCAATCGTAGCCCCCGACGTTGACAATCTCCGACTTCCTAAGCAGCTCTTTCTGCTGATTCTCCCTCGTACCATTGTACTTGATCTTCCAGTGGATACGTCCGGTAGGTCCGGGGGTGTATTCCGGGTCCTCGAGCTCCTCGAAGGTCTTGGCTTCCCAGTACTCATGGTCGAGCGCTGAGTAGTCCTCCTTGCTCTCGATCTCCTTGAGCTCTGCTTCGTCCGGCGATGAGGTGTCTTCTTCCAGCGGATACCACCTGTAGCCTGTCTCTTCCTCCTCAGAAGAGGAGTCGGACTCAGCACCATCGTCGTAGGTTGATGGTCCAGGCTCGTTGCTGTCAATTGGTGGACGAGGTGGTTGGTAGTCATCGAGAGGCTCGCCGGCCGAATCAATGGTGCTGCCGTTCGAGGTGACGCGAACGAGATTTGCGCCGATAACAGTTACGGGAGGGTGGGTGTTGGGGGCATCGAAGTCGAATGTATTGCTGACGGGAGGCGGTGGAGGCACAGGCGCGGTACCCGCGAGCTCAGCCATGATGGCTGCTGCCTCAAGCCTTGCTTGAGCGTGTAGAGTGTCGGACGTCGTGTCCATGGCATCGGCTGGAGGATGCGGTGAGTTCGGCTGCGTGGCCTGGTCTGTCTCCTCTGTGCCCTCCATATCGGAGTCTTCCCGGTCGTGATTCTGGCCTTGGGGCAGTGTCATGGACATGCTCATGTCTGTGTCTTCGGTAGGCATCGGTGGAGGGCTGAGGCGAGGCGAAAAGCGGGAGAGCTGTGACTGGGACAGGGAAGGAGGTGTTGATGATCGTTCTCTGGCAAAGAGCAGAGGCGGGGGGTCCATGTGGGCGGAACTGGTGGTGACGCTCATTGCGGCAGTCGAGTTCAACGGGTGAATGAGCAGGCAGGCAGGCACGTGTGAAGGTGAAGCGAGAGCTTGGGTAGGTATGTCAAGAGAGGTGAATAAGAGGAGATGGAGATGGGCGTGGAACGAGGGAAGAGACTCTGGGAGTTATGCGCACTGCCCAGGTGGACAACGGTACTAGTCGGTGTGAGCAGACGGGCGTTGAGGCTGCAGATGGTCAGACGGCTACCCACGCGCTTATCGTGGAGCTGCAGCAAGATCAGGGTCCGATAGAGCCTCAAACGGGGGGGAACAGGAGGCTGGAGGCTGGAGTCTGGAGTGCTACGGTACAAGATGCTAATATACAAAGGCAGAGCTCCCGCCGTTAAGAGTCTCACATTGTGTCCAGGCTGACGGCGCGGAGGTTCAAGTCAGAGAGGCTGAAGCTATCTCTCACCAGGCTACCGCCGCTTGTCTTTTCTGGGGGAGCAGAGAGTGAGGCAGAGCCCCGGAAGCCCCAGATGTTCGGCCTGTGCCATGCCTACTAGCCTCTATAGCGCAAACGTCCCTTGGCGAAGCTCCAGCCTACAGTACCTACCTAGGTACCTACAGTACGTGGCAGGTAATTTCCCCACAGCTTCAGCCGCATCTACGCCAACTTCAACTTCAACTTCGAACTGTCCGGAGCAGGAGGCCGAAGGGATAGCTATATACATAAAGCCTAAACAACACACCGCTGGTATGAAAACGCGCTACACCCTTCAGCTGCCTCTACAGTAGTCGCCTCGGCGCACTCATCAGACCGTCCGCGAGAGAGCGGTACTGTCGTCGAGCCGGTGGCTGCATCAAACGCGGCTAGCTGCATTCAAGGCTCGTTGGTGCGCCGGTACGTGTTCCGTCACGCACGCGTCTCCCGACGTCGCATCCACAGGTGGTTCGCCGCCTTGTGCTCTCCGTGAGCCACCAAGCATTCCCCCCGTGTTTGGGAGAGGATCATCCCTTCTTCACCAAAGCATGCCCACAGCCTAGGCCATACCGTGCTGCTCGCTCCTTCTACTTTTCCACCTTTGCAAATGTCGCCGCCACAATCATCGGAAACACCACCGTCGCCTCCGCATACACCTTCACACTCTCCCCATCCACCTTGATCTTCCCCCACGAAACCGCCTCGTCCGGTCTAGCACCCGCATCGCTCCCATCGAATTCCTGCGCGGTATTGATATAGACTGCGTGGTCAGCGCCATTCCGCATCAGATTCGCGTTGCAGATGTGATGCTTCACCAGCCCGCCGCCCAGGATAATCATGCCCGTCCTTTTCGCCTTCATCGCCAGCGTGTTGATCTTGCGTAAGTCCTCGATGATGTCCAACCGCAGCTGCTTCGGCGAACTCCGAAACGTGTGGAAGAACATCATGTCGCCCAGACTGCCGTCCGTGAGCGCTGGACAGAATACTGGGATGCCGTTCTTGTGCGCCCAGTAGTACACGCTGCTCTCGTCATTGATCTCTTTTCCTAGCCGGTCTATCACTTTGCTCGGCGTCCAGTACAGCGGCTCCTCGTCCTCGTGACTGGCTTCCTGCTCTTCTAGCATCCGGTCGAGGATCGGGATTACCCAGTCCTCGAACTTGCAGTAGTTGTCGTTCGGTACGATCAGGTTGCCTATTCGATTCATGCCCCTTTGGCGGAGCTCCTTGCCCGCCATGGTGAAGGAGCCGAGGTAGGTGGGGGCGAGGCATTTGATGAAGTCTTCCTCTACGGCGCCGGCGGTGGTCACAATGGCGGACACGTGCCGGTGCTGGACTAGATAGCGGAGCGTTTCGCGGAGGCCGGAGGAGATGAGGTTGGATGTGTAGCCCAGGAATATCGTTGTTTTGTCGCCTGTTTCTGTATCTCTCCAGGCACGCTGTATGTAGGGTCAATTAGGAGATTATTCTGGTGAAGTCCGTAGGGCTGGTGAAATACCATATCGTTGATAATGCGTGCGGCATCCCCAACAGCACTTGCTTGAAACCCCATGTTCGCCATTCCGGCCACCAGGTCCTCGACCGTCATTTTGCGGTCTGTGTAGTCGTTGAATTCGATGCCTCGCACTTGTTGTGCGCCTTCAGGCACAGGCTCGGAGGGCTTCAAGACGGCGTCAGTAGCTTTAGATGGCGCATCTTGGCTGGCGGCGCCGTTTATCTGCGAAGATTCCATCTTCTTCCTGAGCGCCTCCTTCACTAGCAGCTAGTAGTATTTCCCTGGATATTTGCAGACAGGCAAGACTCGTGACTTTGGGCTGTTACAAAAACGGCTGCGATCTTCGGCCCGGCAGTTGCGGCAAGGACTGCGGTTGGCTGTGTTCTGTAGTCTTTTGGCTCTACTAAGGTCTGAGATGGCGAGGATGGTCAATATCGCTTCGGATGGTATTTAGGGTCAGTCTTGTCCTGAGTATCGATGTCTTTTCGTCAATCTGCACCGGTGCTGCCGTGCGTTGTGACTTGCATCCGAGATGTGGCTTTCCTGCAAGTCGTGGCGAGTCATGATTTCCTGCAGTGGGCGGTTGACCAGGGGGTAGTGGACGCTCTAGCTGCAGAGCCTTCGCCATTCTTCCGACCGTGGAACGATGCCTCTTAAGATGCGACTTCACCTTCTAGCTGTGCCAGCATGCCTAATCGTGAGTTTTCTATGGGATGAAGAATGATAGCAAGGCATCTCTCGCAAAGGCTCCATTCGGCGCTTACGATCTTCAAGAAGGAGTCCGAAGCGAGTGCGCTAGGCATCTCTGGCATCCTTTTGGGCTTGGATGCTGATCTGGCGTGGCTTTGCTGCAGCATCTGCGCGGCTTCCTCGTCACGCGCGGATCGTGCGAAAGGAGGCAGAACTAGGCTCCGTAAAGCCAGTCTCCTAGATAGCAACCTAGATAGCAACCCAGGAGCAGCACCACAAAGACGTGCAGACAAGACTGAGGAAGAGCTAATTTCTCAGTCGAGTACATGGGCGTTTCTCTCGCCATGTCTCCGCAGGGCCACAGATGACACAGGGCCGACGTTTCAGCAAAGCGCCTCCAACGAGTTTGTGCAGATGCGCCATCCTCGTTTGTGCTGAGCCCGTGCGCATTTCTCGAACCTCGAACCTCGAACCAATCACCGCTTGGGCTTAGTGCGCCAAAGGACACCGGCGCGCCGTCCAGCAGATTCCCGGCATGCCATGCGCGGCATGGGAGTGAAATCGGTCCTTGCACACCACTGGGGCTGGCCTTTACCGGCGATGATGACTGCGGTGCCGTGTGCTGCTTTTCGTGCGCCTTCCGTCTCCTCCCCTCTACAACTCAGTGATCACGATACTTCGAAACGGCCGGTGAGGCCACGACACCTGCAAACCGACCGCTGTGTGAGCACGGGTTTCCCCCTCGCCCATTCTTCATCACGCCAAGCTCCGCGCTGGCGCTGGCGCTGACTGCGATCTTGCGGCGCCTTCAAACGTCCAGTCGACCCTTCTCCAGCCTCACAGCTTCCTGCCGGAGCCTGCACCGACTCTGTGACGGCGCCGAGAGAGAGCTCGCCGCCATCTCGCACCTGACTGCCTCTTTGCTTGTACTTTGTCGCTGCCACCGGACGAGGTGAAGTCGTTCAAAGGCCGCCTCATTCACATTTCCGTCAGCCGCGCAGCCCGGCAGCGCACTCAGGCCCTTGTTGCATTCTGGTTCCACTCGGCCTGAGACGACGTTGTGTGCAGCTGCAGCCGCACCGGGCGACCCCTTGAACCAGCCCTGGAACCCGCGCCAAGCGCGCTAACATTAAGATTCCCGATCTAGCCACAGTGGGAACCGAGGGTCTTCGATTTCGGCCCTTGCAACCTCTGGAACACAGCTGCCAGAAACCCAAACACCCGACAGTGACGGTCTTGAGGCGATGCGCGGTAAGGTGTCATAAATTTCTGTATTGACGACTTTCCGGCCTGCGCTTAACACTGTATTGGGAGCCGTTGGGACCCCATCGTCGAACGCGACTGCCTCTTCCTGCAGTCGGCAGCTGTACCGCCTTTCATATCACGCTTTTGTCACGGCCCTGCGCATCACTGGCCCCGAAGCATGTGCATCTGCGCTGAGTTATCTCCGGTCGACTCGATAAGCGCGAATACGTCGGTCGCGCCAGGCTGAACATGTCCTCTCGCTTTCCGCCAAGCGAGAACCGCTACACACCCAGAGACCGCTCGCCGCCAAGATACCCTGATCGCGGGCCTTCTACGCACGCCAGCTCTGCTCTCTCACGCCTCGGCGACTCTTACAGGACGGACCAAGATGCGAACCGCGGACCAGCAGCAGCGGCATCGAATCGGGAAGTGCCTCGAGGCCCGAAAGCGCAGTTTGATGCACCATCTTCAGTACCCTCAGGACCCAGACGGAGGGGCATCCCTGGACGTAGCGAGTATCCTTCCTTGAGAGATGCGCCTCCATTGAGCGATGGGAGAGGTCGGGGAGCGCCAAGGGAGCGCGACCACGATTTTGATCGGAGAGAAAGGCGTAGCCCTCCACCGCGTATCAGGTCGCCTCCGCGGTTCCGGGATGCCTCACCGCCGAGGGGAGCTGACACTTTCCGAGGGCGCAGAGATTCGCGGGACGGCCCTCTATCTGCTGGATCCAATTTCTCTGACCCTTCCGCTACTGCCTTCCATGCCCGGGGTGGTTTTGGCAGAGACCGTGGAAGGGGTGAGTCTTCGTATCGAGGACGTGGAAGAGGCGGTCGGTTTGTGGAGGATCGAGAGCGCGATCTGTTTCGGCCAAGAAGCCGGTCACGTGAGCCTCGCCGGGAACGTGAGCCATCGAGAGACGGCCGCGACGTTGACCGTAGAGACGATCGAAGGACTGATCGTCGGGACGATGAGGGCCGTTTGTACAGCGGAAATCGGGAGGTGGACAGCTACAGGGCACCACCTCCACCAAGTATGAGACCAAGCGACTCAAGCGTGCGGCAGACGGCTGGGACTACCGATGCCAGGCCTGGCGGAGGTACCTCGACTGGGCACTCTACTCCACAGACATCAACTCACCAGAATTACAATGAGCGGCCAAGCGTGACAGACCATTTGCGAAGTTATCCCCCATCTCGAAGAGCTTCGATCATTCCCGACGCACCTACCATTGGTAAAGAACCTCGTCGAGAACCAGAGAAGCCGGATTACTTTGCTGCTCGTGCAGTGGCATCTAAAGAGAAATACGGGCCCCGTACGTCGACTCCTCCACCTTCGGCGCCAAGTGTACCTTCCTTCGGCTTCGGCGGTCCCACCTCCAATGTCTGGAGAGCGCCCCAGGCCGAGACGAAGCCATCTCAAATAAGTGTACCTGCACAGCCAACACAACCCATGCAACCCGCCAAGACTCCAGCAGCTCCGCTCATCGCTCCGCCCATCGCTCCAAAAGCCCAGCTTTCGGCTCTTCCACCTACTGGACCGAAAGCCGCCCGGATGCCGGATAAGCCTGCCATAGAGAGTAAGGAAGTCAGCACCGCTGCTCAACCTGAGCCCTCCAAGCAGACAGCTATTCCAGCCGCTCCGTTGCCTCAAGAGCCCTCAACTGCATCCGTAACCCCCGCTAAAGAGTCTACAGTCACTGCACCACCAACGCGAGCCTTCCAGTCCACTCCGCCTCTAGCCCCGGACGCTCCCGGATTCCTTCGCGCTCCTCCAACAGGACCTCAAGCTTCGATCAGATCTCCCACACAGACACACGGAAGGATACCGCCGCTTGGGCCGCGTAGAGATGTTTCCCCAGCCAATGCGAACGCCAACGCTATTCCGCTTGGCCCCAGAGCATCACTTTCGATCGATACGTCCCCTAGGGGTGCATCAATACCAACAGGTCCCAAAGCCGAAAGGCCGCCGCTCACTGCTCCTGCTGCGCCTAGAGTGCAGCTGTTTGGACCACCCATCGACAGGCCGCCGCCCCCGCCTCCGCCGCCTCCGCCAAGGGCTCCAATGCTTCCTACTGGACCGTCTGCAGGACTATCGGGACGCGTAGTTCCCGGAAAGAGCATGCAATGGATTCGGCCTGGCGCCCCAACGTACCCAGGCGCACCATCGTACGCCTCCAGACCGCAAATCATTCCAGCCAAGCGCGATGTCGCCGGAGAAGAGAAAGACAAGCAAGTTCTTCATGTATTAGGTGCAGCAAAACATGAAGCAGAGCGTACAAGCCAGGCCGAACGCGTTCCCGCTCTACCGCGTTCCGAGTCGAAAGCCGACAGCATCTCGGATGGTGCTACCGCTGCAGAGATCGTAGACGCAAGCATGGTTGATGCACCTACCTCTCAAACGAAAACTCCAGAGCCCGCTTCAAGCTCAAGAAAGGAGGATATGGACGATACTAGCGAAGAAGACGATGGTATGGCTTTCGATGAAGCGGAGTTCCCTGACCTTGCAGAAACGTTCGAAAAAGAGAAGGCCCGACTGGAATCTAGCAAGATAGACTTAAGTTCGAAGTATCTGCGCCCCGATACACCGCTGCGGCAGCTTACACGCCTTGCTGGAATCACGGTGCACGACCTCAAAGTCGATAACGAGTTCGCCGAGCCTGAGACACTACCCCTAGCAGCAGTTCCAACCACTGAGACGTCTGGGGTGGATCAAGGTCAGGAGTTCAGTTGGCAGCTTACGGCCGTGCGTCGACAGAGCCCCGAGTCCGTCCTTACCCCGAAGACGGAAGAACCTGAGGACATTATTATGTCTGACGGCCCCACAATTCCCAAAGAAATCACTGATGACCGTGAAGACAGTTTGGATATGAGCTCGCTTCCGTTCCTTGCTAAGGGTCCGCCGACGCCATTGTCAGACAAGGACCAGGATCATTTTGCCCGTAATCAAGATCACGTTGAGATGGTTAGGGAAGAACTTGGTCGGCGCTTCCTCTCTGCAAAAGCGGACGAGGAGCGACTCGAGAAGGATTTTGTCGCAATGTACAGGCTGTGGAAACGAGAGTTTCTGCGGATGTACAGAGCGGAGGAGGCTGAAGAACTGGAGAGGCAAAAATCGGCTGAGCCTCTTCCTCCAGTGGCTACCACGGAACCTATAGCCACCCCTCTACCAACTCCATCGATTGAAGGCGGTCGTCGCGCTCACAAGTTTAGCAGCGAGTATGATATCCAGCTGGCGATGCAAGAGTCCATGAGGGAAGCGGAAGAACTTCGGCAGAGGCAAGAGCGAGAAGCAGCGGAGGCCAAGTCTGGAATGGAGAAAGAAGCAGAATTGCCCGATCTGTTGACCGCAGAAGAAGCCAGCAAGCGAAGGTTCATCGATACCAACCAGCTTCGACAACCTGGCCAAGGGACAACGGCCTTCGACCTTGAGCCGCCGGAAGACACTTTCACTCCGGAAGAGCACAAACTGCTGGTGCAGGCCTATCAAGGCAATCCGAAGAAGTGGGGCAAACTTGCCGAGTCGCTACCGAACCGTACGTACAAGGAATGTATTACCCATTACTACGCGACGAAATGGGCCAGAGAGTACAAAGCCAAGGATGGTCGGAAGAAGGCTACCAAGTCCAGAATAGGCGTGAGGAAGGGGCCCGCTCGGTTGAAGTCAAGCAACTTCTTAGCGGACTTAGGGCGTAGACCGGACACTGAAGAGGATGACGCAACGCTTGCCACCCCAAGCGCCGTTTCTACTGACCGCAGTCGGCCTCGGCGCGCCGCCGCGCCCATCTTTGGTGACAATAACTCAGAGTTGGAAGCTACACCTGTACCTACACCAGGGAGAATGAGGGGGGTGACCGCTAGAGAAAACAATGGCGAAGGTACTGCAGAGAAGCCGAGGCGCACAAGGGCTGCGAAAGAGAAAGTACCGCGAGGGCGAGGAAAGAACCAACCGCTTGCTGCCGCACCCTTTCCTAGTGGCGTCTCACCTCAGAAAGTTGACAAAGAGCGAAAGGAAAAGTTTTCTACTCTAAAGACCGAAGAATCTCTCCTTACCGCAAGACAGCTGGCTGAGGAGCATGCTTTCGCCGCAATGCAGCAACCACCACGCCCGACTGAGCAACAGACAGGCTACTTTGATGCAATTAGCACGGTAGCGGCGCCAGCGGCGGTGTCAGAGAGGCCAAGGGCTTACAGTAATCAGTCCCGGGCTGGGCCATCCAGCTACTGGTCTGTCACTGAGACGACGGACTTCCGTAGGTACCTTGCGCATTTTGGTACTGACTTCAACGCGATTGCTAGTGCAATGGGTGGCTCCAAGACGGTTCAAATGGTAAGTCCCGTTGTCAACATGCCGGCTTATTTCAAGTGGAAGAAACTTACAACCTAAGTAGATCAAGAATAACTACACGCGCATCGTTAAAGATAACACCTATCCTGATACGGTGGTCGCAGCAGAAGATGCGAATGCACGAAGGGCACGCGGCGAGGATCTCGGTCCTCCGCCAACGCCAACAAATGCTCCAAGACGGCGGTATGAGAATATATCCGCACTGCCGCGTGCACTCGCACCTAATCGCGAAGTCGTTGATCTCGACAACTCCCCTCCCTCCCAGCCAAGTATGCCAACTCATGCATCACCGCCACAACTTCAGCCCCCAACGAGATTCCCAACGCTCGCTCAAGCAAGTTCAGTGCCGCAACAGCCGCTCAACCCAACGCAAGGTGTTGCCAATGTACCTGTACCAGTGTCACATCCTCAACCTCATACGCAGCAACAGCAGCAACAGAGGGATTACCAACGCCTGCATGGACCGCAAATGGGATACTTTTCGGACGTTAGAAATGAGCCCCGACAGTCGATACAATCTCTGTTCAGTGCACGTCACCATCAACCGGCTGCACAGCAAGACATTCCGCCACAGCAACAGCAATCGCAGCTTCAATCACAACAGCAGAGCCTTCACCAGAGTCAACTTCAGCTTCAGGTGCAGGCGCTAACAGAAGCACAACGAACCCGCGAACTGGCTTTGCAGCAGCAGCAACGCGACGCTCAGATAAGAGAAGAGCAGCTCCGACAGCAGCAGTTGCGCGAGCAAGGCGGGCCGCAGCATGTGCCGCGACCTCATTCCTTCGCTGGGAGTCCTCCGCAGCCGCATATTGATGGTCCAGCCCAATCCACACCGCCATCAGGTGGCTTGTCATTGTTCAGACCGCTTCCGCAAGAGGCCACCGCGCGCCAGCCTCAACCTCTGTCTCATCTACGGAGCTTAATGGATCATCAAAATGCTGCCCTGCAGCCCCTGCTCGACAGACAACAACCGTCTCCGGCGCTGCTTAGAAGTGAGATACGGCAGCCTCCCATACCCACGCAAACGCCTGTGCAGACTCAGGCCGCTCCTCGAGCTGCTCCCGAACCCCGGAAGACATCCAATCTGTTTTCAATATTGAACCCCACCTCTGCAGAATCAGAAGAACCGCGGCCAAAGAAACGCTTTAGCGATCACGCCGTTCCTCAGGCTGGCCCAAGCATGTCTCTACCGCCTACCTCACAACAGCAGCCAGCGCTACTCCCGCAAGCAAATCATAGGGATTTATATAACGACAAACAGCCATCGCAGCCGCAGTTCGTGCGTCCAGGATTCAGTCAGCCGGTACAAATGCGCTCTCCTCTAACAGCTCCTCAGGGCTATGATGGAGCCAGGGATGGTAACCTAGCCGCACCACCTCGAGACAGCTGGAGCTCACGGAGCGCTTTCGGTCAGACTGCAAGCCAGCTAGCACAACCTCCGCAGACTCACTCACCACATCCTCAGTTGCAACAGCAGCCACAGCAACAGCAACAGCAACAGCAACAGCCTCTGGCAGAGCCTCGACGAAATGCAATTGGTGATCACCGTGCAATGGCCTTTGGTGCTTTAAATGACCCGAGACAACATGCGCCGTCCCCTCCGCCCCATCCCCAGCATCCTGGTTTTGCTCATTCCCGTACCCCCTCATACACTCAGCAGCAACTACAGCAGCAGGGACGAGAGCAACCGCAGCCGCCGGCATCTCAGCTGCCAGGCCGGACACCGGAAGCCGGTTCAGCGCGCGTTCTACAGGCAAACCCTTACGCGCAAGTCGAGCCACCCCGCCCGCCTCCGCATCAGCAACCCCAGCCTGGAGTCAGTCCACACCTGCAAAGTCCAATGCTCCGCAACGAGCAAGCTTACACTCAGAACCGTGACCAACACTATCCTGCTACCGAAGCTGCCTTACCCAGAGGCGTCGGTGGCGTTGTTAACAGTCTACTCAACCGGGGCCGCGATCCGACCGAGCAGGAGAGGCAGCTGCAGTACACCGAAGCTCTGCGCAAGCAGGAAGTAGAGCAACAACGAGCAAGGGAACAGAGCGCGCGCGAGCAACAAATTCAACGCGAATGCGAAATACGTCTCTTCCAGGAACAGCAGCAGCAGCAGCAGCAGCAGCAGCAGCAGCAGCAGCAGCAACAGCAGCAACAGCGCTATGCATCCATACCCCAACAACACCGGGATCAGCCGCAGCATCCACCCTTCGCCTCGCCAGCAAACCGCCACACACCTACCCAGTTCGGCGAGGCGCCCCGTCCACCCCCTCAACCCCGCCAATCCCAAGCCGCATGGGAGGAACAGCGCGCCGCCTCCGCCCGCCCCGAATTCGACCACCAGCACTCGCTGCTCCGCCAACAACGTGAACAAGAAGCGGCAGTGCGCCGCGATCACGAAGCTCGAATCCGCCGTGAGGAGGCCGAGCGCTCGCGGCAACAGCGCTTGCGCGAGCATGAGGCGCGGCTGAGAGACGAAGAGGGCTGGGTGCAGCAGCCGCCCGCCCGGGCTGCTCCGGCGGTCCCTCAACGGCATCGCGAAGACGAGGCGCGCTTTGGGGGCGGGGATGTGAGGATGCAGCAGGAGGCGTGGCGCATGGGCCAGCCGGAAGCGAGAGGGCCGAATGAGGGGAGATGGAGAGAGGAGGAGGCGGGAAGGAGGGAGAGGGAGGAGGAGCAGTTGAGACGGAGGGAGAGAGAGCAGGCGGCGAATTTGTTTGGGGCTGGGAACAGAGGCGGGCTTTTTGGTCCAAGATGAGGATGAGATGGCTGTGGGTGTCCGTAAGATTGGATTTTTCGCGTTGAAGCGGAGGCGTTGGGGGAGTTTGGACTAGTTACTAGGGCCGTTGGAGCTGTGGACGTTGTTGAGCGTGGGCTGGCACCTTGCTGTGTAGACATGAGAGAATGAGAGGTTTAGAATACTTTGTTTCTACGTACGGTACGCGTTGCATTGTGACTGCTTGTCAAAGTCGCAATCTATTCCTGCTTTTCCACCACAGCCTATGGAGATCCGCATTCAAAAATCTTCATTGGTCGTAAAAACCCCGGCGCTTTCCAGGTCTCATTTTTGACATCAATCAAGATACTGCCCCTTCCAGAATGAACAGGCCGGCTGCTCTGGCTCCTGGGTCGTCAAGGGATCGGACTAGCACGCTATCTTCGCCTCGCACAGCCGCTCAAAACTGCGTGATGCTAAGAGTGTCAGTGATGGTTGCGCTGGCATCCACGGCCATTTCAATGTGCATGGCCGCACCTGTGGCAGTTATTTCTCTCCGATAACTCTCAGTATCTGCAAACCTGAAGGCCGGGCTTAAAGTCAAGCAGGTTTGGGCTCATATACCCAAAACTTTTGCATTTCAATATTGTACAACATTTTACAGGAATGGCTCAAAAACAAGGCTGGAACGCTAGATCAAGAAACGTGAACTGAAGCGAGTGAATCTGAGAACAAATGAGACTACTTTGCAACCCATAACTTCTCTTCGTTAACCGTTATTCGTTTTTTCTCTGCACCCGCAAGACCTTCAGTATCGTACAGTCTTCCGCCTTTTATGTATAGTCTAGCGGACAGGCGTGGGCTGCTTCTAGTCGCCTAGGCAAGGTTGCAGACTTGAAGGTTAATGCCGCCGTTCTGAGATATATATTAGTCTCCCTCTTTAAAACTAGGACAACAATCGCTCGAAGCCTTACGTTCTGGGAAGAGCAGCAAGCAGTCTCTGCGTTGCACACACCGGCAACGACTACGTGCGAAGATTTTAGCAGAGCTTGTAAAGTGATACTGTTTTTCGGGAGGGAGCGGCACTCACTGGGAACGCAGCAAATGCCGACTTGGACCAAGGCACCGCCGAGGACGGTGGGGATCAAGGTATTGCAGCACTTGGCATTCTGGTTGGCAGGGCAATTGGGGTTGCGCGCCTCAAGAGGAGCGCCCTTGACGGCCAGAGCAGCAGCAAGGACGGTGATGATCGTGGTGAATCGCATTTTGATTAATCAGTGATGCCAGAAGTTCGATTGACTTTGGAGTTGATCCACTCGATCTTTGACCGCTCGAGCGAGTAGACTCTGGATCTAATTAACGATTTAACCAGGCTAGCCGGCTTTGGAGTATCTAAACTGTGGTACGAGGGTCTTAGCAGGGTGTTATATTATTTAGTTAGCGGTAAGTGGATAAAGGAAGCTAGTGGAGCTTTAGGACGGTAGTAATTAGATAAGAGAGAGTATAGAGGTAGTGGATACTACTCTACTATATAATTAGCTAGTAGTTACCTTAATTAAAGCTTTAAACTCTTCCTCTTACTTACTACACCGTAATAGCGCTTATTAACGGTCTTACCGCTAGCTAATATACTCTTTTCTTATTAGTTAATACTAAAGACGCGTGTATATAGCTTAGTACTATACTTTCTAACCTATTCACACCTACTAACTTATCAGCAAATCTTTTAATGCCTCGGGAAAATCGAAAACCCTCCGAGCGCTCCGAGGGTCCTCTGAGGGCTTTCGGGGCCCTTAAAGTGCTTAAAGCCCTCGTGCACCCTCGGAGGGCCCTTAGAGGGGTTTTAAATATTAGTAAGCAAAAAAAACATAAATTACAAAAAAACTTTAGAGTTCGATTTCTCGCTTAACTTTTACCCCCTAGTTAAAATAGGTAATATATCCACGTTTTTAAAAATTAAGCGGATAATAATTATTTTTATTAAAAGTTTACCCTCTAAACTAGTTCTATTATATACCCCCCTATTCTACTAGTTAAATTGGACTTAGAGCTTTTTTTTATGATTTTTTTAGTGCTTAGTAAGTAAGGCTTGGCGCTCCGAGGGCTCTAAGGGCCTCCTAAGCGCTCGGGACCCTCGGAGCCCCTTGCAAGCCCCTCGGTAGAGGCAAGAGTCGCTTAGAGCCTCAGAGCGCTCGGAGGGCTCTTAGAGCACTTAGAGGGGCTCTAAGGGGAAAAAAGATTTGCTAATAAAGCTCTAAAGATTAAGCATATATAGTTATAATATGTAAGTAGTTAACTATTAAGTGGTTATAAGTTAGTTTAATCTATTCTAGATTAATAATAGCTACACTTATCTTACTAGTTATTATCTAGATATCTCTTAGAGTATCTAGTAACTTACTATATAGTAGTAGTATTATAAAGCACCGCTTAAGAAGAGTGTAACTAGTAAGTAATTTTTACTTTATAAGGCCTATTATCTAAACTACTCTCTAGAATAATTAAGAATAGATTAATACTATTTATATAATATTAATAAGAGCGGTATAGTAGTTAGATTCTATCTATTTAATGTTTACTAGCTAATAAGAAGTAGTCTAAAGCCTAGTAGTTTGAAAAGAAAGTAAGAGAATATCTCTATCGCGGAGTAGCTTAGTCTAGATATAAATAAGCTAGAGTATTAGTAGCTACTTAATAAAATCGCGCTCTTATTTAACTATAATACCTTTAAGCGGCTTCTAATCTAATAGCTAGTATTTAATAATATTATATTCTTAATAGTAGATAGCAAGAGCCTTTAAAAGCTAATTATCTACTTTTGACTATAAGTTTAAGGGTTCTTACTAGACTAAATAACTATAAGACTAGATAATAGACGAGTTCTTAGTACTTAAGTAACTTATAATAACCGAACTCTATAAGGTATAAAGGCTTATCTATATTTACTTTAACCTCTAGATATCTAGAAATCTTCTTAGCCTTAATAGAATTATTATCTATTATACTACTACTAATAATAGCTTAAAAACCTTCTTACTTATACTACTAGAGTATATTACGAACTAGTGCTCAGCACGGGGTTTATCTAAAGCTAGTAGAGTTACTAAGCCTATTACTATTATCTATACTATTTCTAATAATAGTAGATAATAGGGATAATAGAGAATACTAGTCCTACTATTTATATTATCTCTAATAGGGGTAAATAATAGGGATAATAGGGACTATAGGTATAGTCTAAATATATAGATAGTAAGGGTTTCTCTTATAAAAACCTTATACTTAACTTAATATAAGAATCTTATATTTTTATAATAAATCTATTATCACCCTATAATATTAATCTATTATTATTATATCTTACTCTATCCTCTAATACCTTAATTAGTATTATACTATACTCTAGTATCTATTATTATTATTTAGAGATAGTAGCGTATTATACTTTAAGTACTACTTTTAAAGAGATACCTAAAATTAATATATTAATCTATCTACTATAGAATTAGTTACTAGTTTATAGAGAAACTAGGCTATAAGAGCCTCTCTTAAGAATAAGCCTATTAAGATTAAGATACTAGATAAATACTATAAAGCTAAAAAAGAATTAGAACTCTTTCTACTTTAATATAATCTATATATCTAGTATAACTAAGTTTAGTTCTAGACTAAAAATAAAGTTATATTTATAATTACCTATCTTGAAAGTGGAGTATCTAAGTAGATCTAGTTATACCTTAAGGACTTTTTAAAGAACTTAGACTTAAACTAAAAGCCTAAAATAAGAGTTATCTTTATAAATATAGAATCTTTTAAAAAAAAGATTTACTAAATATTTAGAGATATTAACACGGAATATACTATAGAAAGAGAACTTATAAGTTTAGTATAGAAAAGTTTTATAGTAGCCTATACCACCTAGTTCTAGCTAACTATAGCTAATACTAGTTAGGAGAATACTACTCTAACTATATAGTACTACTAAGAATTAAAAGAGACTATTAAGAATAACTTAGTATAAGAAGAATAGCCTAATAGACTTTAGCCTATAATTAATACTTCTATTTAAATTAATAATTATCTATATAAATAATATAGAGAGAAAGCTTGAAAGGCTATTCTAGTTACTATAGCTAGAAAGAATTATTTAGCTTCTAGATAATACTATAATCTATATAGGCTTTAGTCTATAAAACTTAATACTACTACTATAAGGTGCCTGATACGCTTTATAAGGAGAGTATAAAGAGAATATAAAGTACTTTTAGAAAGAAAGTCTTTTCTAGAGAAATATTTTGATTATAACTAAATAAAATATATTATTAGGAACTACTAATAGTCGAAAAAGTAAATGTTAGCGTAAACTACATCAGCAAATCTTTTGATGCCTCGGGAAAATCAAAATTCCTCTAAGCGCTCCGAGGGCTCCGAGAGCCCTTGGAGCGCTCGCGAGCCCCTCGCGCACGGACCACCTTGTCTAATGCGCTCCGAGCGCTCTAAGCGCTTTAGACGTCCAAATCGTCCAAATTATCTAAATTATTTAAAATATCTAAAACAATAGGCTACTTAGTAAGTAGCTTAGTAAGCAGAATTTTTTGGAGTTCCTATTCTCGCTTAACTTTTACCTCCTAGTAAAAAGAGGTACAATTTCCACGAATTTAAAAAGTAAGCGGATAATAATTAGCTTTATTAAAAGTTTGCCCTCTAAACTAGCTCTATTTATATCCCCTATATCCTATTAGTTAAATTGGACTTAAAGCTTTTTTCAAAAATTTTTTTGCTACTAACTAAGTATGCCAAGCCCTGCCAAGCCGTGCCTCTAGACGTTTTGGACGTTTTAGACGATTTGGACGATTTGGACGTCTAAAGTGCTTAGAGCGCTCGGACACCCTCGCGAGCCCCTTAGTAGAGGCAAGAGTCGCTCGGAGTCTTAGAGCGCTTAGAGGGCCCTTAAAGCGCTTAGAGAGGCTCTAAGGGAAAAAAAAGATTTACTAATATAATAGTTCTAAGAAAATAGAATATCTTATAGCTATATAGATAGT